ACGCGCGCGCCTTACTTCGCGCGTAACGCGCGCGCGCGTAACGCGTTATAACGCGCGCGCGTAACGCGCGCGCGCGCGTAACCCGCGCGCGTAACGCGCGCGCGCGCGTTACAGTTTTTACACTTTAAAAAGATGAAAAAGTATAGCTTAATAATATATTATACTGAACTAATAAGTTGTACAGTTAATATAAATATACATCGACTCCTGTAGAAGTACTACTTCATTTGTCTCGAACCGTCAGGTTATGAAACGCATCGAGATGAGGCGATCTGACTTGACACATGGCAGCATATCGTGCTATCCCATTATTGCACTTACGTGTGTGGCAATAGGGTCGCGCGCGAACATAATAATCATAATAACTCTAGATACCCACTTGCCTCTATTTATCTAAAATTTACAGGTGAAGATATCTCCGAATGTACTGGTTGCGTCAGACAAGGATTATACATCGAACACCAAGAAGATAGGCATAACGGAGCTTGAAGAGGAGGCCAGAAAACTCCATGCTCGAGACAAGATGGGCTTGGTCGACGATGGGAAATCAAAGACGCCGCTAGTCGATAGCATCATAGACAAATTGCTATTATGAATAGACAAGTTCACTTTTCTTGTCTTATTCTTTTGGGGGACTGTCTTTTCTAAGGAAATGGAAGAAAGTTCAAGGCTTCGAATTTTTGGTTATATTAAGGATAGTATATAAGTAATAAATTGGTTCACACTTCTACTTTGGTGCACGACGCTCACATCTGTTCTTGTATGATGTATCGCAATCCATCGTCTCACGCGCTCCTCGTCTTCTCTAAGGTCCCAACCAACATCCTGGAAACCGCCGCCAGAAGGGACGTTTGCGATCAGTGCGAAAGAGTGTCTCCAGCTCTGCGAACAGGTGTTTGCAATAATGAAGGAGGAAAGCATGTTGTTGCATTAAGGACACAGCTACTGTAACTAATTGTAATCTTCATCTTGCTTCTCAGGAACATCTTTTTTTTTCTCTAATGTTGGCTCAAATCGCCAATAAAAGTTTACGGTAATCTTGCTTCTCAGGAACTGTAATGGTAATCTTGCTTCTCAGGAACTGTAATGGTAATCTTGCTTCTCAGGAACTCATATCTTCAGTACTAACTCGTGTTGTTGATGTGGTATACAGAGTGATTCGTATCAGCATTACTAGAGTTGTAGATCCATTAGTCTCAGAGGAGGATCTTTTACGGGGCCGCTTTCTCTAATGTTGGCTCAAATCGCCAATAAAAGTTTACGGCGATATCCACGGTCAATTTGCGGACTTGATGAGGCTTTTTGCAAGATATAAGGGCCCTATGGAAGGAGAGTTCGGGGACATAGAGGCAGTGGACTACCTTTTTCTAGGCGATTTTTGCGATCGTGGAAACTACTCCCTCGAAGTGGTCGTGCTGCTCTTTGCGTTGAATTACGGCTTGGTTGGTTGCTCTCCAACCTTTTCAGAAGTAAGTACCTACTCATTATACTTATTAAATGGTTGGACCGACAACCATTTAATAAGTACTTAAGTACTTCGTTTCGCATTGCGGATTCTTGAGGCATGTGGAACACAATTCTATCTGAGTTTTTCATCCGAGTGCGTTCAATGCGTTAATGCTTCTGGTATCCTGTCTGATCTGCCTGTAGTTTCCGGGCAGTTGTTCATCTTTGTAGTTTTCAAGGGAGTAGTTGTTCATCTTTGTAGTTGTCAAGGGAGTAGTTGTTCATCTTCGTAGTTTCAAGGCAGTAGTTGTTCATATTTGTAGTTTTCAAGGCAGTAGTTGTTCATATTTGTAGTTTTCAAGGCAGTAGTTGTTTATCTTTGTTGTGCCCTAATCAAGATGGAGCGTCATCAACGTAGAAGACCTTTTCTCTTCTAATCCAAAGTAAAGTATCCGAACCAAATCCACATGATTCGGGGAAATCATGAAGATGTGACAATAAATCACATCTATGGGTTTAAAACGGAATGCCAGACAAGACTGAAAGAGGATCCAGATATTATGGCTATAGTCTTGTTTTCATTTTCATCCTTCGGGTTAGCGCCGCAGTACACAACAGCAGCAAAAATCACACGCCAGCTAGGTTTTCCTTTTTGCGCCACTTGCGGTCCTGATGATGTCAAAACCTTTTTTATCGTCCTGTTCGTCATTGGACATCATCCCGATTTGCACCATGACCACTTTCCTCTGGATTCCCATTACCTTCTAATGCCCGCGACAAGAGTTGTTGGCAGAAGTTCAATGCAGTTTTCGAGTGGTTGCCGATGGGGGCTTTGATAGAGAAGAAGATCCTCTGTATTCACGGTGGCATTGGGAAGAGTATACATACGATGAAAGACATCGAGTCAATAGGACGACCTTTGAAGGTGGCACAGATTCCTCAGGTACTTGTGAAGTTGAATGTGAATGGTAGAGGACAATGAATCACGGATTTATTTCTCTTTTTTTTTGTGTAGAATCAAACGCAACCCCACTGAATTTTCCTGTAAAATACGTAAAGTTGCTGCAACAACTAGGTAAGCACTTACTTCTTGCACATACAAACAAGTAAATCTATAAGAAACCTTCCGACCACAACATCGAACCACCACAACTACAACATTCCCACCACAGAGCGCTCAAGAGCAGAAAGTCACCGACCTCCTTTGGTCAGACCCTTCTGACAGTGATGCTGTCAAGGGCGTGACGATGAACGAGACGAGGGATCCGGACGGCTCGGGCAAAATATGGAAATTCGGTCCAGATCGAGTGACGGAATTTTTTAAGGCGGTGAGTGGGTGTGAAGGATGCTTTCTTGTTTTTGGAATAAAAGTATAAATTTTTCTGCACGAACGCTGTGAAATAAGGTGTTTTTGTTAGCCTTTTAGTGTGGGAAGCAAAGAGGCAGGCGACGAAGCGCGGGAGCGTATAACCCCTTGGGTTTTTTGTTCAACTTTTAACAATCGCATCCCGATATCCTACCTTTCCCTTTATTTTCGGTCATCTGTTTTCGGTTCTTTGTTGAGGAGATAAACAAAAGGAACAAGGAAGGAAAAACAAAGATTTAAAGGAAGAAGAAAGGCATGAATCTCTACTGCGATATATGCTTTTATCTTGCACGAACGCTGTGAAATAAGGTAAGTGCAAGATCGAGAAATTGTACAGCGTGCACTACCCATGGGTTAAGAGAACGACCAAAAAATGACTTCTAGACTTCACTCCACTCCTACTCCCACTACTCCTACTGTTCATCTACTCTTCTAACACACGCAACAAAAACCCGCCATGTAGTTTAATCGTTCGAGCGCATGAATGCGTGATGGACGGATTCGAAAGATTTGCGGGTGGCAAATTAATAACCCTATTTTCTGCTACCGACTACTGTGGCCACCACAAGAATGCGGGAGCGCTATTGTATGTGCGGAGAGACATGATTAAGGCTGTCGTCTACCATTTTGAACTTCCATCTGTAGTGGTTGCATCTTATACTTCGAGAAATATTCGACGTGAATGTTTCTGAAGAGCAAGAGATGAAGATCAAAGATGAAAATACTGAATAGCCCTAAGTTGACGATCGTGCCGAAATTGATTTACCCTTCGGACGCAAAGAATTCACCAGTCGAGAGAGCATGGGATGCGACAGTCACGATGAATCGACCGCCTACACCACCTCGAAACGTACCAAGAGCTCGCGGAGGAGGCGGCGGAGGCGGAGATTGGTGAGATGGATGACTACTTATAATTCTGCAGTACTTCTTCTTCAGGCTCGGATATGAATGACCAGTGAACGGGATTGATCGAGCTTCTGCTCACAGTTAGTTTGATGAGAAATCGACTCCTTACAATTTATCTTGATTTGGATACGTTTATGACATAAATCGCGTAAGACGGGAAAAGACCTTAAGGTGTTAGTTTCGTTGTTTTCCTTGGCGTGTGTTGTAAAGATCATTCGCGCGACAGTTTTTGTGTCAGACTCTGGAAATTTCTCGTTGTTACAGTTTTGAAATTGAATTCCCACACTCACGCTCACCCGGTGCTAGCAAGTGCGGAGTGTTTCTGCGTTGCGATTTTGCTAAAAAATTTCACTTGAATCTATTCTTTAATTATATATCGTGCTAACAGAAATATGTTGATATTGGGAGTTGGTGATGTCTGTTACACTTATTACAGTGGGAGTTGGGAGAAATTGATAGTCAGGCGGGGTGAACCCCCGCATGACGATGTACATGTTCTTTTTTGCTTCTGAAGACGTTATTCGGGTTCGAAGAAATGAAAGTATCGATCAACTGCACTGCGGAGTTAGTGGACTCTCGTCTTTCTGTGTGTTCTTGATGATGGGAGCCAGAGCTACGCTCTTCTTGGTACTATCAATGGGTGTTATTTTTAGCATTCAACGATAAGCGCGAAATTGTTGAATCTGCGATGTCGTGCACTTCGCTCCGAATACCTCTTCCCATTGTATTTAGACCACTTACTCTTTTGATAGAGCGATAAAACGTCCGTGTTCTTGTTGGCTTCTCCTGGATCTCGGCATCGCGGCCCCATTGCTTCAGCGAGTGCAGCCGGATTGCTTCAGCTCCCGGAGAGGAGTCTTTTGAAAACAAGTACCTCGCCCTCAGATAATTCGCATTTTCTCTTTCCTTGCTAGTAGCACTCCGACTCCGTGCAAAGACATTGCTCCGAATACCTCTTCCTCACGTCTGCCAGTTTTCCTGATAGGCCCACACCTAACCTAACCTACAACCTGATACAACTAAAAGAGTAACATATCCATGAACATAATGATGAGTCGATTCTTGTTTCTCTCCTGCCTCGTCGAGGTTCATGCGAAAGGTCCTGCTTTCTTGCTTACTAGCAGCGGGAACCAGCAATGGCCGATGCCACCTCCACCACGGTCCAGCACAGGACGTCACCCGGTGCCTTTTCATACAGGAACATCAGTCAGTCCATCCAATTTCATCATGGTTGGCCCTTCTCCACTGCGGATGCCATATACGTCTGGATTTTCTTCAGGAGACGGCAGTCGTGTTTCTTCGATTGGGAACATTTTAACCGGCTCACCATATCGCGGACGACAAGTGACCGCTGAACACCTGCCTCCTCATGGAAGTGAACTCGAAGGAGGTCTCAGCTCTGCTATAATTAAGGGAATCAATCCAGCTAGTAGAGCTTCCATCTTCCCTAAAAGCTTGATCCTTGGCTCTCTGTCTCAAAGGAAAAAGTCTCAAATTCTTCATCTTTGAGGACTGCATCCAGGAGAATATCATACTTGAATAGCTGCTCTTTGAGGACTCTCCTATCATACTTGGGACTGCATCCTTGAAAAGTGTGGGGTGGGGGAGCTGCATTTCTTGTTCCGGGGAACTACAGGGATAGATTTAATTACTTTCCTATCTTCATACTTGAATTCCCTTACTCTCCTATGCCTATCATACTTGAATTATAGATACAACTTAATCTTCTCGTGATGCAAATTGAACTCGAAGTAGATGCAGTCCTCTCGAAGATGCAGTCCTGCGGGTTCCACTCATCTCTGTCTACTCAGACTTCTTCTACCTCTTTTTCCACTCAAGGTCTCCGAGTGATGTAGAATTAGAGCTTTTCAAACTAAAAAAAAATAGGAGCTCTAACTCTACATCACTCGGAGCTGGTGCGACGTTTCCCTCAGATATGGGCTCTCGGTATCGTGGTGGCGAACGTGGCCCGGTCCTTCCAGCAGCTTGGGCAGCAGCAGCCGCACTAAACCGCCGTCGTGTAGGCAAGATGAAGAAACGTGTTGCCAGAGTTAGGAAAGCTCAAGTGGCTGGAAAACATGAAGGTGGGAGTCTAGGAGGTCATGGAAAACATGGAAACAGTGGTCTGGGTCCTAAGAATGATCTACAGATGGGTATGTCTTCTGATAATCCTAGCACTACTGCTGCTGCTGATGATCATCTCCACCAAGAAGATGTTGCTTCCATTCCCTCTACTAGTTGTACAAGTGAAAAATGGCGTGGGTCTACAACAGCCTTTCGTGCAGGGAAGGAGAAAACTACCACATCAACGTCACCTCCATCCTCTCCTTCGTCTGGAAGTAGACTTGTCTCAGCTCATCAACTTCATCCAGGTCAGGTAACAGGTGGGGGCTTTGCGAACGATCTTTTCCAACAAGAAGGACCACATGGACAAGGAGATCAACATCGAACAAATCATACAAATAAACATACTGCTGAAGATACTATAGATGCTATGGATACCGTTGAGATGACTATTGAAACTACGGAAGAAGATCATAACTACGAATATGATGGCGACGAGCAGCCGATGAGGGCACACCGAGTCTCTAAGGCTGTCGTACCAGAACCACGCGCTGTTCGGGCACCGCTCTCGCGCTACCCAGGAGGAGGCGGTCATAGTGGCTATATTCCAAATAGAAAAGCGAAGATGCCTGTGGTGCAGGAAGACGCGGTCTTTGATGAAGAACAGCAACAGGATGCTCTTTCTCCCTCTCCTTCTTCTTCTATGATGAAGAGAAGTTCGTCGTTGTCGAGTGCGTCGTCTTCGAAGAAAGCGCCAACGACTACGGGGCCATGGTCTGCTTCTGCGCAGGTGACGAAGCATCACGGAGTTATGGCATTCTTGTAGAGATGCACAAATTTTTGTTGAAACTTTGAAGATGAAAATTGATTTTTCATTACGTGGCCGTGGCGCATGTTCTTCATGAACACACATCTGTTCTTGAGGGTGATCATGTTAAGCACATCTAATAACCACTACGCACCTCCGGAGAGGTCCGCGCAGTGGCTACCGCTTAGTCTGCTTCAGGTGCCGCCTCCTTCTCCGGCCCACAGTCGCAGCCCTTCTCGGGGCCCCTCGGAAAGCAACTCACCTACATCTCCGTAAGAGCAGCAGGGTGGAATAGACCACGACGTAGGAGTTGCTTACAATTTTGACATTGTCAGAACAACCTACTCTTGACATCGTGGAACAAGGAGAATGAGTGCAACGGCCAACGCGTCTTTCGTGTGTATATTATAGGCGTTGACGAGAAAGTATGTGTCTATGATGTGATCGGAAATAAAGGGATACACGTTGTATTACACTGACCTCTATGTGTGACCTCTATGTGTGACTTTTGTCTTGCTGCAACAGAAATTATGTTCGGTCACAATTACTACGCAGAAGCAAGGACGACTTGGATCGAGCCTCGGATACGTACGTATTTGCAATTGCGTGGTCAAAAATCCAGGCTAAGATCAGAGAACGACACAACTCAAAGTAGTACTACACAACTCAAATTGTGAGAGTTCTCTTAATACCACTACGCATTTCAAATTAGTACTTGTTTTTACAAGTTTCAGTTGAAACATTTATTCGTTGTGATTGATGTGTCTAAAATCATTTCCATACAACTAACTTGCATGGGCATCGATGTCAGTCGATCATGGTGCAAGACATTCTTTTCATACGATCGATGCATCATCATTAATCAAATCTCGATTTTTTTAGGGCTTTCACCACGTCAACATCAACATACGTTCTTCTTGTTTCTATGACTGAAGATCGATGTGCATGAGGTCCGCTCTTCTCGACATATAAAGCTACTTACAACATACAAACACATCTAGCGACTTTAACACGGCAACGCCCGTGTCCTCCATGTGATATCCGTATGCTGAAAAAACTACTATTACCTGAGAAGAAGAATCAACATGAACATCAAAGTATGCGTGATACATAATTTGGGTCTTTCTCATCTGTGGTCCTCGTGCTCACTCCGAAGGGATGGGCGGCAATGTTTGCTGATAAGAGCAAAAAGTGTTCTTCAATATTGTCCGATAATGTCATTGGGGAAGACTCCTGTGACAAAAAGGTCCCTGTGGCTGAGCTGTCGCCAAAGCAACCGGTCTTGATTCAAAATCCATTTCTGCGACACTCGATGAAAATTTAGAAGTGTTTTAAAGATTTGATGAATTGAACACGAGCATGAACATTGATGCAAGATTAGATTTTTAAGCATGTAAAAATAATATGCGTGCTGCTCGTCTTCTGGCGACGTCATCCCTGTGGTCTCTCCTCTTGCCTTCGGCGTGGGGGCTTAGGATTAGGTGTTGACGTTGCTTCTTTTGCTTAGTTGCCGACTTTGTTGTCGAGATTGCCCGTCTGGCGACGTACCTTTTTTATCGAGCGAACCTGCCGCAACTGCAGCTGGTGTCGTCGAAACGTCAAAGGGGCAGCATCAACGTCACCTGATTCGCCTAGCGGTCTATAGGCGGTTGCAGTTGACAGGAGGAAACCTACAACCGGCACATTTAGCAGCTAAAAAGCGTCGCTATTAAGTCATCTTCGAGACAAGTGACGAGTATAACGAGTATACGGAACAATCCAAACTGCGAAGATGATGGACGATACAGCGGAGCAAGAATACGCTACGCGTAACTTGGTCCTATCAGTATGCGATCTGAAACAAAATGGCGAATGTCCGCCAGAACGGGTGCTGGGCCAGTCGGTTACGGTGGGAACAAGGATGTACTAATCTAATAATTGAAGGCTGCTAGATAGACGGAATAGCGTGGAGTAGGTGCTGGTTGATGTGTTGCTTGTTACAGAACAATAGTTAAGGGTTACCGCATTGCATTCTAGTGAATCACTACCATCCTTGATTTTTTTTCCAGTAGGAAAAGGGTCAGGGATGTAGGGCGAAGTAGGTGTAAATTCTACCAAGACTCTTTAGAGTGAGATAGATGACTAATACCATCCTGCCGACATCGCATTTGATTTTCTTTCAGGTATCTTCACGGTGGGTGCACACAGAGGAGAGTTTTTGATGAGGTCTATTTGTTAGAGCTCGAACAGATGAAGTGGTCCGAGCTCCCAGCGACGGGGACAAAACCAAGTATAATTGAGGCAGAAAAATAAGTAAGAGGATAAGATGGAAGAACGATCATGAGGATCTCGGAATTATTGGATATTGGGCTGGTGAGATAGTCAAGATATATCTTCTTGAATCGTTTTCGTTTTTGTTGTTTTAAATAGGAAGATTTATGAACGATAAGAAAGTGGCTTACATTTCTGAAACCCCTCAACATGTACATGATTTTCAATCATGTCTCGCACTAAAACTTCCATCACAAACAAGTTTTCATGATCAACCACCAAAACCTCATGTCGCAGGTGGTCGTTACGGACACTCTGTAGTACATCATAACAACCATTTGATTTGCTTCGGTGGACTATGTAGTAATGACAAAGGCGGACAGGACCTTTTGGCGGATGGAGGCGGCGAAGGGAGTGCAGATCTCGGAATTATAGCTGGCGGACTCCCGAAAGGAAAGGGAGATAGTACTTCTAAGGTTTTTTCACGAAGATTTTCCTCTCAGATAATCGACGATACGATTAGCACTATGATAATGAAGGAGATGAACTGGTAGCATGATCATAATCTTTGTATTCTTGAAAGTTTCATTCAACCGTCACTATGTGTGCCGAATTGATTTTACAACAGGTGGCTGCGTTTACACTATGGAAACGCAGACGTTGATTTGGACGCGGTACTCTGGGGATCCTGGGAATGCTAGATATTGTCACTCGTGTTCAATAGTGGAGAATCAAATGGTGGTATTTGGTGGTTTATCAGCCGCCGGGAGCAAGCCATTGAACGACGTGCTACTCTTCGATCTAGATAGCAAAGAATGGACGCCAAAGTCAGCCTCGGGATCAGTTCCATCGCCAAGGTACGGCCACAAAAGCATCGGCGTTGGAGCGGAGGTAAGCACAAACTAGGAGATATCTTGTTCGACTGGATCGGTTTTGTCCGTACCCGCTTTCACCTTCCTCAAAATGGTCGCAAGTTCGTCGGCTGCGAAACCCGCCGCCGAAACGCGCGCTGCGCAGGCGGGTCCGCCCGGGGGGGTCGGTGCGCCAAAAAGCTACCAGCTGCTTAAAAAAAGTCCCCCGGGAACTTCGTGAAGGGGTTCGCCTTCGACTTGAAGGAAGAGGAGCAGAAGCCCAGCGCCCAAACAGGTGGCGGCCGTGACTGTTGGGAGAAACAGAAACTGTTGGGCAGAGCTGCAGAAGCCGCGGCAGCAACCAACGCTCGCCACTATCCAGCAAGGGCTGAAGATAGCAGCTCCAGGCGCGGGCAAACTAGAAGTCTTTGACAAGCGTGACCCCGATGGCGCGGGCGGGGGCTACTACAGTATGGGCAGGACTGTCGAGCCAGTCACAAGCGGGGTGGATTATATATAGATCGCAGCTCTTCTCAATTTCTGTAGAGTAGGGGGAGACCTTTGGGCAAAGGCTGGGCCTGCCCGTGGGCGCTTCGCCCGCCCCTGCATTCGCTAGCCTGGCAATCTGTCTGATGGAGGTCGTGTCTCTTGCTAAAGCGGTAGGCTTACGCTGCCGCAAGCTTCAGGCGCTGCGATACGTTGGCGGCCACTAGCTTGCGAAGCAAACCCGAGAGAGATCGCTCTTTGGTTTCCGGGAGCTTGGAAGGCTGACGACGGGGAGACTGCTGCGGCGCTGCAAGATGCAAAGGCAGGGAATTAGTTTGGTTATGATCACGCGGGCTGTCGCCTCCTTTTTGGTCTGAATGGGTAGCCCGTCTCGTGACTCCGGGCGCCCTTCGGATGCATCGCAACCGGGCAGGAACGTACTGGGAAATACGCGGGACCCGCAAACGATTGGCGGGGGCGGCTTGATGACAGGGGTGGGCTTTTGGGATGTTGACACCTATCAGTATGCGCTGCGATGAGTGCCCGGCCACATTTGGAACGCACAAAAGCGGCGGAACGTTTCGCCGATCATATTCGGCGCCGGGCTATAGCTAGAAAGTGACCGAGCTAGCTTTCTCCACTCTATAGCTAGAGAGTGCGACTCGAAAGCTACATGGTGCCAATTTATAACTAGATAGCGTCACTCTATAGCTACGCATCCTGGTCCCGGGCGTGTCTGGCAACTGATCCCGGACGAAACACCTAGCACGGGACTCGACGGCTTAGACGAGTAGTCTGTCGCTTTCAATGGTGAGAAGGCGCCGCTTCTTGTGAGTTGCTGGCTCTGGGCGTGTATTGCGTCACGGTAGTGGGGAGCTATCTGCTGAAGGGACTCCTTGCCACGGGCTCGCACGGGTGACGCTGCTGAAAGTGGAGGGCTTCGCCCTTTCGGCTATTACGTGAAAGCCGCCGAAGGTCATAGGCATCACTGGGGCAGATATAAACCGAGGGCGCGAGACGAAGCGCAGGCCTGGCTTGTTTGGTCGTGTCGCGGATAAGAGGAGGCAGATGCGCGAGAGCTTTCGCCAGTGGTGGAGTGTGGTAGGCGTGGCGCGCCTGTGTTTCTTGTTATTGGGCTGGGGGTGGGCTGATGGCATGGGTCTGAGATCGTCGCCTGATGGGGTAGATCGGTCCCAGGGATGTAAGTCAGTCGGTAGCGCTCTGATTCTGGAAGTTGGCTCCTGCAGCTGAATCAGCGGCGCGCTGTGATGATTAGCAGGCGCGCAGTGTCAAGCCTCTAGCCTGTGCAAAGCAGTCGGCGCGGGGGTGATGGACGCGCTTGGCGCTGTCTTGTTCTTCTCGTTCTTTATGTCTGCGGCATTTCTCGATGAACGGCCGGCGCTTATCAAGCAAGGCGCAACTTCGGGGGAGATCTTCAAAAGCGCAAAGGCCTCAGTCTATAGGGCTGGCGACGCTTGTAAGGAGTACCTGTTGACAGAGCAAACGCTCACGAATAGGAAGCGGCCTGAAGGCTTCAGAGATGACGTCGACAGCACTGGGCTGAAGCTTTTGGCGGGTCTTAGTTATAGAGGGGCAGGCTTCTTATCAGCGTCGCCGGCCTCGGAGATGACCGACTGGGCCGGCGCGGCTGGGCTTTGGGGGGCTTTGTCTTTCTGGATCATTTGGGAACAACCACCCACCGGGCCCGCCCCGGTTTTGTTTCCCTTTGGTTGCGAACTTGTGGAGGACTTTAGACAGCCGCCGCAGCCAACCGCATTCATACACGGCGCACCCGGGACGAGCTTGCCTGGCTGGCGTTTCTCTGCGGGGTCGCAGTGGGTCAGCGCCGTCAGGCCTTTCTTGTCAGCGGCGTCGTCGTCGGCCTCGTCTCTTCGGGTGTCTCGCGTGCTCTTCGTTCTGCGTGTGGCTCCTTGTTTGCTTTTCTCGTGTCGTTTTTACCTTTCTGCTTGAAGGATCTGGGGCGGCTTTTTGTCTCCACTTTTTCGGCTTCTTTCGACTCTGTCCCACTGGGCCTGGCCCGCAGGAGCGTAGGCGGCTTGGTTCGTTGGTTCGTTTGGGTTGGCAGTGGTTGAAATTTTGAATCTTTGAACGTAGTGAACGCGACTGAGCCACAAAAGCAGCACTGACTGGCGAGCGATGGACAGCGTGTGGCCTTCGATCGTTGGCTACGCAAAAGCCTCGCGCACTTCTAGCGCGGCACCCCCTTCAGGGGTTGGGGTCGTCAGTGGGTGCCTGTGCCCATATTTTTTTCGCATTCATCGCTTTTTTTTTTCGATAGTGGCCCAACTATCAGTCACCGACTGGAGCGGAGGGCCTTGTCGTGAGCGTGGTGCGCGTGCGCTCGAGTTCAAGTGAAGCGAGATCGGTATTGTTTTTCTCATTGTCGCTCATCCTCGCACTTCCCGTCCGCACAGGTCGTCGTCTTCGGCGGGGTCTTCGAGGACAGTAACTTGTGGGCGCTCAACCTTCAGTCCATGGTTTGGAGTCAGATACCGACACAAGGCACGAGTCCGCTTCCAAGACGTTTCCATAGTTTCGATCTAATAGGCCAGCGAGGCTTCGTTTTCGGCGGAAGGACGGAAACAGGGCTTACGGACCTCTACATCCTGGACTGGCAGGTATTGGCTTTACCGTTTGAACGTGAAGAACAAGAAACGGAAAGTGCTTTCGCGAACTAGGACTTCCATAAGATTTGCTTGGACAAGTTCCTTTCACAAGATCAAGAAAAGATAGCAAGATCAAGTAACTAATATATCGGTACCACGTGATTGAATTCAATTACAGGAAAAGCGCTGGAAGCGTCCCCTCTATGAAGGGCAGACGAATGTGCGAGGACACGCCGCCGCCACTCTGCACGATAAGTTGTTGGTTTTCGGAGGCGTGAGGGACAAGAAAGATGCTCGGGAAGTAGTAATAGTTAAGGGTAGTTACAACCGAATTACATCCCGCTCTACTCCCATCCCTGACTCTTTTCCCACTAAGAAAGAAGTCAGGGATCATGTTCTGAGAAATTGAGGAATGTAATTCTGTATGTAACCTTTAAAATAGAGGAGAAAATTAGTAAGAAGCTTTTCTTCCTGAACGTCTTAGCAATCAAGGAGGGGGTGAACGAAGGCGACTTCAAGTTCAAACTCGTCACAGTTGGCGATTCTGGAGTTGGCAAGAGCTGTTATGGCTGATAACTATGTATGATGTATGATTTTGATTCGTGTGCATGTCTTCTAGAGGGCAGAGAACGTTGTTTTCCAGAATCCTTTTACTTGATGAAACTGAGTATAATTCTTTTGCAAGTAATGAATATGCAGATGAACTTAAACCTCGAAAGGATGAACAATTAATACGCTGGTCAATCTCTGCTCTAATTCTCTCTCTTAACGAGATTCGTGCAAGATTATTACGCCGACTTCCACGTGAGCACGATCGGCGTAGACTTTAAGACCGTAGTGACCATGGTGAAGTTAAGGCTCCCCCGAATCTATTTTATTCAGACGCATCTTGCAGCTGGTTTCCCATAGACATAGACGAGAAAAGTAGCGTCAAGATGAGTCCGCCACCATGGATTAGATTGGGGTGAGCTCTAATGAAAGGCAAACTAGTCAAACTACAGCTCTGGGATACAGCAGGACAAGAAAGGTTTTCAGTAGTTACGGGAAATTACTACAGGAATAGTGACGGGTTCATCTTCGTGTATGACGCGACGAATAGGACGAGCTTCGAACACGTTGATCAGTGGATGGAACAGGTATTAAGGGATTTTTTTGACTTAGTTTTTCTTTTTGCCACTTGCTAGATTTTGACTACTGCAATTGCATAGAAGGACGACATCTCGTGATGCAAATCCAACTACTTGATGCAGTCCTCTCGAATTGGTGCGGGTTCCACTGCGTGTCTACTCAGACTTCTTCTACTCACCCTCTTCAGGTCCAACAGCACCACGACTGTGGTCCCAGCACTATGAAGATTCTTGTCGGAAACAAGCACGATCTAAAAGACAGGATACAAGTCCCGGAAGCTGAGGGTATGGCCAAGGCTAGCAAGATGGGAGCCATTTTTATGTGCACTAGCGCCAAAACGGCAGCCAATGTCGATATGGCGTTCTTGTCGGCAGCGACAAATCTAGTCGAGATGCGAAAAGCGAGAGCGGCGACAGCAGCGCCTGGAACAGGCAGTGGCAGCATAGGATTGTCCTCAGCAAACACGACTGCACCTGGCAGCTCAAGCAAATGCAACTGCAAATAGTTGCGATCTTCCGTGTTGGATGATGTCATAAGGTTAACATGGCATTCGTGTGTATTTTCAATTTTGCGAATCCGACAAGAGGAAAACCTCTCCTCCCGAGTTGATCAACATGTGGGAGAGGTGAACCACATGCTGTCCACGCAGTGAATTCTTTTTTGTCATGATTTCGATTCCTTATGTCCAAATTATATGAAAGATCTGAAAATACAACCATCCCTATCCATGAATTGAAATGTTTTAGCTACAACAAGATGAATAGCAACCGGATGATTTTTATTTGAACTCAATTCAGATCGTCGGTGAGCATCAAAAAGAAACAAAGAAACCAAGGATGGAGCCATTGTTTGTTTATGAACATGCGGTTAGGAGACAAGCGCAATAAACCGACGACTTTTTTTTAGTGTTCATCACGAATCAAAATACTGCCGAACTGCTCTGTGTAAACAGAAGTTGAACTTGAATCAAACAGAGATGACCGATGGTTAGTATCAGTCGGAAATTTACGATACCACACCAGCGTCTCTCTAGGTCCACAGGAACTCGGCCCCAACGATCATTCTCCTCTACGACGCTCGTGTTGTTGATCCTGACGTACAATTCATTTCTAAACAAGCACTCAGAACCTACAGGTGATAGTTCTTTTTATGTCCTGAATTAGTGTTGATTATGTTTGATTCTTCTTTTGCGTTGGAAGGACGGTTGTTTGTGACTCATTCTCGGTAAACAAGACAAAAATGGTTTTTTACCGTTTGTGTTTCTTGAATTGTAAGGCTTATGAGATTATATCGTTGATGTGTCACTAGACGTTCTCTGGTCCTCTTCGTAGCCTCGTTTCACAAGACAACGCAATGGTCGACATGATGCACCGTCAAAACCCTATTGCTGCGGGTCCTGCGGATACGCCGTTGTTTGCAGCTGCGCCGAACATCGCAGCAGAATGGATGTGTGTATCCGAAACAAATGGGTTTGTTACTTTTCCGAAGTGCAATACCGTCAACATAGCAAAACGAAGAAGGTGTAAGAAATGTGGGAGTGAAAGGCCACCTGAGGAGAGGACGGATTTTGCGAGGAATAGCAGTACTCTTTTACTCACTAGTCTTGTTTTAGTGAATGTCATTATCTACTTTATCACGTTTGCTAAACAAAATGGCTGTGACTTCTTCTCTAAGCTAATCTAAACACGTTCACTTTTCCCAAGACTAATTTATCTCAACCTCCCCCATTCACAGGTATCTTCCGCAAAACCGATTGGAAATGTGGTCAATGCTCAAATATCAACTGGGAATGGCGCGCTAGTTGTAACAAGTGTGGCCAACTCAAGCCTTCAGTTAGTATTGAGCTCTACAAGCAGCGCGAAGCAGCTAGAGCCTTGAGAAAGCCCGAAGAAGGTAGGGGTGGCGGCTACTACGACAGGCAGGACCCACTGGTAGGCAGAATAGAGCACGACGATGAGGGAGTAGACGACTTTGGAAGGAAAAAGAGGGATCAAGATCACGGCTTGGACGATAGTAGACCGGTGAAAAGACATAGATGGTCTGCTGGAGGGCCTAGAGGAGAAGCGCCGACGAATAATACAATATCTTCGAACTCACACAGAGCAGACCCAGACGAGATGGTGTTTACATATAAGAATAAAGCTGCTTGTGGGGACGGTGAGGTTAGTGAAGGAGATGGCACTCCGTCTGGTCGTGCAACTGCAGATCAACATCTTGATAAGCCAGATAGATCTTCAGAGCCGGCTCAGGCAGGAAAGTCAGGGGAGGAAAAGCCGCATCAAAGTGCTGATGCAATAAAGGAAGACATATTGAAAGGTTATCAAGCGCATATAAACGTGGAGAAGAAAAAATGAAAAGTAGTTTGCCCACCCTGTCTGAACTAATGGATTTTAGACGTCCCCTACAACCCGACCTCCCTCTTTACGCTCCCTTTCTTTACATACTTCACATAGCTTTAAGCAACGCGAGACTTTCGCAAGCCAATTTCAACTTGACCACATGAAACACGGGTCGTGAAAAATTGTCATTTTACTGCTGTTCCGCAACTCGGTGTCCCAGCCTTTTCTCGGTTTTGTTTGTTTTTGATCTTTTGTTTCGTCCGAAATTCAGTTAAGAAAAGCAGGAGAGATTGCTAAGCAGAATTGAACTAGCTCTTCTCTAACTACAAGTCTGTGCTATGATCGGTTCTTTCTTGGTCCTGCTCTGTCTTTTTGTTTTTTTCCAGTTTTTGCAGGTTTCTCCATTTCAAAGAGGCTCTGTTTTTCGGTTAGATATCGTTTGTCAAAGGAAAACCGTCGACAGCTTCAAGATTCCACTCCGGAAAATAGTAGAGTAATAAAGAGGGACTACTACGGTCCATAAAAATGCAGGTTCGGTGGAGCTCTAGTATAAATTGCATACCCCTGCCCCGGACCCGAGCCCAAGCTTTCATGTGTTTCATCAAATATTCTAGATGGGTTTTTTGGTTTGAAACTTCGAGAAGTGGGAGGCTTAGCGCAAGCATACATGCTCAAGTTTGCTGGTTATAAGAAAGAAACAGTCTACCCCGACACTATGTGAATTTAACTTTTTTCTTTTCAACATGCAACCATGTATTTCTTGGCTTGCTAGTTATTGATTTTATTTCTTGTGAGCCCTGAAGAGCGAAAAAGTAAGTAACAGATCCTGTCTATTTTACTAACTCAGATAATAAAGAATGACGGTGGTCTTGCCACGAATCAATGTCCGTGACTTGTTGCATGCAACACCTGCTGCTCAGTCCACCTCCAATGCCTTCTCTGGACCCGGTAGGCAAGCTGGAGGACATTCAAGAACTGCATATAATGCACAACAAAGCTCTTATCCATCGTCAAGAGGCAAGCGTGGTTTTCCAGCGCCCTTGCAAGAGCCGTATGGTGGCTTTGCGTCATCGACGAGTGGTGCTGGTGCACAACCTGCTGGTGGAAGCAACAGTGTTATTAAGGAGCTTAAGGGGCTTTTCGCATACTTATGGATTTCCTCGCAGCAAGAAATCAATGGAGCATACTGTCGAACTCGGTATCGAGTTGGCTTCCTCTGTTTTGTCGTTAGTTGAGAGTGGGAGTCGTATCGTGTATCGCTAGTGTTTGTCGTGCAGGACTGATTACGCATTGTATTGCTGTTTCGATTTGTCAGTGAGGACTACATCGACAGTCGATTATTTATGGATTTCCTCGCAACAAGAAATCCATGGAGGACCATACTTCTTCTAAGACCAACATCGCCCAAGCATCCCCCAGTTACCATAGTACCGCCAAAAGGCCATCCGTCGACACGGTAGTGACGCAGGACTTATGGGGAATGCCTGGATCGAATCGCACTAGCCCCTCCGCAGCCATGCGTGCCAACCTGATGTTGAGTGAGGTGGCTGAGCAAAGTGGGAAGCATTCGTTGAGTGCACTGGTTGGACGTGGTGGAGGAGATCAAGGTGGTCTTGATGGAGATAGTGCTGGATATAATCATGGGCAAGGAGGTGAACCAGTCAAAAATGCGGGGTTTAGTACGACAGCGAATGCAGGCTTTAGTACTACTACAGCAGCGAATACAGCTTATAACGCCAATTTCAATATGACATCAGTCGGAGGGTTTGGCGCTGGAGGTGCAAATAAGAAGTCGACTATGCTGCACTACTACACGCCACCGCCTAAGCCGCCGCGAATGCAAATGAAGGGTGCGAGTCTTCAACATCTGAAGAGTGTAGTACCCCAACAACAACAAGGACAAGGTCTTTCATCTTCCCGGGCGCAACTAAACCAGCAAGAGGGTGGATCTTCGTCTTCGACGAGCTTGAAAAAGCAAAAACATGACGATCTTTCATTACAACAGCAGCAACAAGATAACTACTCTAGCAAGTCGTCGAGTAAGTCACGAGGAAAGCAGTCAGGTTTGGCATCATCTTCGTCTGTGCAGGGATACAGTCAGCAACAGCAACAAGGACAGACTGGATACAACCCTCATCAACATCAGCAAGGATACAACCCTCATCAACAGCAGCAACAGCATCTTTACAACAGCAATCTTAATAGGTCAAATTACAATAGGTTCAACATCCCTGCTCCCCATGAAGAGGCGAAAAATATCGCCCCTTGCTGGCCCAGTGAGTACCAGCGCGGCAGTGGTGGCCTCTTTCACAGCAGTGCACATGCAGAGAGTCGAGCAGCACCGAATGCGCCGAGAAACGGACCTATGGGTCATGGTCATCATGGGATAAGGAGTTTGGAACCACCTCCAAATCGGAAATCGATCCACCACAGGAGTGCTTCGACTGGGTACATGCCACCCGCAGCGCCTGAGATTCCGCCGCACAGCGATGCCGGTAGTATGCTGCGGTTGCCGCCATTGCTGCAGCAGACTTCGCCGAAAAGACAACCGGCTTGCGGATGGACGCAACATAGGGAGTTACTGGGAACGGGGAGTAGGAAAGGTAAGATGAAAGATCGAAGAGATGAACAGTTCTTGTAAATGTTCTTCATCTTTCTCTTTGTGAGTCTTAATATGAATGCTTCATCAGAAAGGATCACCTGACTGATTTTTTCCATAATTTTCCTCATTTTATAATACACGAGGTCTGGTTCCTTCCGACGTCGAAGCCGCTAGACCCGAACAGGAAAGGAGTTCACTCAATTCACGTGATGACCGGTCGACACGGGATACGTCTAAAGACACGAGTACAGCGAGAGGTGCGCGCGGGTCGTCTAGTGGGATTCCGACTGCGGATTGTAGTCGTAGACCAAGCTTTTCTACACTTGGTGGCGGAAGGGGAGTATTCATATTGGGAAGCTGAGAGTTTTGTTTCAATCTGTGATGTGGCCATGTGGGCACAAGGAATACTTTCGAGACTCCACTACAATTAACAATTTAGATTTAGTAAAATGGATCCCGTTATGCGCACGATGGATCGATCCAGAAAAAGGTACTTAGTTGTTCAACATCTCATCACAGGATTCCTCCGGAGTTGTAACTGTAGAACACAGCAGACGACCGAGTTGCAAGTTGTCGGACGTGAATGAGGAGAGCAGCAGTGAAGCGCGAGGTTCGAAGGGAATGCCGCAGAAGGCACAATCGGTACTGCGTGATGCAAAATTAACTGCACAAGACACTTTCTTGCCAGAATAAGAGCCGAATATTGGAAATAGATGGAGTCCCAGTCCAACGTGTTATTTCGATTTCCTTCTTGCAAGATCTTCTTCCTTAATACATATATCGTCGATCTTAACGTTTCTATCACTTTTATTCCCCTTTAATAACACAATCCGTCCCCACCCAGTTGCCAACGCTGCTCACGGTGGAGGAAACACGGAAAAATAATAGGGTGGCAAATCCAGGAACGTTTTGGTTTGACGCCTCCTCAGCCTCTGCGAATAACAAGGGTTCCAAAGCTTCCCACCTCCAAAAAGACAGCGTGTGGCAGACCAAACGGACAGCAATGTTATGACTAGTATATGTATAGATGATCCAGCCTTGACTGCATTCCTGAAAATTACTGGAAATTATTTCCTTGATTCCTGAAAATTATTTCTTGAAAATTATTTTCTGAAAATGATTTCCGTGACATTCCTGCTCAGGGATGCAGGTGAAGAAGGATGAACTACTACGCATGATATGTCTAACGGTGCCAGCTGCAGCTTTAGAATATCAGCCGATAACCGAGGAATTACTCGCTCGAATGGAAGCTATGTCACCGGTTCAGCAGCAGAAGGGTCGCGAGATCAAAAGGATGCTAGGACAAATGGGTGGACCATTTACAGTGAAAGCTGAAGGAATCAAGAAGGTAGAAGGCGAATGGAAAAGCGTAAGGCAGTGTACGCCGATACAAGGCGAGCGGAAAGATATGGCAAGACAATTATACGACAAATTGGCGAAGTTGTCTTGATTTTACGTGCTGTGTTTCTGAGACTTGGTCTCTTCAATAACAAACTCTGAGATGACGTTAGTCCGGGATGTTGATGTTGCATTTCGTGTGGAGGTTTAGTCCTCTCTGGAGATTGGTTACACTAGAAAGAAGATCTATCATTTTCTATCGAGTCACTTTGCAAGGATCGGGTCTTTTTCACGTTACTTAGGTTCATTTTCATTTTCACATTCACCACAATCACAGTAGCAACGACTGCTGTCAAGTCTGGTTATGGGGATTTCGGGTTCAGACTTCATGTGAACTTTATTTTCAAAAGGGGACACACAGTGAAAAAGTACTTAGAAATAGATTGATACAGGAAACGCCTTGGCTTGCTTTATGAATATGTTGTTGGGAATGCATGTTCGGACATAGTGTGTATCGTTACTGGGAACTACTTCTTGTGGGATGCTTTTTATCGCATTCTCTATGTGCAGCTTAATATTCGGTACTGAGTGAACAATCTTTTTCTTTTCATCATTCCAGACAAGAAAAGGTGCTGCTTCTCAACACGGGAGAGGATGATACTTACTTCTACGAGTGAATCAGAGTCGTGAGCGTGACGATGAAATTCTTCATAGAGTGAGGAGATGCTTCTTGTCGAATAGGACGGGAGGCGGATCGGTACAAATGCTAGGAATAGAGTGGAGTGTTGCATGAGCTTTTGAAGATACTTCCAGGTTTGGTTTTTCTTTCACCATACATGTACCACACCACGCTTTGATGTAGTTGTTAGCATGCGTTACTTTGTGTCATTTTCATATCCACCCCCTTCACTATCTGAAGGGGTGACGACATACAAATCCATCATGTGTAACACCACCATTTCGTACTAATTATTGATTTGTTCTTCTCATACTTACATACATCATCTGAAGGAAGAGGAAGATGAGCGGCGTTGTGCGACCCTCTCGTTTGTTGCGGGGCCCTGTTGCTCCAAGGCGGCTTGTTGCTCAGAGGCGAACAGGGGTCGGGGTTCCTTCGACATATAATGTCATTCCTAGTCATTCTTGTGGATCTCGAGAACGGCGTTGTTTCTCTACCCTTCCGAGCTGGACTGCATCTGCGGAGTCCGAGTCCTCTACCTCTTTGGCAGCTAGAGCTCCAGCTCAATCTGAGCCTGGTTCTGGCGTTAAGGCTACAAGAAATCCATCTTCACAGGCATCTTGGTCCCGTTTTCAAAGGAAAAACGAGACCCAAGATGCTGCTCAAGATGGATTTCTCTTAGTTCTAATGGCGGCATTGAAGTTCTTCGCTCGGATGGATCATCAAACTCAGAAGTGGGTACTCGCATCAAGAAAAGCGGAACTGATGGCAACAAGCTTGAGCCTTTGGTGGAGAGATGGCAATTGGATAGTGTGGAGTGGCGAAAGCGTGCAAGTCAAATTCTTACAGAGCAAATGCAGCTGCAAAATGAACAACTCCAAGATGAGCACAAAAGTGTCAAACTATCGGAACCTCGTGCGGATGTCGACGCATTGTTGTCCATGGTAGCTGCTTGCAACGCAGCAAGTGCGCCAGCTGCTGATCGTCGCAAGCTGAGGGAGATGCTTCGTGGAGGTTTGACGACAGAATCAGCAGCGTCAAGCTCAACAACTACACCTTCCCCATCTGTCATAGATCGCGTTGCTTCAATGGATGAAGCTCTACTACGATCTTTACTTGGCGCTGAAGAAATGGCTCTACTTTTCCGTCATCTAGCAACCGGTGAGAAATTTCCGCTGCAACTGATGCAGAAACTAGTGGTCGGCTTATATCGTCGCGTGGACGACTTGCGGGAAAGCGTGGCCCAGACAGAGAATGAGGACGATCGACAGACCATTTGGGAAAGCAGTGCAGCAGAGGGCACAATGTCTGCGGCATTGTTTGGTCGCTTTGTCTTGGGAAGAAAGTTGCCTGTCTTAGCCTCAGTGTTGGACCAGAGGGTGGATGCACTGTTAGGCGAAGCGATTACCTCTGCGAGTTGCGAGACGCCTTTTGTTAAGGCTATATCGATTTCAAGTCGTTGTAGATGAAAATGTAGAAGAGATGAAACAAGTTTTTTGTTTTTTTTTTTCTTAATCTTAATTCTCCATCTCCTTCCTTATTAGGAATTTGAAGTCGTTGTTGTTGACGCAAAAATCCGAGTCAGTCACAAAGTCGTCGTAAAGTTCTAACTCTGACCCACTCCGGGCTCCTCGATTTTCTGCTTTGCTTCTCCACTATTTGACGCTGTTTCGTGGAGACGAAGGAGGAACTGGCTTGGGGCAATTGTTTGCAGAACTATTAACGTCCTCAATTCCGTCAGAAGCGGTCGAGCCGAACCCGTTTGAGAAAATTGGAGAGTCGCGTTTTGTGAGTGGAGCTGGAGCTGGAGGAGAGGCGAGTGTGCCAGACATTGCGCGTCTGGATTTGCGATGCGTGTTTGCGGATAGTGACATCGGAAGAGTTCTGGAGAACCACCCACAGGAACATAGCAGCAGTATTGGTTATGGAAACTTCTTGCTGATTTCGTTTTCGTACTATAACATATCTTGCTGATTTCGTTTACGTTTTCGTACTATAACATATCTTGCTGATTTCGTTTTCGACGTACTATATTGACATATCTTGTTCGGGGTCGTGGTCAGAAGAATGATGAGAGGTTTTTTAAAGCCAACTTTTCGCCATTCGTGACAGTTTTTGGCTGTTTTCTAATTTCCATATTTGGAGCAGCAGAGGCAAGTTTTGGGACGACTAAAATCTCTAGTCGCCCGAGATATTCCGCGCCTGGCGCCAGCAGATGCTCTATCACTAGTCGACGCTGTGTCGGTGGCCCAGCATGCTATGCGAAAGTACATCTTCGTGAACGTAAACTACAGCACGAGTTGTAGTACTGCTTCTAGTGGTGAACACACAAGTACAACTAGTGCAAATATTACTTCTGAGGGTCTTCCAAGCGGCGTGAATCTTCATTCGTCATGGGGCACGTCAGGGTCGTCCCTAGCTGCCGGCGCGGTAGTGAAAGCTGCTCCAGAACTGTTGCAGCTAGCTTGGCCAGCGATTTTGCAGTTGTGCTGCACACAGAGTTTACCGGTGAAGACCGTTGGTACATATCTCAATGCCTTTCTCGATTATGAAACGCGACTGGCAACACATAAAACGGACCTTGCGGAAAGCAGGATGTTCTACGACGAATACGTGGAGGATTACGCGGGGAAACAAGAGCGGCACTTCAAACGAGCGAAGGAAGAGGCTAAGGAGGATTTGTTGTTGGATCCCGAGTTGTTATCCACGCAAGAGGCCATGCAGCACATGGTTCGTGTACGGTTGTTTAGTAGTGAGGAGAGTGCCATTGGGGATCGTCGGCGCGCGGCGTTGTTACTACTGAATGCCGCAGACGTGACAAACGGAGCGACACCTTCGCTCGCGTCTTTGTGGCGGGTAGGACGGAAATTACTTCCGACAAGTCTGCACGCGGTGAGAGGAACGATGAGGAAGTTATGGCCTAATCATGTTTTTTTCAAGCTGTTTAATTTTGTGGGGTTTCCATAGGCAGGACTCGCTAACGGAGAGGAGGATCCCACAGCTGCAGCGGGAGGTCGAGGGTGGCGACTGGCTGGGGCGTGGTGCGGTGCGCTCCGCTCGGGTGTCTGCCACGGTTGGCATGGCGCCGCGTGGTGCGCGAGCGTCGCCGCCGCTTATTAGAATTCAGCGCAACCACGAGGGGCCGCGGAGCGCCGATCGGAGATGCTTGCGCCGGGGCCCTGAACATGGGGAGGCCACAGCTGAAGGGCGCGCCTTCACTTCTGGGCTAAAACCGAAGACGCGCCCGCGGGGATGCTTCGCCCCGCTTCGAAGAGGGCCCGGGCGCGTGTGGTTCTTGTCATATTCTTGCGGGTAGCCCTACCAGACAGGCACAACTGTGGAGACAGCACGACGCGGGCCCCGGCTGGGAAAAAGTTGCAACGGCGCCGGCAGCTGAGGACCAGCGAAGCGCGGGGGAGCTTGCGTGCTGTGCAGGCTGTGCGGAGTTGCGGGGCACGTGGCCGGTCTTGACGCCTGCCAAAGGTCGCGCTTGGTCGGATGAAGGAACGCCGCGGCAGGGGCTCGGCAGCGTTTTGCATGCTGGCAACGTGTTGGGCGAAGGACGGCCAAAAAAATCCAAGAGAGCACGCGAGAGAATTCCTCCGCATGTGCCGCCAGTGATAGCACAGAGCCGGCCTGCAGGGATGGACTGGCAGCGGCAGGGGGGGCTGGTAGTGGGATTATCTGGCTGCTTAGTAATTCACCTCGGAGGTAGGTGCGACAGGCTGGCTGCTCTCCTTTGCTGTGGGCGGGATACAGCTCTCTTGGCTGTTCTTGCGTCTCAGAAAGTCCACTAAGGACGTGCCCACTTGTCTCAAAGTCATGCGCCTGCGGCGTCAGGCGATGGCTGGCGGCCTGTGGCTTCTGGTCAGTCCATTCTGGACGTGGTGCAGTCAAATCATGAAGCTGGCGGGAGAGGCTCACGGAGTCGCAACACCAGCGACCAAAATGGCCCCGCTCTCTCGTGGGTAGTTCCCTCATTTGAAGCGCCAGCGCTGTGCGCCAGCTTTCTGAATGCTATCCAGGCGGCGACTGCGACTGGTGGGGCTGATGACGTGCCTACACTTACTTCGATCGCGATGCGGGGCCGCGCTGCGTTCGCGATTCGCATGCGGGCCGCACGCCTTGGCAGTGTGCGTCTGGCGCTGCCTGGTTTGTGAGCCTTCAGGTGATTTGTTAGGTGGGGAGGCGAGTCGGATGGTTCTGGCGCCACATGCCAGCCTGCGGGGACCTCGCTAGGCTATGTTGGTATGGGCGGCACCAGTGCGCAAACGCAGTTGCAGGCTGAGCAGGGTCGCCAGCGGACGCGGGTGATGACAGCCAGGGCGCAAACAGTTCGCCTGAGAATGAAGGAACGCCGCTAGACAGTTGAGGCGCACGGGTGACGAGAAGCTCGCAGCGCTGAACATCTTGCGCCCACAGCGTTGCAAGCCGAATGCGTTTGAGTTCGGCGGGCTTGGTTCTATCAGTCAATTATGAGCATCACCGCGCTGCCCGCCTTGTTTGTTTTTGATTGTTTGCGTACTACTAGCGCCAATCCTTTGAGGCTCAGTTAGGCGTCTTCTCCTCCTCTAAGCAACCTATCGGCAGAAGTTGGCCGCGGTGGCACCTTAACGCAAACCGAAATAGATGTTGGCTTCACTGATGTTCCTGCCGTTCGCGGGAGTGCGACAGAACTTGCATTATTTCTAGCAGAAGCAAAAGCTGACGGCTTTAAAAACAACTTCGGGATGCCTTCACTCACAAGAAGTGTCGTGTCTACATCCGTTTCCCAAACTCAAGTCTCGGATTTACTAAAGGCTCTAGTAGTCGCTGCCAATATGATGAACAAATCCTCGACGCTTCATCATCTTCGGGATACCACAACAAGTATGACACTTCTAGATGCAGAAGAAGTACCGGGATACCTACAGTGGCTCCGCCTCGTTGCATTGGCCATAGCAGAAAACCAAAACGTGACGCGTTTAGTGCCTGGTGAGGAGCTTCTGCGACTTGCCACTACTTTGGTAGACGCACAGCCTGACGTGGCAGAGAAGATCATTCAAAATCTCTTGGACAGTGGCGCAGCCACCCGGATGGGCATGAAGTTTGAAGCTTTAACTGAACTAGCAGACCTACATGAGAAGCGCGCGCAGCACAAAAATTCGAGATTAGATGGCGGTGAAAGCAGCACCAAAGCTTTTACAAGTAGTACCTCAAGGGCAACGGCCTCCTCTTCTGCGGAAGGAGCGATTCAAGATCATGCTAGAACTACCACAAAGAGAGAGAAGAACATCTTTGCTTCGTCAGCGGCAGAAGGAGGCGAGTCAAGGCAAGAAGCCTTTGCGAAGTTGTATCTTTCTTTGATTAAGGCAGATTGTGTATGGTCACAAAGAAACTGTTCGAATCATCAAGCAACAGAGTTTATTATTTCGTTGGAGCTTTGGTAGCTTAGAGTGAGATGAAGCGAAGCTCTAACCTCACTCGCGAAGACGTGTCAAACCTCAAGACCGCAGAAACAGTGCATTTCGTGAAGCAACGGAGTATGTTGAGCCAAGATCTATTACGAAGTGCGGGTGTCCACGAAGCACACAAGGACTTGCTACGTCGCGCGAGCAGCACAGGAAGCGATTACATGACTAAACAGGCACTGCAAAGAGGTTTCCAACTAGGCGAATCGATTACAACTTCTAGTTATATGGATGTGCCTGAGTGCTATGCAACAGACTTGTGCCTTCAAAAACGGGTATTGAAAGCTGCAAACGAGTGCGAACCCTCGCAGTTGGCAGCGATCTGGTCTGCAGTGTGTACATTGAAGTGGGACAAAGACGTCGTAATAGAAGAGTTGCTTTCGTGCATACGAAAGCTTCTTGATCGGAAGAAGAAGAATTTCGAAGCGGGGTCTGCTGCGGGAATCATTAAGGAACAACAGGACGATAAGTTTCTAGACTCAGATGATCAATTTTTCTCATAACTATGAGCAACTACAGTTGTATGTCACGATTAGAAATTCTAATCTACTCAAAGCTCTGCACCAACTTCGTATCCACGACGGCGAATTGCTGAAGGGCTTGACAGATGCCTTCGCCTCTGCCACGGATCAAGATCGCGAGCTTGCTTTAGAGGCCGAAGAGGCTGGCGTATCTTTTCCGGTAGAAGATATCAACGCCTCAACCCTGGCTGTGATGCGACATCTGCACGAGTTAGCGTTCTATCCGAAGGGGAAACGTGAAGAGAAGAATCCGTTTTGTCACTTGTTGCAGGGTTTGCTTAGAAGAAGTACTAGTAGAGGCACTTCTAGCAAAACATCTTCTTCTGGAACAACTACGAAGTTGTCTCTTGGAGAACGTTTTGAGGCGTTGCATTTTCTTTCCTGTTGCAAGGTCTGGGACGAACCAGAGGAAATCAAGCGGACGTGGGTCATAGCAGATCGCCAGTACCGTAAGGAAGCGCGTCGTGCTGCTGTGCTTCGACTACGTAAGAATGCTAGTCCTCGCAGGAAGGGAGCGAAGATGACTTCATCCTCGAGGGGTGATCTGCAAACGCAAAGTAAGTTTACCAAGAAGTCGAGTAAACCCTTGTTCCTCTCGTCCCTCACTCCCTTGCAAAAGCGGCGCATGTTTGAAGTACATTTGCAAGACCTAACGCAAGGACCGTCATGGCTGCGACACTGGTTACTTGACGGTTGCGCTTCCACATCGGGACAAACGAAGTCCTATTGTGCTAGGAAAAGAGAGCGAGCACGAGAGGAGAGAGGAAGAAAACTTGGAGGACCGAGAAGGACGAGGCATGGTGGGAACAACAGTTCGTTAAACTTACACCAAGTAAACCATCCACGGTTCCCAGCTAGACTAGACTTATACGGTGTCATTCGGGATAGTGCGGCGCCAGCGTTCTTCGCACACGAACGATCTCGGCAGACTGAGATTGCTCTTTCTTCAACCTACCTGGATGTAGAAACAATCTTAGCTGCTAGCGTTATTAAGGCTACAAGATGAAATCTCTGATTTTCAGAGGCACGCATCTTGGTCCCTCCCGTCTTTCAAGGGAAAACGCGACCCAAGAAGACGCTTCTGAAAATGGGACAGAAAGACTTCTCTTACTTCTAATAGCAGAAGAGGGCTGACATCCTCCGCGTTTCAAGAACGTCAATGGCGGCGTCTAGCAACGGAAGAAGAGGAGATGGACGAGGCGTTGGACGCGAGACCCTATTTGGCGCAATGGGAGACGCTGGTATATCCTGCTCAGCAGAAAGTAGTAGTAGGAGGCTTGCAGAGAGGAGAGCAAGAACTCGTTGCGTCGACAAACGCTAGAAGTTTGATGCTGAATGAAGATCGAAGTCATGCACTGTCCTCGACAAGGACACCAGTAGAGACAGAACTACAAGATCGCACTTCTGTTGGGGATCAGCAAGAACAACGTTATAGCGTAGCTCAGCAGCTTCAGGAGAAGGCCACTCTGATGTCGACACAGGTGAGTAAGATGAACAATACAACCAGCAGCTCTACATCAACGCTGGAGATGAATTATGGTGGACAAGTCAAGTCTACCCCCACTTGCAGTTCTACTTCATCAAGCACGCAGCAGCAGCAACAGGAGCAGTCACAACCACGCGGGCGCATTTTACTGAGAAGACGCCAACAAAATGTTGAAGAAAGTGGTAATGCACCACTAACAGGAGAACAGACTGGAACCATTTCAACGGGATCAAGAGGTCTGTCCAATACTAGCGTTAGCGTCACGAGCCGGGCACCCCTTTCTTGTGTACAGAAAAGAACCGTTGGTGCTAGAGGTTTTTCGACTGAGAGCGGTAAAGGGCGAGACTCAGAAGATGATGTGCCAAGTGCAGCTGCCCTAGCTGCGGAGGCGAAACCAGCAGAACGAGCTGTGATAATGCAAGAAGGAGAACAGAGTTATGTGAGCAGAAATGAGTATTTTTTGTTGCAGTTGCTACAGCGGCAGATCGATGCCAATTGCAATCATACCTAGAGTTTGGAAGCAATGAGGGATCATTCGATCAATATTAAACGATCATTTTCATCTAAGTAGTTCCTTCTTCTAATCAAGCGCCACCTACTTAACACAACCTAGTACAACGCCAAAGAGAAAACAAAATGAACCGCGATCTTTCTCTGCGAGGACTTTCGAGGATCAAACTCAGCAGAAGGAACAGATGATCTCTCCTTCCAGAATGCCTGATTTTAGTGCCTCAGTATACGATCTCATTCGACAGAATGGGGGTTGCAGAGCCAAGTTGAGAGAGGTGAGGATGCAACTGCAGAAATCGTATGGTGCTACACTTTTTGATAGGCGCCTCGACGTGCAGAGATTGGGTATGCCTTTAGCGGAGTTCATGGACAAGAACTTCTTTCCCCTCAGCGAATTTGAACCTGCGACGGACGCAGAGATTACCGAAAGTGTGAATCTGATGAAGCAGTTCCTGAAACCTGTGCGAGAGTTTTTAGATGTCCGTGGACGAAGTGCACGGTTTCATGGTGCGTGTTTGCAAACTGAGAGGGGGAGAACAGAAGTGTTGGAAGCCTTTTGGGTTATGGAATCGATTGTTGGAAATCATTAATACTGTTCTTGGAGAGCAGAATAGCTGTAAGCATAAGTTGTAGAGTATTGATGTCTGACGAAAGTCTCTTTCACTGCTTCCTTATCTTTCTTTATCTTGGTTTATTTCTAACTCCCACGCTATCGGTTGTCCTCCACCACCAGCGAACATCGTGCTACGTCAGCAGTCAAGCGGTCCTCCACATACCCAGTCATCCGCCAAAAAAGATCGGGAGAACGCGGTGACAAAACTGCGAAAACAAATGGCTAGACGAGAAGCCGAAAGGAAGCGGCTTGCACGTCTTGTCGTGCGCAAAGATTAAGGCTTCCTTTAATCCGTTTTTAAGATAGACGCATCCTGATGAGGAGACTTTTCAATGGGGAAAGGGAATCAGGATGCTTGCTTCTCAAGACGGAGTCTTGGCGGGGTAACTAACCTCTTCTAAAAAGAGCATGCAAGACTGAAAACATTGATGTGGGACAATTTTTCGGATTTCAAAGCGGAACCCTTGATCATCCGAAAACTGATTGAAGCTTTGCAGCTTCCCGATGCCTCTGCTGTGCCAGCAGTCTTGGGGAAGTCGCTGAGCGAGTTCATCAAAAAGGATTTGGACAAGCCAGAACCTATGGATCCGTTGCTTGATTTGCCAGAAGAACCCGAACCAGAAGAAGAGCTTTCTTTCTCGAGTCCTAGCGGTTCTCTGAGTGCTAGTCCTAGCGGTTCTCTAAGTGCGACATTCGCGGCAACAAAATCTTCTGCGGGTGCATCTCCAGCAACGCAATTACTCTTAAGGCAGCTTGCGTAGGAAATAATACATCTTCGTCTTCTTGTTCCCACTCATCGCTGTGCCGTTTCCCTTAAAGGGAAACGGGTTCTTGTACGGAGATGCTCATTTTTCCAACCAGGAGATGCTCATTTCTGCAAGTTCTAATAATATCAGAATCAGCAACAGCATTACTCGACAAGTACACCAAGTTGCTCCATGGTCGGTCTGCGCGCAAGCTCGATTTGATGGATACGGGAAATATCCGTGGTTTGGTCCACCAACGGGCGCGGCGGTTGTTGCAGAGATCATTGTTGGCTCAGCAATCTGCACGTGGTGGTTCGAGACCACCGAGAAATAACAAGGATATCAAGCGGTCGTCTTCGTCAAGAAGAACATCTTCAAAAGCTGGTAGCAAGAAAGCAGACCTTGTTGTCCGTGGCAGAAAAAGTGCGATTGAGAAAGAAAGACGGATGAGCGCACTTGATGCAGAAAGGAGAGAAATCGAACTTGACGAAATGCATACTGCATTGCCCATTGGGCGAAAGCTTTTGATGGTATTTTTATTAGACTTATGCATCTTTCCATACTTGAGTTTGTGGAAAAGTTCATTCGTTATTTTTCGATATCACAGAATTAGGTTCATCTCCTTCGAGCAGTCCTTCCCAGGAGCCTTATAATAATTCTTCGAATGAACCCTACCTCCTAGGTCGTCCCCGCACACGAGCAGCTCCGAATCTACCGACCTTGTGGGAAGGACGTAAACCCACATGGTTTATCCGGTGACGCACTGAGGCGTATCGCGAATTTAGAGGGTTTAGGGGAGGATGTTACGATCCTGACAGAGCAGAGCTGGACGGACAGTATGTTAAGGCTCAACTTTCAATGGTCACCATTTAGATTGGAGTCACTGAGATCGAAGAGGCGACCTTCCCTTGAGAGTAGAACAGCGGAAATAAACGAAGGGAAAGGGGAGAGCTTTGAAGGGGGTCGCTTCCGTTCAGAGTCGGTGACCAATGAGTGCTGAGCTTTAAGTATGGCACTGTCGGAGAAGAAAGCGGCGTTGAGAAAGAAAATAGCTTTCGAATGAAGTCTTAATCATGTTTGTCTTGCGTCTTTCCATCTGAAACGGCAAGATGGTATTAAATATTACCATTTTTTTATGCCGGAAAGATGCCCATCGAGGTTTCTGATACCGTTTAGACCCATAAGAAAGTGTCGTTTTGTCTTTTAACCTCGTCTACCGAAAGCATGCTTAAGATTTATGTTATTTTTTCTTCACAACGAACGCACCAACTAAATTCCTGTGAGTGATGTCATTGATAATACCTTCTAGTACGAAGTAAAAGTAAAATTTACAACCTACATAATTAGAAATTATCTATGACTATGCTTTGAAGATAGAAACATTTATTTGTAAACTCATCTCATGAAGATCTTCAGACTACTTTTTGTCATGTTGTTCGTCCACAAGAAACAAGACTCAGGTATTTCTTCCCTAGAGAATACATCAACATCGACAGTTTAGCAAAAGCCTAATTCGTCTATTTGTGATGTGGTCACGAAAAAAAAACGTTACAATTATAGAGATGGTGGACAAGCTCCTGCACCAGAGTGGTTCAAGTGTTCCTTCAACGGGCACGGGCTTAGTGTAGTGACCACTGTGCTTGGCGTTCTTGTTCTCAGTAGATGCCGATCTCCTCTACATAGGATTGTGGATCGAGGATGCTTTTCGGTAGAGTAAAGTGCTACTAAAGACGTAGTCGTGAATGCTCACCTCCTCGAGGCGAGCAAATTCCCATCCCCCAAAGACGCCATGATGATGATAGTGAATGATCATGTTGCCTGCGCGGGTCCTCTTCATGATCCGTAAATGATCTGGTTATATGTAAGTTGTAGCAAAATCATTTGTAAGGGACAACAACATCATCTAATCTAAAGTCCTAAAGTCTTCTACAACCTCTAGCGGCAGGAGCTTTTTCGAAAATTATTCAAGAGGAACAAGAATGCGACTCCGATCCCCTGCCACGTGTGCGCGCAATGGCGCACCTTGTGGTCTGCGCAACGGCGCACGCCGACACGTCTCTTCAGCAGCCTTGCGGACCGTTCAGCCTGATGCCACCGCTGAAATGGATAGGGACTGGATGCATATGGTGAATCGCGCTAGTCTACATTTGACTAGACTGAGGCAGATGAATGCAGCAAGGACTGCGGGAAATGATCAACATGTTGCAGGACGACAAACTGTTGAAGTGGCTGGTGAAAGACTTGGTGTGAGCAGTGTAGACGATCGTTCAATGGAGACGACCTATGGAACAGGAATTCCAACTACAACTACGTCCTCCAGATGTTCCAGTCCTACTGATACTTCTAGCGATTTTGGACTGTCTGCATCCACTGATTCGACCGCGAGTCCCTCAATGAGAAGCACTACAACTACCTTCGACTTCCATTCCCCAAGCCCGAGCACTTCTGCAAGTTCTTGGGTACGAGAAGATCGCGGTGTGCCTCCAGTTAGAATGCCTCCTGGGGGTGTGGATATTGACACTTTTCGCGTTGCAGAGTTGCGACGAATAGCGGAGAGTATTTTAAGGCTAGCCAATCAACTCTGGAAGGACCATCCGATTATATAGAGTTAGTAAAAACTATCTATGCTGTAAGTGGATTCTAAATCTTCCGAAATTAATGGACTAAAAAAATAATACTTATGCTAAATGGATTGATTCATTCCCCTTTGAAGTCAAAAAGAAGATTTTAAGGGAAGAAAAGGGAGCCCGTTCAGGCAGGAAAAGTGATTGACTGGCGCTAAGTATAGCGGAAGCGCATGAGGCTGAGAGTTCAGCGAGTGCGTCTGGAATATTTGGAGGTGGTTTGTGCTCTTCGAATTCATCTTTCACGAGTACTTCTGCTTCTCCTAGTAATGGCGTGTCCTCGTCACAACTGGGTAGTTCAGCTTTTTCTGGTGGAGTGGTCACTGCAGACCATACTACATCTTATCTTCATACAATGAACATGAATGATAGCAGGATGATGAACAGCTTTGGTATACAACCAGGATGTGCAACATCATCTTCAAGCTCTTCTAGTGGTCACTCGACAACCCCATCATCTTCTCCTCATTTTACGAGTCTACAACTACAGAGTACTTCTACTTCCTCCAGTTCCACCAACGGGTATAAAAATCTACAGCAGCAAGAACAAGGAGAGTCATCTTCCTCTTCTAGTGCCTTTGCTAGTGGCCGAATACCTGGAACACTGTCGATGATGCAGATCAACGATGCTGTGACTATTGTGTATCAGCTCGCGCGATACCAGTATCCAGACCATGCGTTGTTTAAGAAATTGTCCCCAGTCTTTACGCAGAACCTTTGGCGATGCAACTGGGATCAGCTCTGCCACATAGCGTGGAGCTACTCGCTGATGCAGGAATATGATACGAAGCTTTTTGTGCGGATGGCACAGGTGATGCTTCGAAAAGTTCACGTCGCAAGCATCCCTCACCTAGTTCGTTGTTGTGCCTCCTTTAGTCGCTTGAGTTTTCGAGATGACAGGCTTCTCTACGTAGTTGGACGACGCGTGAGGAAATTCTTGAAAGACGACGAAACAAGTCCTAGAAATGTCCTGGGAAATGCTGGTATTACAGGAATAGGAGACGCAAACTTGTACTTGGCTGGCACAAGGAGCGAGGGTGGCACGGAACATTAAGGCTACCCTTATAATCCATCCCTACTCAGGCATCAGTACAGGCATCCACAGGTATGCTGCGTAGGAGTGATGGATTAGCGCTCACTTTAAGAGCAAGATGACGAAGATGCACTCCTGTCGCCTCCACCTCGCTTTTTTGACTCACCTGCAGTAACAATGTCGGTTTTGTCACAGCTATTGGAGGTCTATGCTCGCGTCAATTACTGCGACCCACCTTTAAGGCTAGCCTCGAAATAAAAGATTTGTATCATCTCTATGTATGAGGAAATCGGGTGGCCAATCCGCCATCGCCTCTGGTCGCCAGCCACTCCCAGCCCTTCAAATTAACTAGTTAGTTTAAACTAGCTAGTTAAGATAAGTTGGCTTTCTTTAGAAATTTTTTTTTCCAGGGCATGGAAATTTGAGGATGATGAGTTTTTTTATCTTAATGAATAAAAGATTTGTATCATCTTCGTTGGGGTGAGTGTGGTTTGGACTCGCTAGTATCCTGAGTCGCGACTGCTGTTGTGTTTAAATCTTATGCTCTGAGGAAATCGGCAGGCCAATCCAAAGAGAAGGACAAGCATTCACCATTCACCCAGGTCAAGCTGATCAAAAAGAGACTACCGCTAACACTTCTGCTGCGTAGGGTCTTTCGCTATTCCTACGACGAGCGACACAGGATTTACCTAGAGAGTAGAGCCACGATCGCACGCGTCGCGTACTACATGCATTGGCTTGGCGTCTGGCATGAGCCGTTTTGCAACTACCTAAGGCACGAATTCCTTCACTCGCCAGACTTTGAAGACGAATGCCCCTTAGTTGCCCTAGAGTACGACACAGAAGACCCGCGAGAAGTGTGGAACCAACAGTATCGCACTGGAGGAAGGGTGCTTCATCGCTTGCGTCAAAGACGAGCAGAATGGCGAGAAAAGAAACTGGTGGAACGAAGTAGAGGACTTCGCAGTAGTACGCATCATCAATTGTTAGAGGGACAGGGGGATCGAGAGTGCCAGAATAGAGATATGAATCACCCTGATGATCACGTAGACCAGAATCTTCAAAACAGTGTTCTTGAAAAACTTGATGAAGACGATGTTAACAGCAAGATACCTGTGTTAGCCTCCAGTCTCAAGCCACCTAGTCAGATACGTGCAGAGAATTTATCGGGATTGATTTTGGCTCGGGCGACGACCTTAGCGTTCAGTGCGTTTGGCCATCACGATGTCCGGTTTTTGGACCAGTTGCTAGCTTTGTATCAACGCTGCTTGGAGAAGAAGACGGATAAGACTGTAGAATTCACGCAAAATTTCGCATGTAAACGCTTTGTTACTGCTTTAGTGGCCTGCAGATGGTCTGGAGCGGATTTTGGGAATTTTTATGAATGGATGATACAGAATTTGTATTTGAACTGTTTGTTTTGATGAAGTACTATTTGGTCCTTTATTTCTTGCACAGTGAGCATTCTGTCCTCAACAGGTTGGTTGACATAACAATGTAAGCTTCTCCTCTACTTCTCACTCCTCTCTTCATACCACAACCCTGCAAACCTTACGCGACTTAATGCCCGATATGGTTGGTCCTGCGGCAGCCTCTTTCCTCGCAGAAGTTCCAGAGCCTCGCGAGGGTGGAAAAAAGCTGTTGTCTTTTTGTCCTTACTCAATCGTAGTACCCAGTTCGAAACAGATGCTGTCAACGGAGCCTGAAGCAGACACGAATGTCTCCTCCTCAGTGTTGCACGAAGAGGTGTCAGCTGCAATAGAGAAGGTGCGTGAAGAGGAGGCAGAAACAGTAGGTAGTGTTAAGGGGGAGAAGTTGACATCTCTATGAGCATTCCTATGGTTTCTTCAATTAGGAAGCCCATAGATATGCGAGCTAGAGCGGTCAACTTTCGACCTCTAATAGTGAGAATATTTTTGGGAACAACCAGGCGAAAGATCGAAGGTTTGAGCATTTTTGTGGACTTTACTTTGTTGATACATTATTTCCTGCGCCTTCTGGACCTGTACGGTCATTCACGGATAGTTCGTCGTGTTTTGAGTAGCGTGCTTCATATCTGAAATTCTTGATAGATTGAGACTCGTCGCAACCGAGCTCTTTACCATTGACGGGTCGTAGGCTTTCGAGAGGCGGGGAATGTTGACATTTTTCGTTGAGGTAGACTTTTCGTTTCCGGTGTTCGTCGCATGTCTCTGGCAGCGTTCCTTCGTCGCAAGCTTCTGTCATCGGTCGACTTAAGATCATACGGATCTGGTGTTCGTCGATTTTGATCTGGGATTATAAGAACTAAAGTGTTCGAAATCGTGTACTTAACAGTGTATGCATTTTGATAAAGTTAGTCTATCAATCAAAGAAGCATATGAAAACTGAAACTCAAGTTGCGCAAAAAATAGACAAGAGTCTGGTCCTCGTCCTCTCACAGGTGCCAACATAGAAGCCCATAATAGGGCCCATTTGAAAGCACCAAACAAGATGGCCGTGCTCACCCAGATCCTGGGCACAATGGGCCTCGACGTGGATGCAAACCCGAGTAGAAAGGTTGAAATCAAATTTAGGCTCAAAGGCATGCCAGAAGCGGCGGACTCCGTAGTTACTTTTAAGGCTTCCCCTAATCCATCTTCTTTTTAGGCCACTGGGCGAAAGAGAAGAGTCAGACGAAGGCAGAAGTGGCAACCTCGTTGGGAGAAACGGGGGATGTTCTAAGAAAGTCCTCTTTTTGTGGATCTTACTTCAGACTGTTCCAGAAGGGGAAAGCGGCCCCAAGAAGAGTCACAAGATGGATTAGGGAAATCGCTAATACCTGCGAGAAGGACAAGGGTTCCTGTGATTTGTTGTGTCAACGCTTTTTCGGAGGAGATAAATCCAAACAGCTCGCGCCTTGTCTCGAGGCGGTGCGGGATCACTTCGACATCGACAAGGGGCTGGCGGCAAGTTGTGCGATTATGTAGTGGCACCGTTGCAACCAAACCTTGCTCAGGGCAAAGAAACTCCCGTTTCTCGAAAAGGGAAGAGAAACTCCCGTTTCTCAAAATTTTGTTTTTCCTCATTGCATAGCTGCGGCACACATCATGCATAGCTCGTGGAGACGTATCCTTTGCTTGCGTAGAAACAAACAAACGTAAAGATGAACAACCTGCTTTGTGCCATATTAACATATGTGTACCAGGGAGGGAGGTCCCCGCCTGTATATAGATATGTAAATGAACTGTCTGCCTTCCTGAATTCTTGACTGCGTCGACCACGCAAGTGATGATATAAGCGTTGTCGCGCTCATGCAACTTGGCAGTGGTGTTCCACTTCTCCACGAACGGAAAAAAGAAGAGAAGATATCACGAGCTGGCTGCGCTGATCTTAGCAACAATTTTTGCGATTTCGATATATATAAGTACTTCTTTAAGACCGAAAAAAAGTTTTCAAACACTGACTGTGTTCTAGATGTCGGAAGTAAAATAAGTAGTAGGCTTAGATATTACTGCGTTGTAGATGTCGGAAGTAAAATAAGTAGGCTAGCTTAGATATTTTGATGTTTTACTTTTAGGTCTCAGTAAGATGGAAAAAGAAACGATGAAGCATGAACGCTTTGTATTGGTTGTTGTGCGGCATTGTGTATGTTATCGGTGTACTTCATTTTGGAACTAAAGTCATGTCGTTTTGGTCTGCAGGTGGAGCATCATCTTCGTCAAGATCGGTGATGCCATCTTTTCAGATTATGACATCTTCAGCAAATAACAAGTCGCCTTCGACGATGACTGCAAGTTGTAGCATCTTCAGGGGATCATCTCCACCTGCAAGTACAAAAATGCTAGGAAGTAGAGGGAAAACCCCTACGGCCTTTCCTTCAACGAGTAGAAGCCATTCCACACCGACTACATTTTTTCCGGCATCTTCTTCTTCGAGTCAGCGTCAAGAACACTTACCGCACTCGACACCTCCAGCTAGTAACAGTCCACCAGTAGGAGACCCAGGTCCCCTCCTCGAACGGAGAGTAACAGCACCAGGAGGACTAGGAGGTGGTTACTCACCCTTCTTGCACGATGGATTCGTGACACCGTTTGAGATACCGACAAGGGCAGCAGGGTCTGCAAGTACTGGGTCAGACATAGAGACGAGAGCAACAGCACATAAGCATCAGGTGCAAGAGGAACAGAAGCAGACGAGCAGTGCCAACACTCCTTTTCCACGGACGCAAACAGTGCCCGTCCTTGCTTTGCAATCACCACCTCAAGCTGGTCGAAATGCACTGCTTTCTTCGTCTTTTTTTTCTAGTGAAGGTGGTGTAAGAACTGCTCAGGCTAAAAGTAAAGGAGGTGCTGTAAGTTCTTTACCACAGATACCAAAACGTAGGAGAGCTCTTGGGACAGCCTCCAGAGGAGTAGAAGCAGGTATAATCGAGGAAGACGGCTGCCAAGAAGAAGAATCACAAGCTTTTCCTCAACAAAGTAGAGCTGCAGAACCCGTACAGCAGGCACTCGATGAACAAGTTCCCTTGCCGAATGAAGATCAAGAAAACAGAAGTGCCAGCTCTAGTTCAGCTCACAGCACAGCCCGCGCTTTTGTGGAGAGCGTCTTACGGGATTCCTACACGGGTTTCGGCTTCTTATGGGCCGTGTGCTTTCAATTCGTGGCTGCGCTTCTCGTTGCCAGTCTCGCAGATGAGACGAATGAGAATCAGTCCCTGTCTGGAGACAAGAACCGTAGTGCGCATACTGCAACAATTTCATACAGCGAGGTCATTCGTATGCTCGCTATCCTGATGTCTTCGCATGCGTTCTCGGAAAAACGCATGTCCACGAGGAAAAACGAGGGAATCTTCATTGGTGCACCAGCTTCTAAAGACCGAAGCAATACGAAGAAAGACGAAAATCTTGATATTGAAGAAGAGCACAGCAGCGCTTCGAGTGAAGATCACCGAAGGAGCAGCCAGCTTCAAAGTTACGGCGAGTTTGGTAGAAGGCATGGACGACCCTTGATATCCCTTGATCATCTATCCAGAATTTCAGCCTTTGAAGCTCTAGAAAGATACTTACATTTTCAAGGAGGACCCACGATAGCGAAGTGTGCTTTGATCATTACGATTCATCGAAGGGTAGAAGCACTCCCTCTTGTAGCAGTATTTCAAATATCTTTTAACTCGATTGTGTTTTCATCGAATGAGTAGAAATCTAGACGACGGAAAGTCGACAAGAAGCTACTACGACGATAGAAGAAGAACCCGCGGCGGCCGGAAATCCAGATTGTCTTCATCAAGTAGAATGTTACACCATCGGGATCATGATGCTGAGCCAGCCAGTGATATTGATTACGGCTACCGTCGGGTTGGCGCCTTCGCCGTTCATGACAAGCAGCGATTGAGAGCACAGAGGAGTTCGTTTTTTACCCGTTGTCTGAGCCTCGCCTATACGTGTTGTGCAAAAATGCTTGAAGGTTTGGCAGCCAAGTGCTCTGACAGTCTGAAGCACTTTCCTGGCATTTCTCGCTTCCTGGATAGCGCGTGGCTGAATCAGTGTGCTGCATTTCGAGTGTGTTTGCTGATATCGACAGCATTGCTTGTTGGGCAAATCTGCATGTGGCGACAAGCGTCGTTTTTAGGGGTCGTGTATTTGGTGATCTCGTTTGCATGGCTGCATCATGCGGCGTCACAACGGGTTGCAGCAGCCTCGACGATGAAGAAGACTGAAGATGAAGAAGCACTGCTATACGACCACCATGAATTACATACTGCACGAGGAGACCTTTACTACACGAAGTCACGAGGTGGATACGTCGGAGGCCAGGTTGAACAAGAGCTCTTTGACCGAAGCAGACGCAAAACAAAACGAAGAAAAAGTGCTTCCGGCAGATTCCTTTCCTGCAGTGATACAGATGTGATGTTCTCGCGTTTTTCCAGACTGCCGACCGCAGATAAAAGAAATCAAGGCAAAAATTCTGATCAGGACATTTCAAGCGAATTATCGGCACTTCAGCGTCAACAACTGGCACTGCAGTCCTCTTCGTCATCTGGCACCACACCCTCTTCGTCACCCGGCGGACCGATTGCCTGTGGTGCAGGGATGACGGCGAGGACTGTGGATCGACTCTGGTCGATTCCTGAGGATGAACACGTAGGTGGAGACACAGGAGATATGACCACTCTCACTGGAACACCGCCGTTTTTTGTAGCACCCTCTCCTGCGGATGTTGTTTCGACAGCCGTTGTTCCGTGGTCCGCAGCGGGAGCTTTGGGGAGTGTTATGATTTAAGTATAAGTGTATGTATGATATTAAATAATTATCTTTAGAGTGAGGTCGTAAAAAGTCATAGAACCGGTTCTTTGAACAATGAATCTCTTCCCACCCGCAGGACTGGGACTAGCAATTCGTTGATCTACTACTTCTAATCCATCCAACGTGGTGCAATCTGGTGGCTATCTGTATTACCTGTATCCTGCTGCGAGTAGTTGTTGTTGGTCCACGTACAGGAGTCACCAAGTAGAAGTACAAGAAGCTCCGGCAGTGACTGGAGGCGAAGGAGCATCCCCAGAAGATCAACTTCTACATGAGACAAGAAGTGCAATAAGTATTGAAAAATCGCCACGTGGTTCTCTCACAGGATCTGAGAAGAGCAGTTCTTTCATCTATCCAGAAGGTGGTAGTCAGTCAGGACCAAATCATCAGTTGAGGACCACTAGCTCAGTGTTTTTTGATTCTACTTTGTTGGACAAGAAGGGTCGAACGCCGCGAGCCGAAGAGGGTGGTTCGACTTCTCATCAATCTTCACCTCTTAGTGGTCATGCTCATCATGATGAACTGCTTGTGCTTGATCATCATCACCAGGTTGATGTAGAAGCAGACAGACCTCCTAGAAGTCGTAGCCGAAGGTTTCCGCCTCGAGAGCATCAAAAGCTTGCATCGTCGCTTGTAGATGATGACAATCCGTTTTCGGAACTTGAAGAACGCTTACTTCAAGACGCGGCAGACTCTTTTTTGGATTTGGAGTCATCCGATGAGGATTCAAGCTTGTCGTCTCCGTCTCATCATGACCACATGAATCGTATGAATATCAACGACGAGACCGAGGAGGATAGTCTTTCGGACGATGGGAGTTATGATAGTAGTGGCGATGGGAGTTATGATAGCAGCAGTCTTCGCCGGAGCGGAACAAGGAGTCGAGGAGCGCAACATGCGCGCGTCGGGGAAACATTATCAGCATTTTTTTCAGACGCGGATGTATTAGGGACGACGACGAAGAGCCCATCAATTTTAAGTTATGAGGAGGCGTCGGAGGATCATGACAAAAACGACGCCTCGGACTCGGACTCATCGGATGGCTCGTCACTTGTTGTGCTTGTGAAGAGGAAAGACACTACAAGCCCCCGACCGAGTTCTCGACGACATAGAGACTTGCAAAGAGAGCATGTTGCGAATGGTCCGACGAAAGAAGATCGTTTTGTCAACACAGAAAAGGAGACTACATCGATAATATTGGACGACAATGTCGCCGAAGAGCAGCACCAGAGCTTAGAATTATCACGACCAGCTGCTAAGAACAATGCAGATGAAGATGACTGTCGCGTTTCCGATATCAAAAACACGACGCTTCCAGCAAATAATGATCAGTTTACGTCGCTTGCTGAAGAAGGTAGTAGAGACTTGCAACTACTAGTACAGCACCATGTGGCTCCTGTGCAAGAACTAGATGTTGATAGTTTCACCGATAAAGAAAGCGAACGTCTTCTATCCGGAAGAGAAGACCATGGAGAAAAAATAGACGATCTGGATAAAGATAGAGGGAATAAAGATAGAGAAAAAATAGACGATAGAGGGAATAAAGATAATCTTCCTCTTCGTGGCGCTGTTCTTGAAGAAGAACGAAAGATACCAGATCATGGTAATGATGAACGAAAGAATGCTGTGGAGGAAGAGAGTGGCATCAAGCATAAACATACAGTGGTTGCACCAGCATCCACTAGAAGCTCTTTAGATGTGCATGAGATTCTATCGTTAGAGAAGTCTTTTCTGTGGTTGATTTTCTATGCATATCTAGCAGTTTTAGCTATTGCAAGTGGAAAATGGATTGTCACGCACTACCTGTGGTCTAAGCCATCGGTAGTACGAGGTGGACAATCGATATCCACGAACAGTAGCCACGTATTAATACCACCACTAATTACAGACCCGAACTACGTTAATATCGATTCTAATAGTTTATTAAGCTTTTCTACATCGACTGCATCTAGGATTGACGCCGATTTGACGAGTACTTCGATTTCAACGTCGGCCCTATCAGCTGCATTAGAGCACGGACGTGGTCGAACTGTGCTCTACAATAATGCTGGTTCATCAGGAGGCTCTCAACATGCTCTGACAGGGCCACCCTCGTCACTACCGATATTGAGCCAAAACCATCATGCCTCTTCGGCTTTGTTAAACCGAGCAGATTCGTGGAATACAGCTCAATAGGCGTCTCTAAAGGACTCGACTGAGGTTTCAGAATCATAGCACGACTATATTATCTGTTCTGTCTCCGTATAAAAAAGGACACATTTATTTTCAATGGAGGCATTTTCTGAACTACGAGGACACGACTATGTCATTCTTTCCTGATGTCGTGGCGATGTGTTCGAGAAGAGCAGACGTGAAATGTCTTTTCGGTCACGCGAGAAGAACTTACTCTCATCATGATCTGTTGCGTCATTGGAAACATCGGAAAATCGATCATATGTATCTGTTGCCTACAGGATGAATCCAATGATCACCTGCACCTCGTCGTGAGAAGTATGCTGAAGTGACCCAGACCTTCCCCATGCATCCTGCCATGCTTTTGACTAAGTAGTATACGCGTAGTATGTGCAATGGATTTTTCGCTTTGCGTAGCGTATTTGATTTCTGAGTATACTAGTTCTCGAATATTTTATTTATCATGATACATTACGCCGTCCACGCAATTTCATATCATTCGCCACTAATTGATGAAGATCGCTTTCTTTCACTAAGCTTTGTATGCACGCACATGACAGACACAGTAAAAAAGCGTCCATGTGACAACAGAAAAGAAATTGCACAAGAAACAAGTTCGCGCATTCATCTCATTGTAATCTTCGGCTTGAGCTAGTATTTGTTTATAAGACCACTAACAATCGTCCAGCAACAAGCTAGATAAGCGGGTAGAAGTCGTAGGGGAAACCTTAGGCAGATCGCCGAGTAGATTAGCACCATCGTAGCATTGTGTTGGTAGTGTGCAGAAAGTCTCCTCTATCACTCCCAACGTTCTTTCTACTTTGCAAACCTCAACAAATAAAGCGATCCCATAGCCGAGCCGTTAACGCAACTCTGTCCTTTATTTGCCCGACACCTAGCGAAAAACCTAGCGAAAAATAAATCGCACAAGAACACGAGCATGCTTTCTTGTGTAGGCCTAGGCCTTCTCCGAGCGGATGAGGAGGAGACGGACAGGTGGTAAAAAAGCTGCAGTTGAAGACGTCGAAGATAAGGAACACTCAGTCTCAGAGCAATCAGCTAGGAATCGTAAAAATCAGGCTAGTAATCATAATCAGGACGATTATAGTTCCAGTCTGAGCGTCGTCGCACCTTCTCTTAGCACCAGATCTGGCACTGAGGCGGATGCATCTACAAGTACAACATCTTCTACTGAGAATACGTCGTTCAACACTGCGGGCACAAGAAGTGTAAAACCCGACAAAAAAGCTGCCACTTCTGTTGTACCTCAAGCAGAGCAAGAACGTCTTCTGGAGGAAGACCCTTTACTTGCAGAAATGAGCGCCAGCGTTCCTCGTTCGCGTAGTCCTCCCGGCAAACGGGGAGAGCACCAAAGGAGCTACTTGACGCCTTACGAACAGCTTCTGGACCAGAATCAAATCACAACGCCAAAACGTATCTTCAGCAATGCTGCTCAACAAGGCCAACCTAGTTGTATAGTTAAGGCTACTTGCAAGAAATCCATTTTTCTCAGCATCCATCTTTGTTTGGTCCTCCGTTTTCTAAGGGGAAACGGTCGCCAAGATACTCCAGGACATAGATTTCTTCTAGCTCTAATATAGAAGTAGAATCTTCATCCAGTAGTCACAATCCCAGTTATCGTCCTGGCGGACAGCCTGGACCTGGAGGTCCGCCTGCAGGTGCTGCTTCAAGGAGGTCTCGAGCGACCATGAAGAAACAACTCACGTTTGCCAGTGATCTAGATGAGCCGTTTTTTTCAGGAGAACAGAGAAGGAGAGGACCACCACAGAATGGAGGTGCTGGACAACATTATTTGCAGCAAGCAGCACAGTCTCAAAACCGAGGAGGCTCTCGACGAAGCGGCGTTGATGATCCAGCAGCTTTTATTCCATCTACTAGAGATTCTGGCTTCTATAGGAGTCAAATCCTTCAGGATACGTTGAATGAGACACTTTTAGACCACGAGGGTGGTCCTAGTTGGGGTCCTGGTCATTATACTGGCTTAGACCGTCCCTCCAACGCATTCGACGGACAGCATCTCTCTTTCAGCAATAACCACCCCGACGAGCTTTTACTGTCTCCCCGCGGCGAGAGCATGCAGGATGCAGAGTTGGCGTCGTCGTGGCGTGACTACAGTGCCAAATTAGTCCCGGCTCGACCGCCTCCGAGGGAACCGGCACCTGTTGGATTGATGCCTTATCTGCGTGGATTGTTTGCGAATGCTATTCCACGTGGCGGCACGTTTGGTAGCGAGACAAGAACAGAGCGTTTGAGGAGGCAGAGCGGGAAGAAATATTATGCTTCTAGTAGTGGCAACATCGACTCTTCTTCCGAAAGAGAGCGCTCAGGTGGAAACAACAACTCTAGTTGTACTACGCGCATGGATCATAGAACTTCTCGGGATACGAGAACAAGCGGAATTGATAACGAGATGACGCGACTGTACCACAGAGGAAAAACCAGGAGTGTAGACGAACAAGATAACGACCGAGTAGACGAACAAAGTAGAGTAGGGCGTGGCAACAGTATCGATAGAACTCTAGGTGGAAGTGGAAACAACACGGGTGCTGCGCAGTTGAGTACGTGGCAAATGTTGTTGGGGATGCTGAGAGGCCCTATCTCCAGTCGGAGTCGGATTAGTGACCGCGCGAAAATGCAACAGCGTGGAGCAGCCTCGCCTTACCCGATACACGAGTCAGATGAACTGCATGGTGACGAAGGTCATGGAGATCATGGTTCGGAAGGAGCTACGCTTCATCGCACCAACTCGTCAGATCGAGGCTTTTTGCGCAAGACAGAATACACGCCATCTTCCTATTTGCCGGAACTAGATACGGGTATGGGCTTTCTACCGTGGAGTGTGCGTGCTGATGCTCTATCCTATGCAGACGACCCAGTGGAAGAACGATACGTGGAATATGCGGATGGACGAAACGCGTTGCATTTCCAGTTGGACATGAGCAATCCATACGAAGGCTGCTCGTTTATGATGCCTCTTACGAACGAAGAGAAGGCGACGCATCAGGATACGACTTTTGTTGGAGTAGCCTATCAAATTACATCTTTGGGGAATTTGGACACGGTGCTGGAAGAGATGTCAACTGGAATAGAGCTGAGCATGCTGTTTCGGGTACTATTTTTCAGAAAGGGAGGTGATCTAGTGCATTGAGACATTGTGGTATCTTTGATTGAAAATTGGTTAGTCCAACGATAATCATTGCATGGTGGAGAGTTGTGTAACATCCGTTTTCATCGTCTGAACAAAACGATAGTCAAGAATTCCCTCGTCTCACACTGACTAAATTCCCATCTTCAGATCAAAGAGGAAGATGTCGAATTTTTTCAAGAACGTGTTGGTGAGGAGATCCGATTCGCCGATCTCGGTTCTCGCATGCCCGCTGCCAGACTTCTTTCCGCACCAGAAGAACCGGAAATCATCTCCGAAGTGATAGTCGCCGTCCGACGGTGTTTCAACCGGGACCGAGAATTGCTGCAGAAGTATAAAAGAAACCCTGTTGGTGCTGATATGGGAGTTGATCACGGAGGAGGTGACATGGACTGCTGGGAGAACGATAATGGACAACAAGCTCGTACTGTAGACATTGAAGTGGACGAAGATGGCGAAGCCGTACCACCATTGGCCTCCTACGTGCAGATCTATGGGAAGTACCGCTGTCGCTGTCGACAGGTCTTAGACTTGGCTCATTTTCCGTTCTCTCGGCAGTTGGTGCGATTAGTTTTCGTGTCAACGACCAATACGTTTAAGTACATTTTCGTCCCTTGGGCCTACATGCTGCCGTACTACGAAGTAGTAGAGGAAGAAGTGTTTTTAGCCGAAAAAGAAGGAACCGGAAAACGACGACTTGATTCGTTTATGAAATTGCAGTCTGGTGGTTCTAGTAAGGTGCTCGCTTTTAACAGCGAAGGTCATGCAGAGAAGCAGGAAGCTAATGCTGAGAATGATGTAGAGGGCGGCGAAAACCAAGAACAGCAACAGCCAACAGGCCATCTAGGTGCGCGTGGTAGCACAGTATCACCTGGCACAACGACAACTACTGGCTCCACAGTGATGCCCGCTGAAGATGCTAGTACTAAAGACGGCACGACTGGAGCTAACAACGTAGGAACTACATCTTTAAAAAAAAAGAAGTTGGGCTCTGATAGTAATTCTTCAACAACCGGAGCTGCGAGGAACTCTTTAACCGGGAAACAAGTGAATGCGTCAGGAGCGTCGACGATTTCAGCAGGCTCGGGCTCACACTCAAGAAACGATGTGAGTGGCACAGCAACAGACTTCCTAACATCTAGGATACTGGAACCGATACTGGAGAGTGATAGCAACCCTTCGGATCATTTCAGTCCTCCATTGTGGGCAACGCAAAGTAAGGAGAAGGTCCCCGACGAAGAAGATGATGACTATGAAGCGGCGATGGCAATGAAAAGGGGTGCGAAGACGCTGATTTTGTCTTCGACCGGAGCTCCAACCGCAAATGTTGATGCTCCACGCGACAGTGCAGCCGAACGCTCATCTGCCAGATCTTCCCAATTTGATTCCGTTATCTCACTCGGTGGTGGCACCAGTGTCTATTCAGAGGGCGAAACAGCTGCGCCAGAAGAATTCTCAGGGAGTGAAGACGTACACGCTGATAACAACAACTCCACTACAGTTCCTGCAGCTCGAGTCTCCAAGAGCGAGAAAATACGTAAGGAAGGTCAAGAGGGGTTTCAAATCTTGCTGAGTACTTCGTCGTCTGCAAATGCATGTGCGAAACCAGATCCGAGCACAGCTCACGTCGTCCTTCCAGACAAGTCCTACAGCTTCTCAGACGCTGTCCAAATCCCCGATATGGAGGACCCGGCAACTGGAGGATTGCCAACAAAAGCCCACATTGCTTTGATTCGTGCGGAAGGTGAAGCAAGTAGTGCAGGGGCTGTGCGGTCTTCATTTTTATGAGAAGTGAGTGACTTCTCAGTACTTACAACTACATAGGAATACTAGCGTTCTTTGTCATCAACAGACTCCTATTAATTTGTGAACTCAAGAACTACTCTTGGGTTCGTGATGAAACTACGTGGCTCTTTCTAATCCCCAACTCGATCAACAGTTCGACCACCTCTCGCGGCTCAGGAGGCAGCACGTTGTCACAGAATAGTACAGGCAGTTCTAGTCCTAATCCGGTGGGTGGAGACTTTACCGGTTCGCGAGGCGCCATGTTGGGGGAAGCAGAGCAGTTGGAATTTCAGCATATGTTCAGAGCACATCGTTTACGTGGTTCTCCTGCTGTGGAAGCATTGCGGGTTACGGGACAGGGAGATGGGACAACAACTGTTGAAGAAGCAACTATTGGAGAACAAGATGGTGTTGAGCTTGAGCAGGATGTAAACAAAAAAATAACAGCCACTCAGGAGCCAACAACTTTTGCCTCAACAGTCTTGGCAGGTGGAGCTGGTGCGAGTACTGCAACAATCGGTACTAGTACAACTAATATGGGTGCAGCTGGTGGTGGAGTTGCGGCAGATGGTGCGCCTGCGCGGCCGTCACTGTTGTCAACACTTTTTGGCTCACAAGAACCATCTTCAACGCCAGGAGCTGCACCTTATAATAGTGTTAGTGGTGAGACCATGATACCTCCATCTTCGGGAGACGGTGGAGCAAAAAATACTGCTCCTCAACCAGTTAGGCGCAAGCGCTATCGCTTAATCGAAATGCGTTTCCGACCTAGTGTTTTCAAAGGGCGATCCCGTTTATCGCAGTCTTGGCTTTGCAGAAGTCACTTCGCAGAATTCTACCCTCTCTCTTGGCTCGCTGCTATGCCCAGCGGAGCGCGCTACAGTCGGTTTCACTTGGTTCTGCAGATGGAATGCATCCCTACGTTTTACTTGCTGAACGTGCATTTCATCCTGCTGTGTTTGGTCAGTTTGGCGTTTTCGACTTTCCTGATCGTTCCGAATGATCCGGGATCAAGGATGCAGGTGAGATCTACTTCATTTTTCACGATTCTCTGTACCCAAACATTAAATTTACCTATTAAATAGTTCTTATAGTTGTAGGGCAGCTTCTGCTTCAAAAATCAAGATAATCCTATTACGAACGCTGCCTGAGCCTGCAACACTAGTGACTCATACTCAATATAACTTATTCGAACTCAGTGTTTCATTTTTGAGTAAATCGCATACTCCTCCTTATTCGACATCCAAACTCACAGGTCCTCCTCACCCTTCTCCTCTCGCTTGCCGCCTATAAGGGTTCTCTCACCTCTTGGACTCCGATTAAGCCTTACGTAACGCGCTTGGACATTTATGTCTTAGTCGCCTTCGCGTTTACCAGTATTATGGGTTTCGACGTGATGATTGCTTCGGTCTTGGCAAACTTGTTAGGGGATGAGTACATCAGAGCCATCTGGTTCGTGGAGAGCTGTATCTGGTCCCCCATGTTCCTCATATGGTTCTGGCTGCACGTGCGTTTGGGTTGTGCTGAGTTCTTCTTCGGCGATCTGGGAGGATATGGAACGGCTGGGAGTATATTAGTTTTTTTTTTCTTCTTCGGCGATCTGGGAGGATATGGAACGGCTGGGAGTATATTTTCGTTTTTTTTTTCTTCTGCGATCTGGGAGAATATGGAACGGCTGGGATTATACTTATCATACCTCAAAAAAAAGTATGCTGGAAAAGGTAGGTATCAAACTAGTAGATTATGGCATTTTTTTCTTCTCAAATACTTACAAAAATGCACGTTTTAATCACATCAGAATCTTCATTCACAATTTCCTTCTCCCCACAAACCAGATGCCTACCCATCCTGGCGACATGTGCTGGCGAACGATGACATTAATCAGTTAGCTGAGAGGGACTTCGTCGAATTCATGAACAAACGTGGCTTCAACACCAAGCGCGCAAATATACCAAGTATGCGATCTTTAGTGACAAGGTTGAAGAATTACTATGGATAAACTCTACTAGCCTTCTTCTTCTAGATAGATAATTGTTTTACTGTGGATAAAACGTCGTGAACAACAAGTCAGCCATCAAATTGAGAATCACGGATACAAAAAGTACTGCAGACCAAAAACGTTTTATTGTTGAATGTTGATACTTCCTCCAGTGTAGCGTTCATCTACACACGTGCAAAGAGCAGAAGCTGATAGTTCTTCTGAGTTTTAGGCTCAGACTGTTTTTTGTTTGCTGTAAAAAGAATATGAGTACCCTGGTCTTCCTTGGTCCATCTCATTTTTATCGTTGATAGAAGCCAAGAGTAAAAGAGTCGGTCACTGAGACCCATTGAAGAAAGGAAAAGATGCTCATGTTTGCTTACAAAGTGTCAACATGATGACACAGAAGTTGCCGCTTGTTGATGTAGCTTTCCTGTTCACCCTGCTCACCGCTGAACGAGGATTGAACATTGGAGAGAGAGCAGAGACGGACACCATGATACACAGAGAACCATGATACAGGAAAAAAAATTCTGATGCTGAGTGCATCTGTCCAAGACGAGTGAGAGAGTTTCGCTGTGATAAAAAATTGTATCACAACAACTTTTAGTTGACTTTTAGTTGGCTGCCATTTAGCTTCTACGGTGACCGAGAATGGTCATATCAGGAGCACACACATGACATGAACTCAAACCCTCTCCATGAAAGAAGGAGCGCCTCGAAAGTGTGTTAAGTCAAAAAACACATCAGGATGTGAAAAACGATGAAAAGGATTTAGAATAAGGTTATACATAGATACATAGATACAAAAATCACATGACCACGCAGTAGAGCGCAGAAATCTAGCACCAGACTCTGAGAGACATCGAGCGTTCAACACTGTGTTCAAGTCGCCTTTCGTCGAAAATAGAAAAGTTTGTATTTTAATTGCGCTTAGAGATAACTAAAGTTTCAGTCCTAGTCGTACGAGGCGTACGTACTAGCTAGTTTCGGTTTTTAGATATAACTACAAGTGTACAGGTCGTAGATATGACAGGTGAATATGTACAGCAATTTATTCTTCTGCAATATAAAATTCAGAGGGGGTCTGGTGGGGTTTGAATGGTCCCATTATTATACTTGTCCCTCCTCCACCCAGCCAGTTTTGATCTCGTGAAAGAACAACATCAATAAAGCGACGCACCCTAGTACTTATCTTAAATTCGATCAACGTCAACCCAACGACCCATGAAAATCAGATTTCAATGAAAATGGTATATTAATATTTACTACCTTGTACTACTACTCGTCCCATCAACATTATGATTTTTTCACAATATATTTATACCGCCCACGTGCCCCCGGCGTGTACACACGCCGGGGCAGGGCGGAAGGGTCTGGCAAATGCTACGAGTTACATAAAATCCATACGGCCTACCGGCGTGCTACGAATTACGTAAAGAGTGGCGGGCTATGGAATAAGTAAAGCAGCTCCGCGCTACAAGCTACTACGTGCTACATAAACCCCCACCCTGGCAGCACCCGAAACGCCCAAAAGGAACGCCTTCGAACGAATGAGGCAAACGGGTAACCAAATACATACGCCGAGAGTCAAATCCTTGAGCAGATCACTCCAGGCCTGCTGCTTTCGGTTCTCAGCGTAGTGGCTGGGCGAAGCACTGCAGTCGACTCCGCTCACCGTGAGAACCTCGCGCGCCCCCTGGCCCGGGTTTTGGGCGTGGGTCCCCTACTCTTGGAGCGTGCTGCGTCTCCGGCTGGCATGGCAGTGCCACGAGGGGGGCCCCAGGCTTGTCGCTTTCGGTTCTCAGCATAGTGGGCGAAGCACTACGCCCGACTCCGCTCACCATGAGAACGTCTACCGTGGGTCTTTTCCGTGGAGAGAGCTAGGGGGTGGCTCCGTTCTACTCTCGGCTTGTTTGCGGGGTTTTACTCTTTGCGCCGTTTTGGGTTTTCCATCCAAATGGCGCAGCTTTATGGTGTCGCGTTGCTGCCTACGTTTCAGCTGCTTCGCGTGTGCTCTCTGTGAGCCATTTACCCTCCCAAGCTTACGGCAAGTTGCGCCCTATCGCTTAGCTTCCTTATCTGCTTCTGGCTTTCTCGAGAGGTGTGGGCATGCGTCATCTCAAGGCTTTGATCTAAGTGAACAAGAACAACGCCACGCGAGCAGTGCTGTGCGGCTTTCATGTGCTTGGGCGATGCAATCTGTGAGCCGCTTGAGCTTTCTGATCAGAAAGCAGGCCCAAGCCTATGGGCTTGCTAGAAACTTATGGCTTACTCGAGAGGCCTTGTCCTTTGCGCCCATTCTTTTCTGATCCAAAAAGCGCAGCGCGATGAAGTTGCTGCGTACTTGTGAGCTGCTTAAGAGGTCCCACCCTTTGGCTCAGTTCAAGACCCTCATCCAAACGGCGCAACGCTGTGAAGCTGCTGGCCCTTTTGACTTGCTGGGAAGGTCTCACCCTCTGACCCAGCGCAGGCACCCTACCCAAAAGGCGCAGCTTTATGAAGTTGCTGCCTACTTTTGAGTGACCTGCTTGAAAGGTCTCGGCTTTTGACTCTGCTCAAACCTCCCACCCAAAAAGCGCAGCTGTATGATATTGCTCTCTACTTTTGACCTGCTTGAAAGGTCCCAGCCTTTCAGTCAGCTCACTCAGAGGTCTTCCACAATCAAAGGGCGCAACTCTATGAAATGGCTGCCCACTTTTGACCTGCTGGAAAGGTCTCGCTCTTTGGCCCAGATCTGGCCAGCTTGGTTATTCAAGGCGCGCAGCTTTATGGAATTGCTGCCCACTTTTGACCTGCTTGAAAGGTCCCACCTTTTGACCAAGCTCGGGCATCCTATCCAAAAAGCGCAACGCCATGGGGCTGCTGTCTGCTTTTGGCTTGGCTTGCTTGAGAGGTCCCGCCTTTTGCCTTTCTTTGCTCAAGCTCCTTGCTCAAAAAGCGCAATCTACTTCATGAAGCTGCTGCCTACTTTTGGCCTGCTCGTAAGGTCCCACGCTTTCACTCAGTCAAGTCAGGCGCCTTACTCAAAGAGCGCAACTCTAGGAAATTGCTGCCCACTTTTGACCTGCTTGAAAGGTCCCACCTTTTGACCCAGCTCAGGCCACTCAGGCTTCCTATCCGCTGCGCGCAGCCAGCTTTATGCGATTGCTGTCGTCTACTTTTGGCCGGCTTGAAGGGTCCCACCTTTTCACTCTGCTCCACCCAGCCTCCTACGCAAAGCGCGTGGCTTTATGCGTTTCTTGTCTATTTTTGACCTGCTTGAAAGGTCCCACCCTTTGACCCAGCTCAGGCCCCTTATCCAAAGAGCGCAACGCTATGAAGTTGCTGCCTCCTTTTGAGCTGCTTGAAAGGTGTCGCCCTTTGACTTAGCTCAGACCTGTTATCCAAAGAGCGCAACTCTATGCCGTTGCTGTCAGCTTTTGAGCTGCTTGAAAGGTCTCACCCTTTGACGTCGCTCAGACTCCTTATCCAAAAAGCACAACTTTATGAGATTGCTGTCTACTTTTGACCTGCTTGAAAGGTCTCACCCTTTGAGCCAGCTCAGACCTCACAACTTTAGGAGATTGCTGTCTACTTTTGATCTGCTTGAAAGGTCTCACCCTTTGAGCCCGCCCAGACTCCTTATCCTAAATAAAAGCGCAAACCTATGGGATTGCTGTCCACTTTCGAGGTGCTTAAAAGGTCCCAGCCTTTTAGTTTGAGCCAGCTCAAGCTTGTTCTTATCCAAAAGGCGCAGCTTTATGAAGTTGCTGCCTACTTTTGACGTGCTTGTTTGAGCGGCCTGATCCTTTGAGTCAGCTCGTAATCCTTATCCAAAGCGCGCAGCTTTATGCAGTCGCTGTCTACTTTTGACCTGCTTGAAAGGTCTGACCCTTTGAGCCAGCTCAGGCGCCTGATCCAAAAAGCACGCAGGTGCTAACTTGCTCAGCGTATAGCTGCTGGGTGCTTGCCTCTGTTTGCATTTCTTTGTTTGCATGTGGGTCCTTTTTGTAGCACATACGCAGACGCAGCGGATTTTCTTCATGAGATGACTGGCCCCAGGCTGAGGCGCTTCGCTCTTCGTTTTTTGTCCATGCAGCGCAGTCCTTTGCTTGTGCTGTTGGTTCAGGGTTTTGAGGTACTGCTGAAAGCCTTAGCAGGAGCAGAATCGCGGGAAAGTTGTACTCAAAAACGCGGCACTTTTACGGCGCGAGATGTATACATCTAGCCCGTACATCTTTCCCATGATTTCCGTACATCTCAAAAAAGTGGAATTTTGGAAACCTACTATGAATCGCCCCGGTGTAAGTACATCTCAAGAGTACATCTTTCCCGTGATTTACGTATAAGATATATATCTCGGGATATATATCTCAGACGTATACATCTCACCCGTACATCTTTGCCATGATTTGCGTACATCTCAAGCCGTAAATTCACTCCTGTTTAGCATTCAAAATAAGTTTTGGTTTATGATATAGATAATTATAGTATTCAATTATGAATATGAGTTTTCTCTGTACCTGTAGCCTTTCCCACCTAGTGCGCTCATCATTTTCTAGTGGACAAGGGGGAGCAGGGAAAAGAAAGAAACCACTACATCAAGAGTGGACACGACCCACAAAAGGTGTTTCTCTGAGCAATGGGATTGGGAATGAAGGATCACATCCTTAGTTTCTTCTCCTGAGACAGAAGTTCATGTTCATCTTTGCTTGCAGTTGTGAAGAAGGAAACAGAAAAGTCAAAAAAAAGTCTGCGATTCTCTTTGAACATGGATCCATTGAATCACTGATGATAGTCCAAGTTCAGCTGCTGGTTTTATTTGTTGCGAGTGCGACCGATCTTCTGTGTTCATGCAATCATGCCTTTCGTGTTTCTTCTGGCGCACTTATATCGATTCCTCATTTTTGATTCAAAAGTAAGAAGTAGTAGTTCACTGAAGTCTCAAGTTTTTCGTTTTTTGTTGTTCAATAGATACATGCATCGTCACACACACTACAATTTAAAGAAGGCTATGGTCAAAAGATTTTCTCTCAACTTAAATCATGGGATCTAACTTCTCTCTAATCTGATTTTTAGATCAATGTATGTTTTACTTTTACTTCTTTTGAATGTACACCAGCTCGACTTCCTCGGGAGTCCTCCATCTTCATCTCATTTCATCTTTGTGTCCAGAATTATTTGATGAAAGACATGAGGGCCACCTTCTAGGAGGGGACAGACGAAGTCGGGGAGGGGCTCTGACTGTAAGGGATTTTTTTAATACTTGTCTTTGTGTTATCAAAGTCAACGACACCTAGAGCCCAAAAATTTGTCGCGGTATACCATGTCAGATCGCATTGGATAGTTTCCATCATGCAGTTTCTGGTATATTTATATAGAGTCCCTGTTATTGTTTGTTATTTTCTTTCCTTACTTGATGTTGCAACGTGTCTAATAATTGTAAAATGTCGTGCACCGGTCGAAGGCACCTAAATCTTTTTCACTATCAACCTGGTCGGGGGCCCCATCGAGAGGACGCATCAGCTGGTGGAAATAGAGCCGGACATAATGGCCCAACGAGAGAGTAATCAGTGGACTCTCTACCTAGCTGCGCTCTTCGAAGTGGAATGTGGCGCCGAACAGATCTACACTGTATTAAAGCTCGCAATTTCCATGTAGTCCTATGGAAAAAAAAAAAAGGCGTGACATCCTGACTTGATCGAGGCCAGTGAGCTTGAACTTGAGGGCGGCATACGCGCCGACATTCGGACCGAGGTCCAGGGCGGGAACCGGGGATAGGCAAGCGGACTACAAAAAAATACGGGAACCCCCATTCATTGAGTTGATTCAATTTGAATGAACATGAAGTTGTAACATGTTCTTGTTACCGTGCAGCAGGACTTATCATACCAGTGTAGTTTTTTTCACATGTTGTTGGTGAAAAGAAGCTTATACTTTTTGTCTTGTTCTTGAAGGTATAACAAACTAGCTTCAACAACTATGGAGTTCATGAAGATATAAGCAGCTTTAAGTATTAAGTTCATGAAGATATAACTCCCCAAGTCATTATCGCGAGGTACGCCCCGGGTAGGAGGCAGAGAGAGGGGGACACTGTCCTGACTCTTACACTCGCGCACGGGCCGAACACTGTCAAACACTCTCAACGGCTCTTCTCTTTTTTTTTGTGTGTCGTTGCTTGGTGCCCGAGCGTGGTACCAAGCAACGACACACCACCGGGGAGCCCGGTGGCGCTTGCGCCACCGCTCCCCCGCGCGATGGTGGTCTCTCTCTGCCTCCAACCCGGGGCGTACCTCGCGATAATGACTTGTGGAGTTAGATCTATATGCGCCAGCTTTAAGTATTTAAGTTCTTGATCTTGAAGATATAACTAGCTTTTAGTATTTTTACTTTCTTCTTTTTTATGTATGTGGGAGAAAAACAAAAAACATCGAGTAGAAGGTCAAGCTTGATGAGTTCTGTGCTGCCGGTAAACACCGACGACATTTGCTTTTCTTCTTGTTTATTATAGGGCAAGTTCGTAAGACACCAGCACGCTCAACTCCAAGATCAGCAAAGGAACGTTTCAAAACGTTGAAAGATTTGTCCTGCTTGGGGTCTATTGCTAGAAGTTTTCATCCAATTCATGTTCTTGAAATTTATTGTTTTACCAAACTCTAAGTTTTATGATGAACATACTAAAACTGTTTTATCATGAACTTTCATTTGGATTTTCTTTGAGTTCTTCTTGTAATCCGAGGGCGTAGCACGTATGAGGCGTTCGGGCCGCGCGCGAACTAATAATAATAATAATGCAGTAGGAGGGGCGAATATTGAGGGAGGTTCTTGTATAATTTTTTGAAGAAGTGCAACTACCTCTAAGCATGTAGTTTGTTTAAGAAGTTTTTCTGAGAAATACTTAGAAGTAGCTACTTCCCGATACAAATAAGTGGCCGATGACTGAGGCGCCATATCTCGAATCGTCCCATATTTTAAGTTAGAGCAGTCTTTTTAGAGAAGCTGTCTTGAGACTCGTCTTAGTGCTACAGGCACTAGGGACGGTGATAATCAGGGATCATACAGCACACATACTTACTTGTTACTGTTAGTTACTTACTTAGGATAGACAAGAGCAGCACCTCGCAGTAACGGAGAAGGAGAAAGGAGCATCAGACTTAACTACTTCTTGTGAGCGATCGCAAACATCCAGAAGAATCTTCACGTGAGAACTACATCTATGGTATATTAGGACTAATATAGACTGCATCAAAAGAAAGGTCGTGATGAACATCAACTTGAAAGAAAGATCAACAACATAAATGTAACTAGGTCTGTGGGTAACCGTCTATCCTTCTCTTCATAATAATTATAAATCAATGAACTAGACTACGCGAACAATGTACACTTCAAAGAAACTATGATATCTTCACGTGAGTACTATATCTATGGCACCTAGAAACTACTTACATCGATGAACTAGACTACACGATTATACATACAATCTACTCCACCACTTTCACCACCTCCAAAAAATATCAAGATCAATCTTTTTGTTCCCTCTCTGTCTACCTTTTTTTTTAAAGGAATCTTGTTTGTAAGTTTGGGGGTGGATTCTCCAAAACAACGATCTTGTGAGGACGAGTGCTGTCCCTTTTTCCCTTGATTATACTAAAAAAGGAACTAGTAATTTCACAGAGCAGACCACTTCTTGTGACCTGTCGTGACTGGTTCCTGAGAAGATGAGCTCGAACACGAACAGTCCGGAGTTCGTAAACGAGCAGATAGGGCGGGGCGCCTCACCCTCCAATAGGAGACCACCTTCCGACGAGCACGAAACAAGCGAACGCAATTATGGCAATATGATAGAGTAGGCAAAGTACTACGTAGTGGTTTTGTTTTTTTTTCTTTTATGGCTCTTCAATTCATCTTTTATGGGTCTTCAATGGCCTCAAACGCTCACCCCCTCATAGGTCACCCAACTCTTATCCTATCCTTGTTTCTCGCTAGAGCGGAGCAGTCACCTCGTATGGCGGCGAAGCAGAGGCGCCCTATCCTATCTTATCCTATTCGCCGTGTCCGAGTCCGTCCGTCTTATATATGTACCAGGGAGGGAGGCCCCCCCCCTGTGGATGGATCTGTGGTGGACCACGCCAGAGGCGTCCAGCCTTGCCACCTTTGCCCGGTCTGTAGGGTTGGGCACATGCTACACGCCAGAGGGGTCCATCCTTGCCACCTTTGCCATGTCTGTAGTGTTGGGCACATGCAACACGCCAGAGGGGTCCAGCCTTGCCACCTTTGCCAGGTCTGTCGGGTACATGCAGCACGCCAAGGGGGCCCAGCCTCTGCCACCTTTGCCAGGTCTGTAGGGTACATGCAACAAGCGGGAAGGGGTCCGAAGCAAGTGGGCGCTTTGAGGCCTTCCCGCCCGGCAGCCCCTCGAAAAGAGGGCCAGGGGCTGGGAGGCGCCCCCCTCAAAAAGTTAGATCGGGGGGGGGCCTTCAGCCCTGAGCCCTGGAACATATATAAGACTAAAAGAGTTTCTTTCCAAGGAAAATAAGAGATCGATTACAGTAGGCACAACTGAGGAAGTTCAATTTAGTTCTACGGAGTGACTCCACCAGGTCCAGGATCTACTCTACTCTTTTTCATCTCGTCGATAATAATTATCTCCTCAACATCCTCTAAAACGTAACGCCATCTTCGACGACTCCTCACGCGACAAGCCTGTCTCTCTCCGCAGGTAGCAGTGCAGCAGAGCAGAATTTTTCTAGGGCGCCTGCAAATGTCTCCTGTGTCCCATCCAAGGTCCTCAGGAATACGAGCGGAGGGAGCGGTGGCAGCTCTAGGCAAGGCGATGACGCGAACAGGAGAGCAAGCTAATATGGCTTCTTCAGATTGTATTTGTAATTGGATTTGGAATTATCTATCAATAAGTGAAATAGTTAACTAAATACTTGGGGGAAGCTAACGTCCAGTATCCTAACGTCCAGTATTCTACTTCCGAAGAAGAAGAAATCGACTATGACATTCACTTTTCTGAACAGCTACTGGTGAATCAATCTACTGGTCAATCAATCAATTACTGGGTGAGCCGAGTTCCGGGGCGACAAATTCGGCCAGGCCTTTCTGCTCAGAGTAGACATTTTGACCATCCCTGAGTGCTGCTGTAGTTGTAGTTTTTGGCCGTTGTGATACGGTTTTCTTGTTCGCCCGGTATGTAAGTTTTTGATTGGGGTTTTTCACGTAGTTGAATGGGACGAGGCAGCATGTAGAAGTCCTATGGAAAAAAAAAATGTAGACCGAGGTCTAGGAAGTCCTATGGAAAAAAAAAAATGTAGACCGAGGTCTAGGAAGTCCTATGGAAAAAAAGAATGCAGACCTTGAGCTTGAACTTGGACTACCTGGTGCTGGAGGTGGTCAAGAATTTTTACAACTTGTCTAATACTGCGAGGAGGAGGAAGATCAGACGCCGTCAACAAAGAATGAAAGGGGTTCCTCAGAACCTCCGAGAGGACGGCCCACAAGATTGCGAGTGGCTGTGATAGGTGCTGGCTTCACGGGTCTTCGATTTTATGGAAGAAGTATTATTTGTAGACTTAGATGATTCTTTTCATTTTTTTGTTTCCTAGATAGGCGTGCTTCACCGATTTTATGAACTAGTGAGTGTAGTAGAGTAGCTCGATCTTTTGTACTGATGTTCTCTCTGCTTCAAAGCCTATTATCGTTATTGGTAGAAAGGCTAAGGCAACTAGTACTTGAACTTCATTAATTTTACCTGTGAACTTTAATAAACATGAGTAGGAGGTATAATTTGTACTAGTACAGCTACAGGTTTCTAGAGGACTCTCGTACGGGTTGTAGTCACCACCCTCTAATGACTAGCGGAGCGTTTCAAGCAAATGAGCAATCTCTTGTTGGAGGACGGGCGGAGATTACCCTCCATAGAGGTGGTGGTGCTGGAGAAGAGTATGGGATATGGCGGGAGATTAGCGACGAGATATACGAAGGTATTGCAGAGTTTACGATAATTCGAAAGTAATATGGATGCTCGGAATTTGAATTTGCCAAACCGACATAGGAAAATGATCATGACATTAAATGATTGTTTTTTTACAGACAAAATAAATCGTTCTGCACTATCTGTAGTTCCTCAAAACCGAACCAAACACGCAAAAATCAGGGCCCAGATCCAGAGGGTTATCAGTTTGATATAGGGGCTCCGTTTTTCCGAGCCAAAAGCGGGCAGTTCAAGAAATACTTAGAGGAGCAGCTCGGTTTGAATTCGGGGACCCCAGATTGTGGTTGGGAGGTACCCTTTGCTTTGAGTCCTATCGTGGTGTTTGCTCGTTTTATCCTAGTACTAATGAAAGGCTTCGCAGTTCCACGGCCGCCCTTAGGCATACACTGTTGGAATTGTATCGTGTCGCCGGTAGACCAGGAGCGCTACTCGGGATGCCAATCAATCAAAACGAACTCATCCTTCTTTTCAGTCGTATCAGTCTAAAAGAAGGAAAACTACTACACTACAACGAACTAAACATCAGCCTCGCACTGCCTTAGTTGTACCGGGGAAGCAGGACCCACTGACTATGATAAGTGAGAATGCAGTAGAAAAGCTAGCGCTAAGGGAAGCTAGCGCTAATGTGCGAGAAGTATCAACTGCGAGAGGGGGAAGCAAATTTATGCCTTTCTTCTTGTTTACAATTTTTTCCTCTTGATGTCTTGGTATGTTGTTCACCGGAATCGTCGTGGTAAGACCATTTTAGCGCCCCTGAGCGAATTGTGCTGGTTCTTTTCATTATCAGAATGCTTGTAAAAAAACTTGTTCCAAAAAATAACTGGTCCAAAAAAAAAGATGCTTTACTTAGAACCAGCTTGCACTCTAACCCACGGGGCCTTCCCGGACGGCGCGCTCCTAAATGGGGCCTGAGACAAGACAAAAAAGATTCGCCTGCGAGAGAGGAATCTTTTTTAAGGCCACCGCTGGAGCATCGTCAGCATCATCGATCCCTGGCAGCTCCTGTTTTTCAACACAGCTTTTTCAAATGGAGCAAGCTCGGATGCTGTCAGGGATGCGACCGCGGTAGCTGCTCTAACTTTTGCAAGTCAAAAAAAAAAGTTTGGAGCGTCTGGAGAAGGATCCGATACAAGCAATGAGGCGTATAAAAATTCGCAACACATATATTTATAATATTATCCTCTATGAAGATCATCTGCAGTGATATTAAGTTTGTTGAGCAATTTTCTAAGTTTAAAATTTCCACCGAGGTGCTAAAGACGTATTTCGCTACAATCAAGCAACAACTTTGTATCGATTCCGGAATAAGCAAAAACTTTGATATAAAATCCAATTCGTCCAACAATGAACAGGTCTTCCTCCCTCGCACAAACGCCACCGACGGGGGGCGTCTATAACCCTCATTTTCGCGGCGTAGTTGAGACGCATGGGGCGCCGATTGTTCCTAGGAGTGGAATATCAGTAGTAGAGTGGGACACAGGGAAATTCCCACTCATATGCGACTGTTGCGAGCAATACGATTGCAATGTGAAGGAACCAGGTATGGGTTCTAGAACACGCTCCTCATCAATGATCTTCTCATCTTTTCGAGCATGGTGGATCCAGCCACCTTATAATAAGTATATCGAGCATCTTCCAGTTACAATTCTTTCCATTCGTTCTTTATTTCCATACCTAAAGCAGTCTGCACTGAACTTTGTGCGAGACTGAACTTATTGTATTGTATATTAATATATTGTGCTATCCTTATACCACTTTACACTTTCCGCCTCGTCCACAGGGGCAGACGATGAGGCAGGGGGCAGTCATTCGTACAGTAAAGAACAGATGTACGGGTATTCCGAGAGAATGCAGGGAGAGCACATTTATGTGGGGTGGAGCCGGATGAACGAAATAGCAAAAACGATCGCGAGAAGAAGTACTTCTTGTTAAATTTTCTGAACGAGAAGATCAAGTTCAAGAAGAAGGGGCTGCTGCCTCTGCACGACGATTAGATTTTGCTTAATGTGTATTTCATGAATAGTTTGCATTTCTTAGTACGCATTTCATGAACATACCTCAATTAGATAAGCTCGATGTTCGTTTGGGTTGTCGGGTTGGTAGCATACGGCGTGTAATGTTAAGGGTATGTTAAAGGTGTTCCTGTTACCGTTTGTTTTGCCTCTTCTAAGGGAGAAAGGCAGAACAAACGCGAAAGATGAACACCAAGGCCCTACCTCTAATAATGCTCCCAGAGAGGTCAAGAACTAGGTCAGCCGGTGAGAGCGACGAGCCTCCTGTTCCGGTCGGATGCCAAAGCATCAGTAGGGGAACGACCGGCAGTAACGGGAAAGGGAGAGTAGTGCGATTACCCGCCGATGCCGAAGTGCAAATTTCTAAGGAATTTTCAGCAGGAGATCCAGATGACGAATTACCACCACGACCCAATAGTATAGGGAGTCCAACGTTCAGTGCGGACTATCTCCAGAATTGCCAATCGGGAGCAGCGATCAGTGGGAATAGCGTCGAGTCGGGAAGACGTATCTTTTCTTTTGCTTACACACTTCCTTTTCACTTCTTGTTATTCTTGAAACTACAACTTCATGCTCACAAACACACATACACATGTTCACACAAACACATGTTCACACAAACACATGTTCACACAAACACATGTTCACACAAACACATGTTCACACAAACACATGTTCACACAAACACATGTTCACACAAACACATGTTCACACAAACACATGTTCACACAAACACATGTTCACACAAACACATGTTCACAAACACGTAGACTTATACTAACTACTTAACAACTTTGTCAAAGAAGAAGTTATAGACCGACGTTGTAACTCAGCTTCAACACTGAAAAACTCGACCTCTTCTACTAAATCCCTTTCTCTCATACTAGTTTGAAACATCTTCAATTAATATGATTACAACCAAACTCCACCAGTGCAAATGCCGGAGAGCGGAAGTTCTGTTGGTTGGGAGCTGATGCAGTGCGAGCATAGTCGACAACCCTGTGATCCAAAACACAACCCCCCGAGTACACTTAAGGCTTAGGTACCCTAGTCAATCCATCTTCTGACGCATCTTAGACCTGCCCTCCCACAACCAAGGGAACATCAATTATAGGTTTAAGATGAATCCCGCGATGAACAATTAGTGTGAGCTCTAATAAACGCATTTCCGATTCTGCCTACGACTATGTAGCAGTGACCCTTCCCGGTCCTCAGACCCTCAACCTTGTTTCACACATGCCCATTGTGAAAAAATTTCCGACCATCAAGCAGCGAGCGAAGATGCGCGGCTGCTTCGTCTTGATGCTTGGTACTGCTCTTTACTATCTAGAAGTACTGTTTGTAAGGGTCATGAAGAATCAAGTTACAGTTAGTATTGCAAAGGCGATGTTGTTGCTCGTGGTTGAGAAAAAATGTTTGCGTTATTCATTCTTGGTCAGTTGCAGTTTTCACAAAACGACCGCATATTGGAATGCTCAATCCTAAAATGCTTTGCACCCACAAACTTCTCCAGGTTTTTCTATCCCGGAATGCTGGCGTTCCGTCTCCATACCTTCAGCGATAGACTGTAAAGACCATCCGGTATTGCGTTGTGTGATAGTGGATTCGAACAAGCCAGGCCGTTCACAGACCAATCGCATAGGGGCAAGAACACTCAGTGTTTGCGTCTACGCTATGTATAAATGGTCCGAGCAACACTTCCAGATGGAGGAAACTGTAAACGATATGCAGGACTATCGCCACGAGAATGTGCTGATTCCGCTGCTGAATGAAGCGAAGGTAAAAATGCTTGTCAACTTACATGTGTCACTGACACTGTGTCATTCTAGCTATTTGTATTTGTTCCACACGCACACGACACCAACCATGAACACTTCTTCGGAGTGATCGACAGGGGAGTCTTGAATTAAAGATGAATGGATGAAAGAATGCTCCTGGCAGCTTAAGGATTCATTATAACACCCACTCCAAGAACGTCACCCTTATCCAAAACTGACGAGAAAATACGAAAAAGGCGAAAGGCGACGAGAAAAGGAAGAATGAAGTGGTAGCAGTGAAGGTTTGTAGAGAAGAAGGAAAGGTAAAGAAGAAGAAGGTTTGTAAAGAAGAAGAGGATTACTTATCCTTATCCACCTACAACTAGCTATTTATGTTTGTTCCACATGCACACGACCACACCATGAACACCTTTTACTCCCTCCAGAACACACCCCCCACACCACAGGCGCTCCTGTTGAACACTCGAGTTTCGCAACATCCAACTGTGGATCCATTGTCGAGTCAGAGACCAGCGGTTGAGTTTTGGCAATACATGTTTGACATGAAACGCCTTGAGTACACCGATCTGCACGCCTGGCGATATGTGGAAGTGGTCGGGGAAAAGAAACAGTACTGCTTTATATTATACTAGACTGTGTCTATGGCTAGTATTGCCGAATAGATTCACATGATCAGTAGATCATTATAGCTACTAGTTCCAGTACTTCTTGTCAATTTAGTACTGTGTTGCTGTTCTTGGTATAATTTCTCAAGAGGAGGATGATGTCTGGTATGAAGATGATGAAGATGACTGACTTTTTTCAAGGATTGGAAATATTAAGGAGATGAGTCGGAGCGAGTTGATCTATCAATATCTAAAGAATCTAAAGAAACTTTTTTCAAGGATTCATTGAAAATTTTTTGACCTAAATACGTCTTTTTGCAACAACAGCATAAGTTTCAGTCCGGATAGTGCGTTTTTCGATAATGAGAAGAACTTGGGTTTAGCAGGAGATTGGTGCGCTGGCTGTGCTACAGTGGAGGGCGCTTTCGCGTCGGCTGAAAGTTTGGCAGATCAAATTCAAGCCGATATCACACAGAAACACGCTGCTTAGAAACACGCTGCTTAGAAACACGCTGCTTAGAAATACGCTGCTTAGACTCCCGGAAACACGCTGCTTAGCAAGCCATATTATAAGGCATAATATGGCTTGCTAAGCGCGTGTGGATTCTTCTATAATTACTATAGCTTACAACGGGATGCGAGCTATGCGCGGTAGCGCCAATAATACACAGGAGGACTCTAGTAGTACAACATTTAGTGCAGAGAAATGGCGCTGTGACCGCTTCTCTGTGTAGCTAACCAACATGATGTCGATTTCTAAAAGATGTACAAATGCTGCTGGATGAGCAGCAGCTTTTAACTTCTTCTCTATCAACATAATGAGAAGAAGATGACCACCTGTCGTTCATGATAAGTTGATGTGGTCTTCAACATTGTGTTCGCTGGTGGTCATAGTTCCTGATCATGTTCATCTCGATAATCTTCTTTAAGAATGTATATTAAGGAGATGAGCATCAAGGCATTCACATTCTTCATCGCAATAGTCTACGTCTAGAAGTACTTACTTAACAAGTCCTACTAGCAGTAGTACGTAGACTTACTTAACAAGTAGTAGCAACAAGTATTCATTACAGTATCTTCACCGAGCCTAGCCCTAGTCTTGGACGTTCTTGGTAAAAGATGAAAAAGAGAGGCACTAGATAGTTTCAATGCGTAGGGTTACTAGTGGAACAAGAATTAATAGGTCAATGGGGCGAGAACAAGAATAGCACAACAAGAATAGAAGTGGTAGACTAGCTCTCTGGAGTGGTCCCCCAGGGGCAGGCGTCAACGGAATTCCAAAGAATTTGCTAGAACAATCAAAACTCAAAATCAAAATTCAAAATCAAAACTCAAAATCAAAACTCAAAATCAAAACCCAAAATCAAAATTCAAAGTCAGAATATGAGATCAAAATCAAAACTCAAAATATAAGACATGAAATCAAAATCAAAACGAGGGAAAAGCTTTATACTGTAAGAGATTGCGCTTTGGGTCGTGGAGAACCGCAGAACCAGAACTAGCAGATGAAGAACAATGCCAAGAGGACGATCAAATACATTATATTATGACTTCCGGAAATCCATCTCCAGAAGCATCTTGGATCTCCCGCGTGAGGGTGAAACGGGTACAAGATGGCTTTTAAGATGGATTCCCGGAAGGTCTAATTATAGTAGAATAGTACCTCATGATCCTCAGGAGGGAGGACAGGAGGTATTACCAATTCAAGTACTAGGGTTAGGTGGGCGGGAAGAAGAAAAAGCACCAAATACTCCATCTTCGATTTTTGCGAAGCCTGTGTAGAAGAAGCATGAGTATCCACGTAGAGGAAAAAAGCGAAGTGGTACAGCATCAAAGCGTGCTCCTTCGTTTTTTATGAATGACAGCGATAGAAAATGACTTACAAGCTTCCACAACGAAAAGTCTTGAGTTACTACATACGATGTACTAAATGTAGAGGAATCTACTAACTTACCAGAACGTCGAAAGGGGTATTTCTTTGTTTCTTTTCCTCTGAGAGCAATGCAACACCGACTCCAGTATCATTTTGCAACCACACGCCTAACGCACCCGGACCGCGGCGCCTCGTGTTAGGACTCTCCTGCGTCTGCCTCGCGCGTAGGTGTGCGTCAGCTTCCGCCTGCTGGCCGTCTGTAGGTCTGTGGATGACCGTCGACCCTTCTCCTAGTGATAACGTCTGCAGCAAAAGGGGGGTCGCGGAGGTTGCGACTGTAGTCCTTGTTTTGGATTCCTTGTTTTGGACTCCTTGTTTTGGGTTCCTTGTCTGGGATTCCTTGTCTTGGATTCCCTGTCTTGGATTCCTTGTTTTGGCTTCCTTGTTTTGGCTTGGCTGTTTCAGATTCCTTATCTTTAAACTCTTTGTTTCGGTTTGGCTGTTTCAAATTCCTTGCTTCGGGCAGGGCTTTGGATTCCTTGTTTTGGATTCCTTGTTTTGGATTCCTTGTCTTGGCGTCCTTGTTTTGGATTCCCTGTTTTGGATTCCTTGTTTTGGATTCCTTTTTTTGGATTCCTTGTTTTGGGTTGGCTGTTTCAAATTCCTTATTTTCAAATGCCTTGTTTTGGATTGGCTATTTTAAATTCTTTGTTTCGGGTTGGGTCCAAAAGTGGCCGTGTCTCGGTTATTATTATAGTGAGTAACGCGCATGATGTTAAGTGCCACACATGATACTAGTGTGGGTGACAGACTCGTTGTTCAGAATATATCTCTTTCATGAAGAAGCATGAAAATAGATGCAACAAAGGAAAGAAGAAATAGAGGATAATCTTGCTGCTAATGAAAGATGGCACACCCCGCGAGTGCGTGAAAAGAGTCACTCATTTTATTAACACGACACGCACCTTTTATTGTATTGTTACTTAGGAATTACATCATCACGGCTCACGGCTCTCAAAATGACAGCAAGCCGATAAAAGCACACACATCAACATCAAGAAGGACCACCACGAGTTATAACCACTACATTGAGCAGCTGCAATTCTTCACTATCAACAAATCACCAGTATACATCATTCAACATTCATAAAAACTTGACTCTTCAGTAGACACTGAAGTCTGCTGGTTTACCTAGTGGACCGTCACCTAACCTAACCTAACTTGGTAGCTTCTTCATCTACAGGTTGTAGAAGTTCATCAGTATAAAGTATAGAAAGGTAGGTCATCAAAATACTTCTACTACTAGGTCATCAAAATGAACCAAAAATAAATTATGCATAGGTCAATAGGGAGGTAATAAAGGTTTACAACTTACTATCACATAGGAGGTTGCTATTCATTTTGCTAGTCAGGAAATTGTGTGGAGTCGGTAGTTGCGAAAGGACTGATAGAGCAATGTGATCGATGTGAACTACGAAAGAAGAGAAAGGAGAAGAACATCCAGAGCAAGAGGGAGCAGCAAAAATATTGTGCTAAGGGCTTCAAGAGTTGTGTGAGTGACGTGTGTAGTCAATCAAGCGATAGAGGTTCACCCTGTGGAAGGTGGAGCAATTCCTAACCTGTCCGACACTCTATTAAGTCCTACTTGTCTTGTTCGCGATTTGGTGAAATCCATGGTCTCTCTTGTGTTGTTTGGTAGAAGAGGAACGAGAGAAGTGCATGTGTTCTTCCATGATACCGATCGATTCTCTGTCCTGATGTTTTCTGCGACTCAGGGTAATGTTGAGATAGACACAAAACGAAAATCAAAATTTCTTCAGGAAATATTAAAGTCATTTCTCGCTCGACTAGGATCTTCAGACTCATTCAAGATATATGATCGCCCTTGCTGCGATTGTCGTTGTCCATTTCATCCAGACTTCAGAACCACAAGCGAACCACTTTGACCGGGTATATGAAAACAGACCCAGTCTTATGCTTCCTCTTCCTCTAGCGAGACCTCCCTTTAACTCGAGCTTCAATGAATATGATTTGACGCAAAGTTCTTGTATCGATCCATTTTTTCGACGTCCTCTTGTTTCTTCATAGCCATGTCGTTTTCTGGCACTTTTTGTCTAGCAAGTTTCATCATGATGGTATCAGCACAAGATTTCGCATTTTCCTTTCTGAGATGAAGAAAGATTCAGACTGAAAAGTACCATAGCATTTATAACGAGAAGGAATAGGAAAATAATGAAGGAGCGGAATGCGAGACGCGCACGTGCGCGAGAGGCAAAACGTGCACAGGCCGCTGAGGATTCAGGACAAACTCAAGATGACGAAATGGTTACCATAGTATGGCTCCGTGATGACATGCGCCTAGTGGACAATCATGCTCTAAGTCTCGCAGCTTGTTCTCCTCAAACAGGTGGCATTGGTTGTGGAAATATGAAGAAGCAAGCGGTTGTCCCAGTCTTCATCCATGATCCGAGTGAAGCTGATTACAATCCTTACCCACTTCGTGGTGCGGGTCTCTGGTATAAGGGCGCATCGTTGCGGCATTTCGCGAAGAAATTGAATTATGAATCGGCCTTTAGAGTATGGGTAAAAAGATAGGACACGACGCCAATCACATGACCAATCTTCACATGAGAGAGTATCTATATTATTTAGCTGTATAAGTTCCTGACCCCTCCTCCTCCTCCCTCTACCTCTTCTAACCCGCAGACAAGTTTAACGTGCAATTGATCGTCCGTTTTGGTCATCCGCTTGACGTTCTGTGCTCTCTAGCTGTGGAGACCGGTGCCAAACGTGTGGTTTGGAACGAGAGGTATGAACCGTGGCTCGTGAACGATGTAGACGAATTTGTGCGACGACGACTCATGAGAGTCCGCATTGGAGATAGGTTAGAAGATAAGGTCAGCAGAGGTTTTTGGCGGGACTATAGTGGAGAAGAAGTACTTGGTACGGCATCGACGTTGATAGAAGACGAAGAGGAGTCTGCTTCTGGTAGTAGACCTGATGGAGCTGGTGGTAGTTATAGTTCGACAGGAGCGGGATGGAGTGGGACTACTTCATCTGGTGTTATTAAAGCTCTTGGAGACGCTGGAAGTAAAACAGGTAGAGAGGCTAAGATAAAAAAGCGCAAGCTGGAACTGATAGCGGATGGTTTAGACGCGGAGTCGGCTTTTGAAGTGGCTAGGATGCAGTTTGAAGATGAAGAAAATGAGGCAGGGCAGGTTGTAGAAACGGAGCAAGAGCAGAATACTCAAGTTGTAGTAGATCTTCCGCGTACAGCTAGAGAACAAGAACCTTCTTCCTCACCTCCCTCCACACTCTCAGAACGTCTTCGTTTTACCGAGGAAATAGAAGTAATCGTTTGTCCTGGAAGTTTACTCGCAGCACCGTGGGTCAGTGATCCTGAGAAGAACGCAGAGGGCTGGGGCTTTGGCTCTGTGCAGTGGTACAAGAAAGCTCTCTGCAACATCCCTATGGAGAACATGGTCGATCATCGCGCTGAACTAGGATTAGACGTTGACGGGAAGCCAGTTACAAGTAGTTGTACGACTGGTTCTGGTAAAGGAAGTTCTAGTGCAGAAGTTTCTGGTCCCTTGGATCTAGAAGAATATCTGAAACCTCTACCAGAAGTACAAAATCTAGTACCTTACTTAAGGCCCAGCTTTCAATGGTCATTGGGGTTGGTCACTGAGATCGAAGAGGCGACCCCTTGAGAGGACAGGGGAAAACGAAGGGAAAGGGGAGAGCTTTGAACGGGGTCCCTTCCGTTCAGAGTCAGTGACCACTGAAGGCTGAGCTTTAACTTACGCTCCATCTTCAAACACGGGAGATCGAGGCGGAGGAGGTGTTGAGCTCTTTTCCTTCTCCTTAGACGACTTGGCTTACGAGTGGTCGTTCGGTAAAGGGATGCCTGTGACGGAACAGAAGGCAGAGAGAATGAAAAGTGAAGACCCACGCTACTTGCCGAAAGAAGCGACGTCATGGTCTCAGAGACACCCGCAGTGGAAATTAGGGATCTTTAAGCAGTTTAATCCTAGGTATTACGACTTGCCTCCTTCAGGACGAAGGTCCTCTTCCTCTTCAACCACTGCAATAGCATCTTCATCCACAACTGCAGCTACCTCTAGTTCTGCCAATATGAAAGCATCAACCCCAAGCGGCGCCCCCTCTGCCCAGTATGGGAAAGTGAGACCTGGGGCAGCCTCTGTTTACGACTGGGCTTATGAGATGAAGCAGTTTTGGCCTGTCGGTGAAGGCGCAGCACAAAGACGCTTAGACAAGTTCTGTGACGAAGTTTTAGCTGAGGGCCTATTCGAAGGTCGAGAACGGTTTCGAGCTGATAGGCAGTACACAGCACTTCTCTCCCCCTACGTGCGGTTTGGAGAAGTATCTGCGAGAACCTGTTTCGCCAGAGGCGCACAGGTCCTTGGTGAAATCCACTTGCCAGAGAAAGGGTGGAGGCAGTTGAGGGCGACGTTTTTACGTCGATTCTTGTGGCGGGATTTGGCGTACTGGTGTTTGTGGAGGTTTCCAGATTTGCCGGATACTTCCTTGCGTAGTGCATATGAAACTCAAAAGTGGTGGACAGAGGAGGACGACAAGAAAAACTCAGGGTCGTTTGTTGGAGGGAGTAAGAAAGAAATGAAAAACAACTCAACTGGTGGTGGTGGTGGTGGTGGTGGTTCTACAGGCGGAGGCACTGAGGCAACAGCTGGAGGTCAGCATGAAATGAAAACTCGAAACCGTTTCAGGAAAAAAGTGAAGGAACCTGTAGAGCAAAAGTCATTAGGAGGTGCAGGATCTTTCGCGCCACCAGGGCGCAGTCAAACTGCAGTAGCATTGCCAATCACGGCGTCGGAAGTAGCAGGTGTTGTGCAACAACCTAAAAGTAGCTGCATGGGACATATTCAGAGTTACTTCGAGGATCGTGATGATGAACAGCTCTCAACAACTAGTACACAAGGACAAGCACAACGACCACCATCTTTAGCACCAGGACCAGACCCTTCCTTATCTTCAATCGTAGGAGGAGATAAACAGGAATTGATTACTCATCTTCGTGCTGGAGCATCTGCTGGAACGCGATTACGCAGATGGCAACGTGGCAAAACTGGTTTTCCCCTAGTCGATGCGGCCATGCGCCAGCTATGGAGGATAGGTTGGATGCCGAACTACTTGAGGCACGTCTGTGCCCAATTCCTCATCGAATACTTAGACATCAACTGGAAAGAGGGTTTCAAGTGGTTCGACTACACGCTGATCGACACCGACGTCGCGATCAATGCGCACATGTGGCAGAATGGCGGTCACTCCGGCTTAGATCAGTGGAATTTCGTGATGCATCCGGTGTTTGCAGCTAAAAGTTGCGATCCAGACGGTGACTACGTACGACGATGGCTTCCGGAATTGAAGTCTCTGCCAGTCGAATACATCCATTGTCCGTGGCAAGCACCAGCTAAATTCGACATCGCAGTCCTACAACCAGCTGCTTATCCGTTCCGAGTGATCAACGACTTGGACAAAGCGAGGAAACTACATGCAGAAAGAGTCTTGGCAGTGAGGAAAGAGCATAGGAAAGAGTTGGTTTCAACCAGAGGGAACGAGTATTTATGGTTAGACTGCGACTATGTTGAAGATTGGACACCGGAATGGGAATTGGATAGGAGAAAACACGTGGAGAAAATGCTAAGCGTCTCTACGAGTGCATGTAAAAAAGTTGTAGAGGATAGGAACAATCGTGGGGGTGGTGGTAACAAGAACCAGAACAAGAAAGGAAGTGGTAAGGGCACCGACGACTCAGTGAACGAAGAGGGCTGTGACAATCCCAAGAGCAGTGCAGGCCCTAAAAATGGTACGAAGAACAAGGCGACAAAGAATCGAAATCTCGGCAACACTCCCTCCACAACTGCCGAGAGGTCTACCACGGACGACGAAGAAGAAGAGGACGTCTCATTACAGAACTTAATCACCATGCAGCAGCAGCAACAGGCCAACATCGCAGCACAAAAGGAGAGAGCTAAACAACGACGTGAAATAGCCAATAACCCTTCTGTCTTTCCACGGATGCAAACGATGCTGCCTACGAAGAAGAACAATGCGAATACTCAAGGGAACAAGAACAAAAATTCAAGAGCAAGTGCCACTGCAGAAGCTAGGGCAAAAGGAGGCATGAGGCAAAGGGTGGAGTTGATTACCAGAGTTGACTTTCGAGAGGACTCGCTAGATTTCTTGACCCAACAAACAGCAGATCGACCGAGGCACTTGAAAAAACGCGAGTTGAAAAACACGTGGGAGCAACAGCTGATGAACGAGGTGATGAACGAGTGGCGTCGGACAAATAAAGTCGATGTTGAGGATGTTCTGTAACGTTCTACTTAGCTAAAGTTTGTCAGATATTGATATAGCAGGATGATCAGGAAGTGAAACGCAAGTTTTCAGCTTCCTTGTGTGACACAGTGTGCAGTGAGTTCCTGCATCGGAATCGAATGCGATTTGGTTATACAAAAATGTACTAGATGAAGATGACTAAAAAGGATTCTTGTATCATACTTTTGGACAACGACAATAAATTTGGGATACATATGTATAAAGTCGTGTCTTCGTCTTCTATCTTCGGTACGCGCAATCTCATCTTCCCTGTCAACTCGTGAGTGAAACTGAGCAGATCCATTATGGATTAGTTTAGCTCTCTTCCCTATCCTCTCGCAGTTTTCAAAACCTTCATGTTAATCTTTTAGTACAACTTCATGTTAAAAGACAACAACTTCACGTTAAAGATCTTTTAGTTTTAGTACAACATCTAGTTAGAACAAGATGCGACTTCTCTTACCCGTGTCGTCCCATCGATGGGTTTGCATTGACTGCATTCATATTGTGGCGTCCTATATGATTGCAAGCTAACCATCTGGTGACCATACATGGCATAGAGATAGACCGTTTTTAGTGAAAGTACTAGTCTACTTGGAGCTAAAACCTTCAGTCAGCTCGAAGATGTTGTATGCTCCCGCGACAAAGGCGACAAATACTCAAAATCGTGTGAAGAAATCTTTATTGGTGTGAAAAGAAAATTGTTGAGTATTTGTTGTTTTCTGACTGTTTCAGAACAAAGATAGATACGGTGAAGAATACCTCTGGAACTCACCGTGTTTGCGAATGGGTAGGCGACCTGGACTGATGTCGCTGTTCTCCGCTAGAGCCGGCAATACCTGCCGCCTACAAATGCGTGTCGTGGACGAGAAAAAAGCATCGATCTACGGCACACAGATCTCCAGTCGGAAACCTTGAAAATGAGAAAATGGCTACAACGAGTTCCATAATCATGATCGTGAAAAGAGCAAAGTAAAGATCGATCAAATAATTATGGCGGATATCGACACCAATCTTCAAGCTGGAAATGACGGGGTCGCACCCAACGACAGTATCTCAAATGTCGGCTCAGCTGCTACTTCCGCAAATCGCACGAAGCAGTTCTACTCGAAACGGCCAGCACCCTCCAACTAGCTACCTATGCAGTGCCTGACTTCGAAGGACTCGGAGTCGGAACTGTTGCTTCTAGACCAGAGACATCCCGAGGGACGCGAATTGATGCGATTTCGACTATTTTATAGCGTAGTCCGCTTCGAAGATACAGCAGCGAGGGACGCGAATTGATGCGATTTCGACTAAGTTTGCGCGTGAGTTGGACCGACGAGCGGTTCATAGCATGGCCAGATGGCGAACCAGTGCCGGAAGCTGTTTGTTATGCTGCGGTTGGAGGATGTTGGTGTAAGTGTCTATTCTGCAACATATTTTTAGAATAAGTACTACCTTCGGAGGGCACTGAAACTACCACAGCGACGTTACGGTGCTCTGCCTCTAATTCCCGAAACCCGAGGTCGGCAATTTCTCTGAGCTCAGATTCGATCCTGAAACCACTGCCAAAACCATGCCCACTGTCCTCGACCACAAAATCGGCATCCTAGAGAATAGTGTCCGCTGTGATTGGCTGATCTGTCCTAGCGGCGATGTCAGATTGGAGAATACTAGGGACCTAAGATTGGGCTTCGATCTCTAGTATTCTCAGACCAAATCTTAGATGGCAGAAGCAAAGAGGCAAAGGAAGAAACGAAGAAGCAAATGAAGGAAGCGCAATTGAAAAGACGAAGGTCTGGGAGTTTCTTTCGTGGTGCGGCAAAGACTTCTAGGATTGATGATAAAAATGCATTGTCGGCTGAAGATGATGGAGATGGAGCTACTGCAGGAGAGCAACAGGCGATTACCATGTCACGCGGTGTGTCTGGCGACAGAGCAGGGAGGCTTAGCGAAAACAGTGGTACTGTAGGTTCCGGCCGACTTGCTTTATCTGCTTTACACAAGCCTTTCCATTCTACATCCGCTCAAGTGGATTTTGCATTCTTTGCATTTGTCTTGTCCAGTCCGCTTTTCTATGTGGACATTTGAGGCTGTGGCGTGACGTCAAGAAGGGTTTGCACGGAGGTAACGGGATGCGCCGCGCGTGGTTGCAAGGTGGGAATTGGTATAACCGATTCGCGGAGATTCAGATTGAATACCATATGCAAGTCGAGGATGGGCCAGCAGCAGGTCGTAATCGGATCATGAACGCATACGGAAGGCCGGTTCTGCCAATCAAATTTTAGCAGGTCCAGGTTTTTCTTAGTAAGCTGAAACTGTCGTTTTGTAGTTGTTCTATAAACCATTCCAACACTCGTGATGCTGATGCCTTTAACGCAAGCAGTATGATTTTTTGCTTTTGGATTGCTTTGAAGTGTCAAGCACGCATTTTTTTATGACTATGTATGATACTGGCCTCTCCAAAAGACGTGGGAGGACATGATGAATTTCGCTGCACAGCGCGCTTAAGCAAAACATTCGTCATTATCCGTTGGCGGAATGAAATCGGTATTTCTTCTTAGGCTTCGATTCGGGTGCAATGTCGTTTCTCTTGGCCAGAAACAAAGAATGAAAAGAAACAGAGAGTGAAATGATCAACGAAGACAAAAAAAAACAAAATGATGCTCTGCTCCATTCCATTCCGTTTCTCCTCTAGCGCGCGACGTCTAGAACGCGTTATTCTAGGTACTCCTCTAGCCCTCCCACGAGTTAGCAGCTTGCATTTCGACACGGAGCCAGGTTTCGCGATAGCGAGAGAGTTTCACGAATTCTTCCTTCCCGCTCTTAGAGTCTCCCATCCAACATCATTAGATGTGCAGTGGACAGAACGAAGTTCTTCTAGTACTTCACCAAGTGGGAAAGATGCAGATGATAGGAAGAAGGTAGGAGCAGGAGGTGGTTCGGAACATCATATAGAAGATAGAAGCTCCAAGTCGAATTCCGGAGCACAATTTACCTCTGGGAAAGCAATTGTTCCACAAGAATCGCGCAAAGGGAAAAAGATGAAGAATCGTCTATATGTGACGCTTACAAACGACTGCCATGGAGAAATACAGCTTGACAGATATGCGAGTTCGCATCAACTGATGCGACGGTTGCTGAAAATCTAATACTCAAGCTTTAGAGCAGGACCCTTCGTCAACCAGTCTATACCTCGAACTGTTGACCATATTAAACACGATTAAGGGATTATCTTCAAGGGGGGATCTGCATGGTTTCTGGCTTTCTTCTTTTTCATCTCGGAAGGTCCCTCCGACGGACTATTCTCAGATTGGTGACGCTGAACGAGAAGCAGTAGATAGAGCCAGAAGATGATGTCATGAGGGTTTTGGTTTTTTAGAATTTTCTGGATGCAGGCTTTGGAGAGAAACACGACAACGACACCATCATCGAAACCCGTTCAGCAATGATCCCTATGTATGTGTGTAAGTCTGAAACCAGGATGAATAACATTTTGTGGCAAGCATATTTCTAGTTCTTTCAAACAAGAGCCCACTTTTCAAAAGACAAAATGTCCTCAACCAGCGGCGCCCCTCTGTGGGCGTCAGCGCTTACTGCAGCTTGCTATGCTGCACTTATGGCGTTTCTGTACTCAGACATCATTGCTTTCTTTGGTCAGTTTCCACCGTTATACGTGATTGCTGCGTGTTTCGCTGCGGTCCTCTCGTGCACTTTATGTCGGTGCGCGCAGGAAGCAACGCGGGATGAAATCCCGCTCTTTCCGCCAGAAGGATTGTTAGGTGCGCTCACGAAGACAGCTACAACATCGAAGAAGCAATCACCTTCAGCGAGTACATTTGTTTCCACTTTCTTGCGGACCGCAGAAGATTTCCTGAAACTGTTGCCGACCTACCTCCTAGTCGTCTTCGCTACCAGTAGTCCGGAGAAAGACACACTGCTAGTTTTTGTCATCTACGTTAGTACAGCCTTCGGCCTCTTAGCGCAAGAATTCCCGAGGAAAATGGGAATCCAGAATCTAGCCAGTTTTTCTTGTCCTGCTTTCACAGTCTTGCCAGCAAACGTGATGAATTTCTTGGGCAGAAGTCACGGTGCTACGAGTCGAAGTAACCGCGCGATATTTCCAGAAGAATTGTCAGCGATTCTTCGTGGGACTGCCGATGACCCACTGAAACTAGCACCTAACCTGAAACTAGAGTGCGTTTTCCGCTCCAGAGAAAGGTGGAGTCGTGCGGCATCTTTACCGCCAGGCGGTGAGCCACCATTGAGGGAGAAGGAGCTCGCAACACAAGCAGGATTTGAGAACCCTTTGGATGCTCTTGGTCGTGATAGTAGCTCCTTTGGTGCGAAGTCTGACTTAGAAGCTGAAATTGCAAGTGCGGGAGTAGAGCTTGAGGCTTACCGTCAGAAGCTAGCTGCATTTCAAGAAGGCAAAACGAAATCGTTTGGACAAGGAGATGAAGATGAGAAGAAAGGGACAAAAGGCAACAAAGACGAAGATGTTTCTAGTACCACTTCAGAATACGAAATGGTTGATTCTAACGGTAAAGACGAAACAAACGGTTCTGTCGAAGACGACGTCCTTCCTGAAGACATCGCGTTTTTACTAAGTGATCTTCCTTCTTGCGTTTCCGTACGAGGACCAAAAGTGTTTGGATTTACGTTGTACAACATGTGCTATCCGTTTCTACTGATCGATCGACGTGAGCCTGGGTGGATCATCGCGGTGTTGGTGGTTTTCAATTTTTTAGATAGACTCTGGATGTTGTCGAGTATGACATTGCTAGAGCAGCGGTCATTCCGAAGGCAAAGATGGACACACGACGTGACGGTGATATTGTGCTGGATCTATACGTTGGTGAAGTGCGTGCTGTTGGGATATGGGGAGGGGGGTGGTACTAGATGTTGATAATCTTTGGGTCGTACTACTACCGGAAAGTTGTATTTCTGTACCTAGCAACAAATATTCTTTCAGTCTAATTTGTTTCCCATTATTCGATCTGTAGTTGACCTCATCATCTTGCCCAACAATACAACCTCCAGTTCGTCCCGCGTTCTTCCTGATCTGGAGGAACTTCTACCTTGGCCATCTCCTTCTCTTCGTCGCTGAGCATGTGATCCCCACAACCGCTTTCGGACTCCGCAGTGTGACGATCTCCTGTCGTCAGTTTGTCATGGACGATACAGCTTCAAAAGAAGATGTGGCAGCGGCAAAGACGAATCTCTCGACTGCTAAAGGTGGCGCAAATGCAAACTCAACATCAACATCTCCCTTACCCGCTTTCCTCCTAACACAAAGCGCCTTTGGACCACGGGAACGATTCCCAAAGCCAGACGGGCTAAAAGAGCGCGTGAAGGAGGTTTACATGAGACCGGATTGGAGAGAACTACTGCAGAAACGTCACGATACGCATGATTCCATTGCCTTTCACGGAACTGGGGCGTCGTCGTGTGCAGCGATACTGGAGACAGGATTCGAACCGAAGCTGGGACAGATTGGGACGGTGACTTATTTATGATTTTCCGATGGTGTCGTGAGTGACTACTTGTTGATGTACTCCAAGACGAGGGTCTGAAAACAAGCACAGGTCTTATCAGGTTAATATCGTCTGGGTAACAATGTCAATACCTGAATGTCGTAGTCTTCGAGTTAGAATCCTGAGTGAAGATGGAATACTTCTCTAACACTTTTCGCTTCCGATGTCGACGCAGCCAGCTGTTTTTCAGGCGATGGCTGGGTCTTCGTTGTTGCTCTAGACCGTCGCCGCTATGTTGCAGGCGTGACAACTGCAAACTTCACACCACATTCTGAAGGTAGAGAGTGTCCGACCTATGTAGTGTACGAATACGACAATGTTGCCGTCAGTGGTTGTGGTTGCGGTTTTCCTACAAGTTCATCAGCAAATAGTGCTGTCTTAATTCTTGGAATCATCCGAATTCGACTCTACGATGGACCTTGGGCACCGTCGATGCGCAATCGGGGTGTATTGTCGGACGAGTTTAGGAAATTCATGGATGTCAAACAAGATGGACATACGGCAGCATCAGATTCACCATCAGAATCTTCAACTCCAGCTTCTCCTAGCAACAAGAACAAGAGTCCTGAAATCTATTACAACACTCCATCCGATCTTGCCAATGCGCGCAAGCACGTCCAATTCCGTTTCGTACAGTGGAACATCCAGTATTGGCATACGCTAGGAGGCAGACTAGACATCGACGCAATGTTTGCGGTTTTTACTGATCTCGATGCGGATATTTTAGTGTTGAATGAGGTGATGTTTTTGTGGCCTTATTTGGTGCAGAAGGACTTCGAAAAACGACTGCGAGAAAAATGTGGTTTTAACCACTTCTTGTATGGGAACACGACAAAGTGGGATCCGTTGATGCGTCTAAGAAAAGCGTTTTTCGGCAATGTCATCTGTTCAAAAACGGAGCTGGAGAATCCTATGGTCATAGAAATGCCAGGTAGTGAAGACCGACCACATGAAGATAGATCCGCTGTAGCAGGCACGTTGGAGATTGGAGTCGAAGATGGAGAGGGAAGAAGTACAAGTAGTCCAAAGCAGAAAATCAGACTAGTTGGAACACATCTGGAGATCTGGGATCAATCTGGTCAGGCTGCGCTGAGGCAGACGAGGCAGATACTGGGGAAATGCTTCGAAGATGGTAGTGATAAAAATACTTCTAGCAGCGCTTCTAGTAGCAACAGTACTCTCGAAATCCTCTGTGGTGATCTCAATTCCTTCCGTCGTTGTGAATACAGCGAAAACCGACTTGACCGCTTTCCTAAGCCGCACAACTTCAACGTAATCCGCTATCTAGAGAGGGATGGTTTCGAGGATGCTTTTTCACTATGCGGAGTTGACCCACCAGAGATGTCAGTGTGGTCGACAGCTAGGGTTGACTACTTCTTTGTACGAGAAAGGAGACAGCAGGGTGGACAAAAGGACAACGAAAAGTCCAAAAATGCTTTCAAGGATTCATGGAGAGGTCGAGTGTACAAGAATTGTGTCTCTGATCACGCGCCGTTGATACTTGAGCGGCAAGGGTGATAGATCAGGGGCGGGTAGAGATTGATTCATCAAGCATGATGATGATTTAAGCATAAGCAACATTTAGACACCTTGTTCAATAACGCCTCGACGTTTGTTCACGAGCTTCTCATCAGTCTCTATTCGGCGAGAAAATCGGGGCATTAAAAAGGAAATGACCAAGTGAAAAAAGCGAGTTCGAAAAATGAGTTCGAGAAAGAACAACGAAATTTAAGTATAGTATATGGCGAAGTGCTGTCCTTACAAGCAAAGAGCGAAAACAAAAATGAGACACCTTCCTTCATCAAAAAGGTTGGAAACAAAACCTAAATCATTGCTGTAGGAGCTCCACTTTAAATTGGTATCTTTCCATAAGAAAGAGGACATCCAAGTCAATCACCATGTTCCAAGAACGGCTTCGGCCATCCGCATCTGCGGGTACCGCAGGAAATGCGAAGCCCTTACCAACCCTGCTATCCTTCGCGTCACCTCAGTCCCCATCTAGTACCAAAGGTCGGGGAGGAGGATTGAGGAGTTCGCCATCGAAAAAGATTCAGATTCAGATTGCTGAAGGTGGGACGACGCCTACTTCTGCAAGAGGAGCAGATGGCAACATGAATGGAGACGAACAATACAATCAGACGATGTACACAGCACGTGGAACCTCTACGCCTAAGAAAAAAGCCAGTGTCAAATTCGAAAATGACCGATTGCGTCGCACAAGTCAGTTGCCGGGGAAGATTATGCTTGGATTGTTTGATGAGAAAGAGGAGTCTAGAGCAACGCTAATGTAGTTCTTATAGGTAAATTTTGCGATTTCAGCGAGCGTGGCAAGGGCAGTCTTGTTATTCTCGTCCTCACTTCATCCTCTAATGACCAATTCGCACTGCTGCTCCAGACACCAGACACGAAGCCAGTCCCTCCAGCGCCCGAACCGACTCCCGCACTGGGACAAGATCTCATGTTAGCCGATGAGCGGCAACTGGAATTCGCTACCGCAGTGTTGTCTCCGTCACTGCTAGCTGATTGGAAGGATATCGATGTTGGGATGGGGAATATGACGCCTTCTGGCTCATCGGCATCTTCGAAATCGAATCATGCTGTTCAACATAACGCTTTCAAGAAAACTCTCGACGATGATGATGCTCGTTTGTCTCCGAACATTGAAGATGAAGATGAAGGCGTAGGTGTAGAACAGGCTGAGGACGCAGAACGTGAGCGAATGGCTCACCAAATCTCTAGACTTTCGACGCATGTGAACAGCACTTCCTCCCTGATGGAAGTGCCGTTTGATTTGCCGGAGCAACCTCGTGATGCGTCGCGAATGAAACCGACTGCAGGTGGAGCGGATGATGCGGCTGGTAAGCATTTTAGGAGTTTTGTCTGGACTTGTTGCGATACATATGTACTTATGTTCGTCTTGTCGTCTTGTCGTCCATTCAGTCTGACAGAATTATCTGTCGTCCTCACAATGACTGTCGTACGATAATTTTACATTAGACTTCTTCTATCAACTACAACGTCACCACCAGGCATCGCCCCCATCAACCGCACTATCTCCCACAAACGATCTTCTCTCAAACGCGATTTCGGTTCTCCGATGTCCCGCAGTGTCAGCAAGAAGAAACGTGTGTCTTTCTGCAGTCTGGAGTTACCTCCAGATTAAGGCTACCGCTAACGCATCCTCAAGGTTATATATTCTGGGCCTTTTTTCCCCTAGTCTCCTTTCGCCAATCGGAGCTGGGAGGTGGGACGCCAGGGGCTGAAGCATCCCGTGTTTAGCTAAATTATAACTAGTTTACTTTCTCTTCTTTTAACCTCGCCTCTGCTTCTTCGCTGTACGAGTGTTGAGAGTGAGTGAGCACACTACAGCTGTCGCCCGCAACCTCTTGGTTCTGTACTTGCTCGAAGATCAGGGACAACGACGGACAACTTCTCTCTTATATATTTGAAAAAGAAGCCAAGTAGAATGACTTCAGGGACTCGAACGTGGTAGCTCTAACCTGAACACATTGTGGAATCACAGAATGTGAATGTGAATCGACCGCGTGCGAACGCTCATGGTCGAAATTCGAGTCTGTATGGGGACGATTTGGGAAGAAGCTTGTCGGACTTCGCGACAGCGGGAAGCAGCAAGAAAACGTCGTTTATTTCGTCGGATGCGGGTGATAGGGTATGGCAGGTGTAGATGGATAAGAAGTGAGTGGATAAGTGAAGAGAATCATGTATGTGACTAGAAAATACCATAAGAATGAGATGAAGTTCAAGTTATTGTAGTGTTCGTGTACAGCATTGCTTCCAGGATCTTGTAGTAATCCAACTTCTAGTATTAAGGAAAGAAGACACCTTCTAGACACCGTGTTGTGATCCAAGAACACAGCACGTTCCTTTCATTCCACGACCAAGACGCCGACCACAGTAACGAAGACAATATTTTGGATGAGGAGGTGCTGCGGAAGTCTCCAGATTTGAGCCGCATCTCAGGGATCGATCGAGACGGGGAAACGTTTCTATTCGAAGATGAAGAAGGCGAGCCTTATGCGCCAATCGATGGAGAAGAGCACGGGGACCAGGATAATAATAATTGTAATTCGTCATCTAGTTCTTGTACAGAAGTGCACATGGACATGCACAAGTACTCAACCGCAGCACAAGACCGACTCCAACAGCGGGTGAATCATCTTGTGAAGACGCTGAGTACTGCGTCGTCTGTGGTGATTGATGAAGAGCGGGACGATGCAGAGACCGTGAACAAGACGAACACAAGAACTTCTACTGCCCAAAATGCTAACGCTAGGAGTGCCAGTGCCAGTAAAAAAGCGTCTCGTCTTCGCGCACCTACCAAGGTCCCCGACTTCGTTTCTACACAGATGTCTCGTGCTAGCCAACAAGACCTCGCATGCACTCTGCAACTTCTCAACGCACTCGAGAAAAAGCTGGAGAACATCGATAAAACATCCACATCTTCCATCTCGAGTGGTGACCACAAGGATGTCGAAGTAGATGACAACATGAAGAACATGAGTTTTGACGAAGAGGATTTTGGACTACATTTCGAAGAAATTGCGCCGTTGCCAAGTATGATTGAGAAAGTGATGGACGGGGACGGAGACGAGGACGCACAATCTGCACGATCTTCTCCATATGACGCGATGGTTGGAGTAGATGAGATTCATTTGGTCGCGCCTAGGAACACACGCGCATCTGGGTTTCTAGATGCACCCGAGAAACAACTACAAGGAGGACAATCGACTCAGTCTCAGTCAGAGTCTCTTCTTCCATCGGCAGCGAAACAAGCACAATCACAGCTAGAGAAAGATCAAGCAGATGTAGACGAGCATGTCCTAAAACCAGGCATCTTCACTCTAGCCGACGACCTATTGCTTAAACAAGGCATGCTGGAACAAGGTCTAGTTCCTCCACGCCTCTCTGATGCGCAATTAGACCTTGAGGAAGAGTGGAGATTGGATTTTGAGCGTGCTACGTTGGACGACCGTTTCCTTCTAGAGGAGTCTCAAGAGCTGGACTTCAACCGCGTCCTCCGTTTGAGTAGAGCGGGATTGAGCAAGGATTTAGAACGTGACTTGGCTGCAGTGCAGGAACTGGAGGAAGAATTGCGCAACAACTCTACCACAAATGTAGGCGGGACTAGAAGCATTCTTGCTTTAGATGATGGGAGCGAGAAGAAAGAGAAAGCAGACTTTCAAAAGAGTCTTGGTCTTCCTGGAGGTGAAGTAACCATCAAGTCTACTTCGGGAGGATTGCTGTTGCCAAGCTGCACAACTACAGAACCTATAACTAACGCTCGTCTCAACGCGAAGAGTATGACGAGTAAAAATGGCAGTGCAGTTCCAGATTACCGTTGTTTCGCAGGCACGCAAATCTTGGAGTCTGGCGATGATTCCTGTGGAGGGCGCGGCAACCGTAGCCAGAGTCTCAGCCGCACTATGAGCGGGAAACAGTACTTAGAAGAGCAGGCTTTGGCAACGCTAGAAGAAAAGATGACGTCTTCTTCCTCGTGTGGAGGTTCTATTATGGGTATGGGAGCAACACTGAGCTCCGGTGTGGGCAATTTCGGCGTCGATACACCGAGCAGGAAGCGAACGTCGCTTGCGGGTATGCGACCTCCTGCGGACTTACGAGGCTTGTCCTTGTCTGCACAAAAATCGTCAAGGAGCAAGAGTCCACCGCCAGATGCTTTGCGTCGTCAGGTGTTTTCCTGCGATCACAAGCGGGGACGGGAAGTGAGTGGAGTTTCTTCGGCAACGAGCAACCGAGATGAAAGTGAAGATGAGGGAGTCGAAGACGAGCCTCCGATTGGCGGTGTTAGCACACAGATTCCGACGATGGTGTTGCATCGCACGAGCAGTGGGGCTTCGTTTGTAGAGGATAAGCAGGAGATAGCACCAGAATCATTCAAAGAAGATGTGTCCTTGAAGCAAGTTGCGCCCTCTGCTGATATTGTTGCGCCCACGCCTGGACCTGTTACCACAAGTACAACTGTGAGTAATCCTACGAAGATCGTGATGGACAAGTCGAGTTTGACGTCGATGCTGCAGAATGCACAGCGTTCAAACCATCTGAAACATCTAGTAGTTGCGCCTCCATCCACCGGCATCCCGCGTGTGAGCCTTGTTCCTCCAGTCAAGCGCACGTTGCTGCAATGGCACCCACAACTTCTGTCCACTGGTAAGGTCAGCGCGCCTATTGGTCGTGGACGTACTCTTGGTGTTGCTAGTGCTGCACGGGCTCGCGGAAGAGAGGAGATGACGGAATGGCTACCCGAAAAGTGTAATCTAGTAGAACAGGACGAAATTGAAGTCGGAACGACATGTGTCGCAAAAAGTCTTTGTGCAACTCCGCTTTTTCCAGCTCCAATTTTCAGTAAAACCTTGAAGATTCCTCTTGGGGGGATGCTGAAGAACAAGACGGAGATGAAGAAAGCCACTCAAGATACTGATGTCACTTCGAAAACGAACATCAAGAACATCAACAATATTAAGCAAGAGAACGCTGGTGCGACTACAACTTCTAAGCAGTACAAACAAGCTACTGCTCGCGAGAGCACAATCATGGCGGCAACTGCACCACTTGATATTCCCTCCTCTTCCATGGATGCTACATCAACTACAGAAACGACTACATCTACAAAGACTACGATTGCAACCGGCCGTCGCTCACTCCCAACCTCTCCTAGCAAATTTGAACCTCTTGCGCGCAAAGTAAGTCCATTCGTCGTCTGTCAGCCTCTGCAAATCCATCCTCCGACGACCGCTCCGAGATTCTTAGGGCAGAGCAAGCCGATTGTGTGGCATCGAATGCCTATGGTGCCACCAACGATCAATCTCAACGTGCAAGCCCGTGGTGGTCCTCCGACAACTAGAACTTTTTTGACTACTGCTAAGCCTCAAGAAGCTCATCAACATTGTACTGTGCTAGGACAGCCCACTCCGGTCGCTACTACCAAGGCGGGAGAGCAGGAGGCTAACAAAAGTGTTGCTACAGCAGGCGTAGATGATCCAACGTGTATCGACCTTGCAGCTGCAGCTAGTACTATTCGTACGAAATCCTCGACTAGTTCTTTGCTTGGTGGTACAACGTCGATGTTGCCGCCTCCGACACTCTTGGAAGATAAGGAAGAAGACGACGAAGAACAAGAACATGATCGAAAAGATGACGTACTACAACTAGAACAGGAAGATGAACATGAATTGGCTACATTTCGAGCACTCGATACATCCTCTCCTCCGACAGTGAAAAAAGAGACACCTACTTTGAAGCGGGGACGATCGTCGCCTCCCTTGAGTCGTGTGGCTTCTGCGAAACTGGGTGTGCCAGCACACTTGGTGCGCTCGACTTCGAATCAAACGATGACGCCTGCATCGGAAGTTCTGAAACAGTGTGGTGTAGCTGGTCTTGGAGATCATGTTGTTGACAACGGAGATGAACTTACTGCAACATCAGGCACGAATAAAAAACGCTGCCGCAGTAGAACGACAGCTCATGATGTTAAAAACTACGTCAATCATCCTTTGAAAGAAGATCAAGATGATGAATCACTTAGTCAAGATCAGCCTCCGCCATTGACGAAATCTGTATCCAGAACTTCTACAAATAAGTCTGTTTCCGTTGTCCGTCGACCTCCATCTGCTCACCGTCGCGCACCCAGTCTGCGATCTGATGCGGTGGTAAAGTCAGTCGTTTCGCAACGGCGACAAGCGTCGAATTGTACTAAAGCTGCAAATGGAAATGGGCGTGTGGGATCACTTTCTGCTTCTCGTGAACGCAGTGTCGCAGCAGAGGAGGAAAGCCAATCGTGTCAGGATTTGCCAGGGACTTCGCGTTATGCAGAACAAAAAGTCTTTGATGATGAACAACATGATCATCAAGCAGAAGGTCAAGTTTTTGATCAACTACAAGATCAAGTGGCAGTTGTCGACATGAAGCACGTACACAGTCTACTTCGCACCAAGGTGAAACGTCGCACTTCTCCGAGTGGGGGTTGTATGATCTCGTCTGAACAAGACGAGGATAATGAGCAGGACGATGGATCTTTTTACACTGCTAGAGGACAACCAGCTAACGCTACGGGCCACCCGTGGTCTCCAGAACAGGATATGAACAATTCTCCCTGCGCTGAAGATGAAGCAGTAGATCAGCCACGCCGCCTAGTTGTAGGTAAAGTGCAAGTACCTGTATTCGGAGCAGGAGGAGACACAGTTCAACATTTAGAAGGGAATGATGTGCGTTTCGAGAAGATGCCAAAGCGGCCGCAACAACCGCGACAACAGCAAGAAGAACTCTTCGACGAGAACCTGATTAACTCGGTCGTACAAGAACTAGAGGAAAAACGGGATGATCCTATGAATGCCGACGAATCCTTTGGTCCAGAGCACTTACTGCAACATCTTTCACCTAATACAACAGGAAAAGCTAAAAATGCTTGTGCGTCTGCTGCTAATAAGAAGACCAATCAAAATGAACATGCAAGTGGAACAAACGCAAATCCAAAGTTAACAGCTTCTTCTTCTCTCGTAGTGCTTCCGTCGCCGCAACAGCCGTTGAAGCTTGTTAATCAGAACAAGGATCACCAGGGCGAGATGAAGGCTAAAGCGATTAAGATCAGTGAAAATTGCATGCAGCTTTGGAGACAGCGTCAGCAGGACGGTATTCAGATCTTGCCGATGAAGGCTACTACGACTAGTGCCTCTGCGAATAGCGATAACACTAGACCAGCATCATCTCCGCGTACCGGCCGTATCGTGAAGCCAGCGCATTTGCCGATGGCAGGAAAGGGAAATGGGGGTGCCGGTTTGGAGGTATTTCGATGGGCTGCTGTGTAAACAACTCTTCACGAATATTAAGTTTCAGCTCGTGACTCGATCTCTTGCTCTTCTCTAGATAAACACAAATGATAGGGACGACATCACTTAAGATCGGGTTAAAAAGAACCCTGCCCACCTCCACATCAGGTCACCGGAGTGCAAGTCTCAACATACACGGGCGCCTCGACTGCTCCAGCTCCTCCTCCGCACAAGATTATGGCTTCTCCAGGGATTGGTGTGAGTCTGGTTTCCCCTGTTGTCAGTCAACACGCAGTGTCCACGTGGGCTACATCGACGCAATTGATCGCTGGTGGACCGAGAAAGCTCAACTCCATGGCTAGGCAAGTTTGGGTACTAGGCTTTGTTGTGCTTATTGCGTAATTCTCTAACTTAAAAAAGTTCTTGAACACTTCCCTGTGCTCTAACTCCTTTTTCCTACCAACCCAAATAAGAAGACAACTGCAGTCACATCAACCAATCACAGGAACAACCAATGGCTCCTGGAGCTTTCTTTCCGTCGCAGCCACCGCTCAACGACTGTCGAACAGATCCGAAGAAGGTGCATCGCATGCGAAGTGCACATGCGTAGACTCGATCGTGTTTAGATGTATCGTAGTTCAGTAATCCTCAGATTTAAGTGTTACTGTAATTCGTGACTCAACTTGATAAATACGAATGAGTGTATGAACTGTTGATTGTGTAGTTTATGAATTGTACCTTTACTGTGTTGATACTAGTCGTTTCTTCTACCGTTTGTCATGTGTTTCCGCAACGAAATCTGTATATGTCATCATCTACTTTCTTTGTTATCTTCAACTCCTTACTATTACAAGCACGAGTACGCAGTTTCATTAGCATTGCCTAGTACGCAATATTAATCGTTCTTAGCTATTTTGCGCGAAATTTTGTATACTTTGTGGGAGGAGAAATTTTATACTAGGGCCTGAGGGAAGACGGTGCCAAGCACCATGTCTTTTTAGATGTACAAATTTTTCGCGTATCTAGGATTGAATTTTTTGCAGGGCGACGTGGAGGCGATATCCTCCATAAGCTTGAGTCTAAAGTTTTTTTTCGGTGTCGCAAAAAATCGCAGGTGCGACTATCGAACATGACGAACATGAAGGTCCTTCGTGAAGGTCCTCACAAAGTTTTTGTTATAGTGTTTTTGTACTAGTGCATGAATTTATTAGAAAGCAGTATCAGTTACAATTAGTTTTTCATCGAAGTTGAAGTAAAAGTAATTTTGATATTTTTTGTGGCGTCCCAACACCGTGAAGTATATATAAGTTTAAATTTTGAAGCATGTTGATAGTACATTGGTAGGTTTATTCTCATCATAACCGGGGGTTCGAAGAACGCATTAATTATAAGGCAAGTAGTTCTGTCAGCACATAAAGAAGTGAAAAAGAACATAGCAAAGACATCATAGGAGATTCTGCTCTACATCATGTTGTCAATATACTACAAGCAGCACTACATAATTTACAAGAAGAAGAATAATTTTGATCATCAATAATTACAACCGGTTCTTGATTAGCCACTCTAAATGATAATGAACTACTAATACGAATACTCACTTAATATTATGAATTAAGATACATAGACACATGAATAGACAAAATAAAGGATCGCGACGAGTTGTGACGAATTCGATAATCCACCCCATAGATACATGATTTTGTGCATAGTCATTGATTCTACGATGTCCTACTTGCCCACTCACGCGATCACAGGCACACCTTGAGAAGAAAGAGACTCCTGTTGTCCAGAATTGAAACGGATACCGCTCTTTGTGATGATCATGATTTTTGTATTAATAAGACTAAGAGAACAATTGAGCAGCCAGACTTTGAAGACACGCCGCAGATGAAGTTTTCCACGCGTCTAGTTACAGCTATCAGAAGGTCGTAGTCGTGTTTTTGGCTCTTCAGTAGCCACTGAAGTGTGTTGGTTTTTCTAGTGGACCCACACCTAACCTGACCTAACATGCGAGAAGAAGATACCTTCATGAGGTGCCGTACGTTTTTGCGAATCATGACATTGACGCAAGAACAAAGAGCTTCGTTTCTGGTAAAGCGACGATACTTCTTGAACTAGGGTGAGCTGACAGAGTGGAGAAACAGAGCGAAAAAAGCAAAGAGAAAAATGGAAATTTTGCTTCGTTGCAGGAGCCCTCTGAAAAAATATGGTGGTCGATTTAATTCATTGTTTCAAAACTTGGAGATGAACCTAGCGTCGCTTACAGTAGCCCATCTTCGTGAATTCTGAATTGAACGAAGACCTATTTGTTCAAGATGATGGGCGGATCGGGGCGGTCCGAGGAGTACATAGGGCTGCCCCAGATGGAGTCCCGAGAGGACATGAAGCGAGTAGTGGATCAGACTGGACAAACGCCCTCGAGTGCTACTGCTGCTTTCCAAGGCTCCTCACCTGGCATGCTTTTCCTGAAGTTCCTCCTGTACCACGTTCCGTTCTTCATCTTTTTGACGTACTTGTGGGCAGCCGACGTGACCTTGCCCGGGAGATGTGCGGACGGCGTGTATGTCTTGCCGTTGACGATGACGGCGATAGAGGCGATGCCATGGCACCGTTTTTTGTCGCCGAAATCGTTGCAGTACGTTTTTCCCTTATGTTGAGAATCTCAGTTTGTCACTGTTCTTAGTCACTGTTAGAATGTTGCTCACATCTCCTACAGCAGGTGCTTGAAATTTTCTATGTCGACCCGTAACTCACTTCATCTCGGACTTTCTTTCGTATCAACCTCAAAATCCTCGCTACTTTCATACCCCCTCCGTGTCGCTTTACCGGTACGCCTCACGATCGTCTACCTAGCACAAATGTGCCATATGCACTTGCTCTTCGGCATGTATGGCGCAGAACACCTGACAGCAGAAGATGTGACTAGAGCGCGCAACAAGGCAATAGGAGCTGCCAACAAGTCTATCACCCATCTACGTGGACGAGGAACACAAACAGGGCTTGCTCTGATAGTTACGGGTACCGCCACCCCATCGTGGTCTACGACATCTTTTAGCCCCTTTTCACTTGTAAAGAGCCAAAAGATGATGTTCAAAAAGATGGGTTCTCGCGGCACCTCTAAGATAGATGACACCGAAATAAAGCATGGAGGTAGGTCGACATCAAGAGGAGACCACAAACATCTTCAAAGGGAAGAAGAGGACCATAAAGATCTAGATCGTAGTAGTTCTAGCTCTCATGAAGTCCAGGAAAGGATACCTTTTCCGGGTGCCGATCCGGTACCGCCGAGTCCCTTATTGAAGACGATGAGCGTCATCTTGCCATGCGCAGGGGAAGGAGAATATTATGAGCATTTACTTGATCTTATAGTCTAAATCTAAGACCCAGAAATTGTTTTTGATGATGTGATTCTTCATGTTTGTTCTTTTCACAAGAAGAAAATCCCGCATCCTCTCAAGAAAAAGCATCTTCGTCTTCCCTTAAAGAATGCAGGCTCTAAATCTTCGCAAAAAAGACTGCAGAGTCGGTCTACAATACGTGGAACCACGCTAAAGGAGACGATCCTAACGACCCGCACCCAACACTCCAAGAAATCGTGGTAGTAGACGATGGGACACAGCCGAAGTTGGCTGAATCGTTTCTGACGGAGGACGTGCAGAAGAAATATAGTATGGCTGCACTATAGAATTTAGAATGAATTATATCGAATGGTCCCAAGAATCAATGACAGTGTGTGACTTTATAGAAGTATATGAGACAGTGTGTGACTTTATACATAGAAGTAAGTCACATATTAGAAAGACAGCACTGTATGTAAACATAGGGTCCTTTTTGCTCGCTATTCTCACTCTTGATCCTCCCTTTTTCTGTCCATCCTCTTTCATCCCCCGAATCAAGGTCGTTCGCAACGACCACACAGTTGGCCTCATCAACGCAAAGAAGATCGGTGGAGATCACGCATCAGGCGACATCTTGACCTTCTTCGACTGTCACGTAGCGCCACAAGGTGACTGGTACGAGAAATTCTTTGAGAGTATCAACGAAAACTACAAACGCATTGTGGTTCCGTCAATCACGGCGCTTGACGTAGGAACATGGACGCAACAAGGCAACGGCGGGAATGGTGTGGCCAAGTGCTATTTGACCTTTGATGCAGATTTCAAATGGTTCGATAGTAAGGACAATTACGTCCCACTCCTTAGTGGAGGTTTGCTTAGCATGTCGAAGAAGTGGTGGGAGGAGACGGGCGGATACGACAAGCATATGGAAGGTACCATTGTTGAATGAACTTTTTTCTTTTCATATCAAACAAAAAAAGGTACTTATACTTAAAAATCGAAAAATTTGCTTTAGATGGTAAACAAGCAAACAAAGTTTGATCCTGATCATTTCTAACTTCATCTACAGCTAACTTTAGAACAAGTAGCTGTGGAGTGAAAAAATCGATTCTTGCGTATCAAGCTGGTTCTCTCTTATTGGCCATTTGATCAGGTTGGGGCGGCGAGTACTAACATTCATTCTTGGATCAGAAGGAAAACAAGAAAGGAATGCTTGTGATCAAATTCCAGCTACCAAATACCAAAACCGTCCATCTCTCCCCTTTTGGAAGCATTCACTGTTGTTCTTGAGGAAAGCCTCCTATTACGGCAATCCTCAAAATTACAGTGAATAGAGCTGCTCTAGCTGGTTCTCTCTTCTTGGCCATTTGATCAGGTTGGGGCGGCGAGAACATCGATCAGTCTTTGCGAACGTGGCTTTGCGGTGGTGAGATGGTAACGATACCAGAGGCGAAAGTTGCGCATATGTGGCGTCTTGGGAGTGACGCGCGAACCGCAAGACACTACTCTGTACCAGGAAATGCAGTGTCTAAGAACAGGTTTAGAGCAGCGAAAGCGTGGATGGGAGGGTACTTACAAAGTTGTATAATGATTGTTTGATCCCGTCTCTTAGTTACATTAGATCAAAGAGTAATGATGATAACGAGAAAAACAAACAATACCAATGCACCTCATAACATCAACAGTTACGCCGAAAAAATGGAAAACGGTCAGTTTCACGGCTACCAAGGGCCGCCCGGTTGGTATGGAGATTTGTCGAACTTGCTGCAAATCAAGAAGAACAACAACTGTCGAGAGTTCGGATGGTATCTGAACCGATTCCGCAACGTCTACATTGACGGGGGGCTGATCCCGGAAAAGACCTTCCTCATAGAGGTGTCGAATAGCGACAACCTGAATGGAAAGAAACATTAAGGCAGGACGATAGGCTTCTACTTAAGTAAATACATTTTCCTAGAACGATTATGTGTGAATGTTTATGATAGCAGTACATAGCTTGCTTCCTCAAAGTAGAATGATTATGAATGTTTATGATAGCAGTACATAGCTTGGTGCTTCCTCCGAGATTGCTTCCTCAGAGACGATTAGGTGTGGATGTTTATGCTCCTCAGAGAGCTCTTTCATTGTTGATCTTCCTCTCCTCGTTCTCTAACACGGATGCCTCCGCTACAAGCGTGGACCCGGTACCAGCGGCGACGGTAACGGAGAGGTCGGCCTCCGTGCCTGCGACCCCAAAGATGACCGACAGAGGTTTCATGTCGCGAATTTCAAGCAAGGATTGCGAGCCTGGAACACCGATCAGTGCCTGGTGGATAGAGGCTCAGTCCACGAAAGCCATGCTGACCCATCGGTGATCAAGACGACAGTGTTATGATGATGGCGAACATGTTTGTGTTATTTCATGTTACAAGTACGACTGTACACTATTTTTTTATGTTATGAAGATAGTTACAATAAAATGAAAAATCCTTTGGTTTTCAACACGGACGAGAAAAAGTGCCAGTTTATTTTACCTCCTCAAGATCATGAGATGTACAACAAAACCGAGTCTTGGTCCCCTTTCATACTCCTGCAACATTGCTGGCCAAGATCATAGCCAGGTCTTCGTTTTGGACGAAAAGACAAACAAATTGAGGATTACGCATGGTTGCTGGGGAGGCGATGGGACTAAGCTGGATGCGGCAAACTGTGAAAGCGACAAGACGGTCTTCACAATGCTCGATATGGCGGAGCCGATAGAGCGACAGCTCTTTAGGGAACAGGGATACAACTGAAAGGGTGTTATACTAGAAGTAGGTCGTGGTACCTTCTAGCGGCTACTAGAACTGCTTACTTGGGATGGGTTTGAGCTGGTTTTCAAATCTATTTGTGTCATTTTTTTGTGGCGGAGGAGAATTAAATGGTGGATTTTTTCGGGGACGATCATGGGATCATAGGCTTGAGGATCATGGGAGAGACCGAATCTCAACAACACTTTCTCTTTCAAATGCGACTGAGTGACAATAAGAACCAAGAGAGAGTTCCATTCAAGATGGAACTCGAAAGAGGATTCCTCAAAGACTACTTGCGCAAGTTTGGCCTAGAACATAGTAGTGGAGCATAAAGGCAGAGGACTCCTAGGCCATGGGAAAAGATTGAAATTATAAATGTACCACTTACCCTTGTTAGACCACCATCTGTACATATTAAAAGCCGTGGTCCTCGATGAAGTAGAAGTTGCACACGTTTTTAGGAGAATGCATCCGAGTGACTCCACATTAAGGATAGTAGAGAGAAGTGTTCAACAAGGTGCATGTTTATGTTTTGTAGACACAAGGAAGCGTCATAAGCATAACGAGTAATAAACTTGAATGGAACGTCGAGTGAGACGAGTGATTTCTCCCCAGGAAAGGGGTCCTGAAGTAGGCCGTAGCTCGTAAAAGAAGATGAAGAAGTTTGAAAAATATCTGACACAGGGAAAACGTCGTAAAAGGTGACCTTTTTAGGTAACGCAAATTACTCTATAGGCCTAAACTTGTTGATAGCTCAGTTCCAATTTGAAGATTGAGCTCTGTTCTGTTCACCGCGCTCGTCTTTTTACGCAGAGATTTTACGTCCTTACATTAAAGCAAAACAAAAACCAGAACCAATCGTACATTAAGACTAAAACAATCAAAGAATAAATCAGTCCAGTCAACATTATATATAGTTTTCAAGGTCTTTCCAAAGATCTTCTTCTAAGAAAAGTGCTAGTCGTTTCTTCACTCTTATATTTCCATTTTGTGAAGAACCAACAAAACACAAACAAAATGGTTTCGACCGATTCGCCTGCCGCTTATCAGATCCTCTTCATGAAAGAGTGGGTTGCCGAGACGGATGAGAAGAAGAAGGAGTACTACGACCAGATCGTTCCCTACATCAAGGAGAATTGTCCGTCTATCGAATTCGTAGGAATGGCCTCGAAGCAGTACGAAACCTCTGTCGGATGCCCGCCGAATAGCTTCATTTATGAACCGATTGCAAATGCAATTGCTCAGGATAAGAAGCACACTGTGCTGTATCTTCTAAACTTTAGATAAGCATTTCTATGTATTTCAAAGCAGCCTGTGTCCATCTAGAAAAAAAAAATCATATCGAAGATCATTAGCCATGATAATGATATACTGATCGCGCATTCCCTCCTTCCTTCCTTTGCTCATCCCCACCTTCATCCCTCCGGCAAGTGGCCTAGCAAAGACGAAGCTATCAAGGCGTATGAGTCGATGGTGAAGCCTGATGGCTATGTCAAGCGCGATATGCGCATTATCGAAGGCCCATCTGATATGTTTGAGAAAGGCAAGTCTTATTGGGTGGCACAGTTCGAAAAGGTCATTGACCAAGAAAAGTGGAACAAATACTTCAATGCGTTTGGAGCGAAGAATCAGGTAGTTCCACATTTGTGATTCCTTAATTCAATGCTCCTTCTCGTCCTGGACAGAGTGGCGCTATGTGTATCTAGCTGCAGCTTGGTCGTCTACAACTTGATGTCTTCTTCCAATGAATCTAACCCCAAAAGTGGGTACATAGACAACCTCCGCTACTCAAAATTCTCAAAATTGTTGCACCACGCAAACGCAATCCACACCGCATCAACAGGAAGGATTCGGCATCATGTATGACGACGGGGTAGAACGCAAGGTCTCGCTGAAGCTGAAATACATCGGCCCTTCCGATTTCAAGGACAACGCGCTTATTGGGGAAGGCAACTTCTTCATGCCAGATTGCCCAGATGACAAGGGATTGGTCATTATTTATGACTGGGATGAAAGGAAACCTCTACCTCCTTCGTGTACGTCTTTATCTACTACCGTGGTCTGTTCCCATTATGATTATGAATGACAAAAAGGTCGGTGACGTCATTCTACCTTCATCTAGATATCTCATCCCTCTTCTAATCCCTCGCCGAATTCCCCGACTTCGAATCCGGGTTGAAGATCAAGGAGTGCTCGGATTACAAGAATGTCTTGTTGTCGGCTTTGGATTTGACGTATACGACTGAAGAGGAGTACGTGGAGGCCGAAAAACGCATGATGGTCGAGAGCCATCGTCGCGATGTGAGGATTTTCGAGATCAAGTAAAGGATTTTTGCTTTTATGAAGTCCTCGTAGGATGAAGAACAAGTTGAAGTCGTAGGATTAAGATGAGACTGGAGACTCGACGTTGGAGGTCAGTACTGTAAACCCACTGGCTTTAGACCTCGTTAGAAATCGATCTTTACATTCACTCGTGACTGGGGTACACGAAGTATTTGGGGAGGCTCTTCACAAGTCTTTCTCTAGAATGCTGTATTATAGCAAACAGAGAAAAAAAGCAACAACAATGGGCATGTACTATGAGTAAGATAAAGATTTCCACTAAAAAGTATTCAACACAAGATGAATCTTTCTTAGTCAAAAAATAAGACACGCATGAATTACAATTACACATTTCTAACATACTTAGTTTCCATTCAGTTTTCGAAGAAGTACTTAGATCATCATGACTAAATGAAACAGATCATGCCCTCTTGGTAGTGCCTGATTATCTTGGCTACCTACTTGTCAATATTGCAACAGGGAATAAAATGAGAAAATCCAGTGGTTCTAAGTCCAAGTTTTAGTTGCTTGTGCACAGAGAATCGCATTTCCAAAAAAAGATTGAAAGCGATACGGTTATTGTCACGTCGCGGGGGCATGAAATACAAAGAAGTAATAATTATTGCAGGCCAAAACGGATATATCAGTGTAGCTGCAGCCACTGCCACAGCGGCCGCTGGTAGCTACGTAATATTTCGACAGCCTACGCGCCTAATTCGCCACCCGCCTCCTTGGTGGTGATAAACTTTGGGTTCCTGTTTGTGCCGGAGAACAGGACTGATTATTATTTTTTTTCAAGTGCGATCCAGCATTGATTTCGGCGTCCATGAAAGCTAAGGTCGGTATAGAGAGGCCTGGATGTTATATTGTGGGGGTCCTTTTAGCATTTGTGGATCTGCATGCTCTGGCCATGAACGGAATTGGGACGAGAGTGGCCGAACGCAGTTTACTGCTTAACCTGTGAAATGGCTACAGTTGACAAGGATTAGTATCAAGTAGTATGTGGTACACTACATTTCATTGTCTTTGTCCTCTTACCACATGATGAGCAAAGAGAAAGAATTTTGAGCAAAATGATGGTTCCTGGTATGTGTCGAGTAATGTGCCTGCACTTCGCCACTTCTCATCGTTTCGGGATCTGAAACACTATCGGCTGACGCGGCAGGCGGCAGAAAGAGGACCAGAAAAATGGAGCCCCGCGCCTCGCAGGATCGCAAAGGAAGTAGCAGTCCTTTGAAGAGCGCGATAAGTCCGACTTTTCGGTTGCATGGACGACATATAACGTCGCCATCCACCACGACTAGTGGACGGTTTCGACCGGCGCCGTCGTTGGGGACGGGCAAAGCGAAAGATGGGACAAGTAGAGAAAATTTGATGCTTAGTACTTACTCTCATTTAGATCGACTTACTGGAAGCAATTCGGTGTGAAGATTCTGATTCTTTCATCATTTTCGTTTCATGGCAATCAATCTCCTACATGAACCTCAATATCACTCAGAACCCCCACCCGCACCTGCTGCCGCGCAGACCAGCGGACCCGGTGTGGCTTCGACAGGAAAAACAAGCGGCCTCGAGGATGAAAGGTTCAAATTCCTACTACAGCATGGAGTCGTCCGAAGCATTGAGGGGACAGACAGGATCATCTTCGCAGAACTCCCCAATTTGCCGCTCATTGTCTATCGATCCCCTGCAGAGAGGGAAATGTCTCCAGAACGCTTCAATCTCGATCGCAGAAAGCTCCAAGTGTGTCCCTTGTTGGAAGGAGAAGAAAAACTCAGACTCCTGAACTACCAGAAGAACCACATTCGGAGGTTGGATAACTTCGTGAGTCTGCCGAGTCTCATCTTCTTGGACCTGTATAGCAATCACATCGAGCAAATCGAGAACCTGCAGACGGTGCCGACTTTGAAGGTATTCGAAAACTCAAAATAACCGAGTTACTGACTGAAATAAGAGAGTCTTGACTACATGCCTCTTCTTTCAGTATCTCCCTTATTTTCCCTAGTTACTCGCTTATTTCGGTTTATCGAATAAGTGAAAATAAGTTGATTTAGTAGTAGTAGTTGGTGTTTTTGGACGATCATAATCAAATTTAAAAAAAAATAATCATCATCTGTAGTATGCTAAAGAAAACCATATTCTACAGGTCTTAATGCTCGGCAAAAACCATGTCCGCGGTGGCGTGCAACATCTCTCTGTCTTGCCACGTCTGGACGTTTTAGACCTGCATGGAAACCAGCTCGCCGAGTTCCCGATCCATGAGGGTGCACCACTACGAGTCCTGAATTTGGCCAGCAACCTGCTCGCAAACCATTTTGAAATTCCATATCCTCTCGTCAACTTGATCGAGCTGAACGTGAGAAGGAACAAGGTACAGTTCCTTGGGCCTCTGGACGAGCGGACACCAATGCTCCAACGCCTCTACGCCAGTCACAACCAACTCGCAGTTTGGCGCAGTGTGGGGTGTCTGGATCGGATGCGAAAACTGACGGATTTGAGTTTGGATCATAATCCTTTGAGCAACAACTTCGCAGAACAAGATGATATTAAGGATACTGGAGGTGCATCTGCAGAAGCAAAAGCTGGAGAAAGCGGTGACTCAACACAACCGCCTACCAAAGGAATAGCTCTTTTTCGAATGCAGGTGATACGGAAATGTCCAACGCTGAAAAACTTAGACGACAGATCAGTCTCAGATCAAGAGAGGATTCACGCTTGTGGCAGCGAGACGGTGAAAGCGGAGCAGAAGAACGAGGTCGCGGAGAGCGAAGTACGAGGGTGGATATCAAGCAGCACAGAAGCGGAGATTGAGCGGAAGAGGAAGGTAGTAGTTGCAGCCTTGACTGGAGCCTGCGTCATCATCTGCTTTTGCCATGAATTGTCATGTTATTTCTTCACTACCTCTAGGACCTCATCAAATAGATTATTTTAACCCCACCTTTGATTCTCTTTTATCCACTGAATTTCAGGCTTCCCTCGCCGAAGACCGCTCAGCGACCGGCCTATGTCCTGCACAAGGAGAAGCGGAGACTGATCTCTTGCTCCAAGATTTGATGTCACCGACTAAGCCTCTATCAGCGAAAGCTACGCCAACAAGCTTGAACCAACAACGACGGAAGGATCACGCTAGTGTCACTACGCCAAGAGCTGGATCAACTAGTGGGATTGGGTCGTCTGGTGCAAGTTCATCTCCAGCGGTAGGTGCTACAGTCAGTTTAACGTCAGATGCTCGTGGAGCAAGAGAACAAGGGCTTGCGGGTTCAAGCCAGCAGAACGGCGGTTCGTCAGGGAGGACGAGCGGCACCGCCACTGGGACTGCGAGTGCGTCTAGCTTAGTATCTGGCGTGCCTCCTACGTCAGCACGGAGAAACGTGGATCCAAGAGAAATACTAGCGAAAATCAACTTTAACGCAGCTGGTGGCGACCAAGAGGTGACGAGAAGTTCAAGTGCATCGTCGTCGTCATCGGGGACGTTGGAACTCAACGCAGGTGGACCTGGAGGCCCTACAGGAGGTCCGATCGGTACGTCTTCATCAAGCGGAGGTGCCCTACCAGATCGACAACAGAGTAAGGCAGCCTGGCTAGAGAACGATGACGAAGGGGGACATGCTGCCGGAAATGCTGCTCATACAACAAGTAATAGACCCTTAGACAGCATCTCCGCAGGCGGAACCGTATCGAGCTCTTCTTCTACAGCAAGCAGAGCTCGAACGCCTGACAAGTATAGTACGCGAGTCTCAGGGTCAGGAACAAGTATGTTTTCGGCGGGTCAATACAGGAATGAAGGAGCTTTTGACGATGATCAAGCTCTAGAAGCACCTATACCACAAGATCAGGCACTACTAGCAGGTCCTACGGAGGAAATACTAACTGGAGAATCACCACAGGCGGCTGCTTTTACAGGGGATGCTAGTATTGTGGATGGTTCTGGAGGCCTACAGCAATTGACTCAACATCAACCTCCAGGAGGTTCCACCGGCACGTCGAACAGTAGCAGTTCCTCCTCATTAGCTGGGTCAGCAAGCAGTAGCAGTAGTGCTGTAATAGGAGGAACTGTTGCTCCACTGCCAACAACTTCATCAAGTATCGGTACAGGCCCTTCAGGTTCAGGTAGTGCTGATGCAAGTGGAACAGGAAACCAAATCAACGCCACAGGAACCACTAGTTCATCTAGTACAACTCTCGCAAACAATAAGGCGCCAGTAGCACCTTCGCCGACTGAGAAGAAAAAGAAAGGCGCACTCAGTCGTGTCGATGTGTTGAACGACATCAGGCAGCAGTGGATGCAAGCAGCAGCTGAAGGAAAAACACCGGCGACAAGGTAATGAGACTTTTGGTTTCTAGATCCAAGAAAATCAGGAGTGCGCTACTGATTTCACACCAAAATATTAGCAACAACGACCCACCTCCAGTCGAAAGGAGAGAAACGCTAACCAAGTGAAAGTGTACTTTCTACATGAAACTTTTCCAGGTACGGTTACGTCAAGCGTGAGGAGGCTTTTGAACTGTTCATATATGGTCGCGGACTCGACGCCATGGACAAACCCGAGTACCAGGCAGTGGTGTCGAGCATCCACTTCCTCTTCCTCTCGATGTCCTCGGTGCTTAAGCTAAGGGTTCCACATTTGAAGATTTTCAATTTTCTCATCTAGAAATGTTTCAGCCATTGCGATACTTCAGAGGAACTAACAGATGAAGACATGATGCCATACTTGAGAGGATACAACTAGAACAAAGTAGTACATCAAGATAGTAGAAAAAAAACAACTAGTTGAAGTTCTTGACTGCAGGCGCACGTCGTGCATCCCCTACAACGAGTGACCACGAGCGGTCGTGTCAGGGGTACTCTTACTCACATGACAAGGGAACATCCCCTATGCGTGTCTAGTATGTCTAATCCCCTGTGTGGATAAGCTGCGTCTCCGGTTTGGCAACCTGACGTCGCTGTCGTTTTCCCGGAATCAAATCGCTTCCCTGGACCAGCTACGACCTCTCCGGAGTTTGAATTTGCGGAGTTTGAACGTGTTTTGGAACCCTATAAACGACTCAATGACTCCTGCAGCACTGCGAGCTCAAGTGCTCTTCATCTTGCCCACGTTGACAAAGTTCAATCTGCGGAAAGTGACGGAGGCAGAAGCGAAGCAAGTGCAAAGGATATTTCCGATTCCAATTTATGATTTGGGTTGGGTGTTGAGGTGGTGTGGCCGTATCGTCCGCATACTAGTGCGATACCTGCTTTACTAGACGAAAAGAAAAGTTGTTAGTGGTGGAAACCAAAGATGTTGTTCAAAAGCAATTGATATGAACTCGTCATGCCCTCGTCTTCTCTCTAACCTTTCCAGCAATTACATCAGTCCGGCAAGGAGCTAGTCGTGTCCGAGCGACGACCGCATAGAGGCGCGGTAAGTGAGCTCGTGGCCAGTGCTGTTGCTGGCGACGCGTTACTGCGAAGGCTTGACGGCTGTTTTGATAATACGGTTAAAGATCTAGTTGCGAACGCGTGGGAAGAGGCGATGGAATACGTCTGAGAGTGGGGTTTTGTTCACCTCTTTGTGTATGAGGTAGGTAAGTATGATGTTGCCGACATCAACCTCTCTTATGATGGTCTCGTCGTGGTCGATGTCATCGTTCTTCCAACATCTTTGTAAGTAAAGAGTGTCATAAAAATGTAGACTCCGATATTTGATTCTTCTTATTTCGTTCTTACGTATCTATACCGGTACCTCCATGATATGTTATTCGCACGTCCAGCAAAAGTTCTGATTTCACATTGAATTCAGTCAGTCATCTACCTCTACAACTTGTCGTGGTGAAAACTCCATAGAGGCAAGCTCTAGACCTATAGTTTCGAATGATTTCTTGTCCTGCCAACTACATATGTAAGATCGATGTCATGTAGTCAACATCTGAGATTCTTAGATTGTCAACTTTCTTTCTTTCAATTTCATCCAACTCCGATCAGCCGAAGTATAAAAAACTACCTAGTCAAGCTTTCATCTTTAAGTAGATATTGTGCTGATCATGATCTTGTCACGCTAATGCGCCGCCAACGCAACAGTTCTTTCTTCACAACGTGATTTCTTTCTCATACAGTCGTGATCGTGAATAGTGAAGGAGAAGAGCACCTCATCAGGAAAAAATTTCCTGAAGCGGTGGCGCAAAGGACAATGCAGGGCCTTGATTCACCCGAGGTGGTGACGATTATTTATAAGTACCTGATCGGCGACACGAACTGAAAGCGGTAGCAGTACAAAATCAGAACATTTTGTAGTCACAGGAAAGAACACGTCACGCGAAAAAAATGTAGTGGACAGGACGAACTCGATTTCGTGCCTTGTTATTTTCGAAAATTCCATCGAGATTGTCTTCTAGATCTAGACGTAGGCGTAGCAAAAATAAAAGCCACCACCTCTTGCTCGTTACAACTGAATTAGGAAGCATCTTCCGTCTACTCTAGACCTACACCTACGTCAAGCAAAAAGAAAAAATGAGTTCTCTTTTTTCTTCCCTCTACGATGCTGCCACAAGTGTTGTGGCTGGGAAGAAGCACAAGCGATCGTCGTCCACAGGGAGTGGAACGAAAAAGCGAGTAAAGCGTGAAGAGGACGTTCACAACTTTTCACAAGAAGTAAAAGACCTCGTCCAGCAGCGTCTCACGACGTCGTGTTCGGAAGTGAAAATCGGAACAGTGCGTGCTCTATTCACGAAGACGGGGCACAAAGGAAAGCCTATGCACCAAAAGAAAAGCCTGGACTTGAAGGAAGGGTTGGGCCTTTCAACAGACGACGCTTTTGTTAAGTGTTCTCGAATCACATTCCTCACTACCATCTTCCCTGGCTCTTTTCACAGTAGAACAGCACACGCCCGGGATGTTCTGAGGCATGTAGTTCCGTAACCTTTATTAACTTTGAGGAGATGAAACCCAACGGCAAGAAACAGAAACAACCACCAGCAGTACTTTCTTCGAGACTTTCTCCGCGTCAAGTTCTGTTTTCCTGTACAAGAGATCTTGCAGCCTTTGGTTTAGAACCGGGAAATTTGAGGGAGAACGTATGTGTCGAATTAGATGAAGAAGCGTCTAAAACCCTGGATCTGGATGCGAATACCACAGCATCTTCTACAGCAGGAGCTTCCAAAACCAAATCCAAAGGAACATCTTCAGATCGTGGCACCACATCTACGTCTTGTACATCTACTTCTATATTCCAGCAATTAGCCTCAAGCGGATATGTTTTGCGGGTTGGGCAAGATTGCGCTTTTCGTATGACGTTTCCTTGCGAGCCTTGTGGATATGTCTTGGACTACTTGCCGGAGAAGAGAAAGAAAAGTGTGATATTATGTTTTGGTTGTGTGAAGATAGACTAGTAGCCGTTGAAGTCTGCCACGTCGGATGGTGGACCCCAACCTAACCTAACCTAACCTAACTAGTAGCTCTAACTGTAAGTATGACGAAAAAAAAAGCGGGCATGATCCGTGGCTACATTTATTCATATTGGTTACACTTGGTAGTTCATCATTCGGTTTGTTGTTGTTCCTTGCTCGTCTTCTAGTTTGAAGATGAAGTAGGCACTACAGGGTGACTGAAAGGCCTCATTACCGTTGAAACGTGATATCAAAAGAGACGAGGACCAACTCCTGTTAGCGCTAGAATTCCTCATGTATTTTCTAACCGCCGCCGAACGTGGTAGTTTACCTACAGTTCCACAGCTCGTTGGGTTTCGAGGAGTCTTGTCTACCTGTTTACGGAGTGGAATTGTGCGAGAAGGAGATGAGGTGTATCTACTTGCGGCCGACAAGGTCAAGCAAAAGAGCAAGGAGAAGAAGAACGTGAACGAAGTAGACCCGATGCTCAAAAACACGGCGACTCCTGTTTTCTCACCCTTCCCAGACGATGTCCGCTCTCGGATTTTTACACTATGTGCGAAAGTGCCTCCGGGTAAAGTGGTGAGTATTCGTGAAGTGTTGCATTATGTAGGGGCACCCAGTGGGTATGCTAGAGCCATACCAGCGATGATCAAAGGAGCATTGAAGGATTCTGATGGACAAGGGAAGAAAGTGAAAGAGAAAACGACTCCTACCCCTTATAATCTCCATCGGCTACTCGACTCCGATTACAATTTGCTCGAAAGGCATATGCCGAAGCAGCGACAATTGTTAGTTGCTGAAGGGTTGAAGGTGGATGAAGAAGGCAAAGTCGCAACAGATGATGGCGATGCACGATGGAAACCATTTCATAGTGGATTATTTCTAGAATGGTGAGCTAAGTACATGTAAGTGGTGTATCAAGAAACACGATCGGATTCCACATCCAAAAATCATGCTTTTGTTTTTGTACCTGAAGATGAAAATGCAGACTCTCATGTGGATGTAGCTGAAGATGAAAATCGTAGTGCATGGGTGAAAAGCGCTTGCAAAAAGAGGTGACTGATCTGTAGCGGTCATGCAAGAAAGTGTGTTCGAGCCAAATTCGATGGTCCTCTTGATGGTTTCTGGTACAGGGTTCATAGCAGGCACAACGCTAACGACAGGTATCACCGAGGCATTGCAATGAAAGTATCATAATTTCTTTCCTTTGTTGAATACACTCTCTGTCTCGTTGTGTTGTTAGAAGCGGAGGAGAACATTCATCCACATCACATCCATCACTTACAAAAACCAGAAGACTCATTGCTCATCCGCATGTTCCAGCCGTTTTTAAATCACCGACCTTGACATCAAATCGAGAACAAAAAACAAAGGAGTGCCACCACGGAATTTATTTCGTGCGTCTTCAACTACGCCTTCATCTTCAGCTGCGCCTGAAGGTCGTGAAGAGTGTCGATGTTAACTTCGACTATAGTTGCTGTTGCTATTGCGCGCAAAAAATTGTAACGATAAGATATAAGAAAGAAATAACCATGGCTGTCCCACGCGTACACAAAAACAAATATCTGGGGCGGTTCATTCAGTACCACTACGCTACGTATCATCACTTGCCATTTTAAACAGAACCAAGTGCTCTCCAGTGCCCTCTTCATCCATACAAGTTTGGGAGTACGTATTTTCTAGTATTTCCACTGGGCTGGATATCTTCACATGCGTGGTGCTTGGGTGTTTTGATAAGATCTAGTTGCGAACGCATGGGAAGAGGCGTCGATGGAATACGTCTGAGATTGGGGTTTTGTTCACCTCTTTGTGTATGACGATTCTGATTTCACATTGAATTCAGTCATTCATCTAACTCCACAACTTGTCATGGTGAAAACTCCATAGAGGAAAGCTCTAGACCTATAGTTTCGAATGATTCCTTTACCTGCCAACTACATATGTAAGATCGATGTCATGTAGTCAACATCTGAGATTCTCCAGGCAAGCCCGCAGTCATGCTGACGTTTTCATTTTGGCGTCGAGGCCAATCTGTCATCCTGTTTGTACCTCGACTTACCTCCTCGTCCTCTTCTTTCTTCTTACCTCTACTTACTCTGTCCTTCTTCTAGTCCTGCCATTCTTTTTTGACTCCACTTTTCGAACTCTTCGTCCTTCGATGCCCTGTCTTTAGGACCATTTTTCCTTCTCATGTGCGAAGCCTCTCTACCTCCACGAGATTTACTCAGGCAGGGTGTTCCACGCACACTCTTGTTTCTGCTCTTGTTCTTCTCTTTGTGCTTGAAATTGAGGGGGGTAGCTTTGCGATTGACAGATCGACCGCGACCTTTTCCAGCTCCCTTTTCAACACTCACGCTCTTGCTTCTGCTCTCGTTCTTCTCTTTGTCCTTGAAATTGAAGGGCGTAGCTTTGCGATTGACAGATCGACCGCGACCTTTTCCAGCTCCCTTTTCAACGCGTGCATCTTTCTTCTCTTCGATGGAGCGGGTGACGAGACCATCTACTGGTGCAAAGGTCTGCAAATTCTTTGGATCTGGAATTTTCTGCTGCTTCATGATACGTCGAAGAAGGGTAAAGATTGGTGCGGGCTTACCGTCGTTGTAGATTGCCTTACCAACGTCCTCTTCCCGCTCCTCTGCAAACTCCCGACCCAAGTCTCCACCCAGTGTCTTCGTGCAGAAGAGTGTCCGACGAATTTGGTCAATTTCACAGGGCTTGAGGTTGCCGTAGACACCCTTCAACCCAAGAAAAAAATCTAGTGCCGCGTCGCCAAGCCAGGCTAGGGTACCCTCGTAGTGCTTTGGAATTTTGAGGTCCCCGCTCTTCACTAACTCTTCGACGTATTCACGGAGCTGCTGGGCAGTAAGCGATTCATAACCGTCTTTCCTCCCCGTGCGGACCCAGTTTCGAAGAGACCCCAGGTCCATATCCTTCTGGCTTCTGTCTTTAAGATCGGCCAATGTCAACCTCCGCTTGTAGGCGGTGACCTTGCTTTGAAAGCTGCGTCGGAACTTTACACCGTAGATTAGAGCGTTTAGCTTCGCAACCATTTTCCTTTTCTGCTCTGCAGATATACAGATGCGCATTTTTTTGCGTAGTTCTTCGATTATGCCATCGCGCAATTCATCAAATGCACACAAACAGCAATGGGCTTCGCAGTGGACGCACATCTCCCGTTCTTCTGGGTTCGATAGATCGTGCAACGTTTCTCTAAAATATTCCTCGTTCACACAGATACTAAGATCATCTGGAATACCATCGCGAGCGGGAACAATTCTAACGTTCGCACGCGTGCGCACATTCTCCAAAAATTCTTCAGCGACTACTTCTGGTTCTGCGAAAAGATCCTCAGCTGAGCACTCGAATGAGCAATTCCTTATATAACGCTCAGCCATACACTTTTTGAGGTTTTTCCGCGCATTGCGGAGTACGCAAACGGTACTGGAATTGTGCCAATAAAGAAACGGTGCGGTGCTAGTCTCCTGCAGAGTTTCGACATTACCTGGCGGAGGCCTTTCTGCGAAGCCATGGACTTCTTCGTCATCTTGCATTATGAAAACGGGCCTCTTGTTGATACGAATGTTCGGGAGCAGCCTGAACTCTCCATTAAATCCTGAATACACTTTGAATCCAGATAGCGAGAAGCTCTCAACGGATTTCCCGGATATCGCGAACGCCACGCCCGGCGCATTTGGAAATGTCACCAAATGAAACACTGATGGATGAATCGCGCACACCTCTCGGAAGCTGGAGCTCAGCATCGAAAAGATGCTACTATAGATGTCCGGCACCTGCTCCACGGATGCAGCTTCTCTCATCATGGCATCCTTTGCAACGTCCCAGAGGCACTCTGCGTCCGTTTCGACGGTAGCAGATCGCTTTAGAGCGAGAAAAATGCTTCGAGAAACGGTCTTCGGCTGCTTCTTCAGTTTGTCGCGAATTAGGCTTTCACCGCGCGTGTCGCCATCCAGAAGAGGGATAGTGTCCGGATTCTCGCGGGTGAAATACTTGCCGATTTCATCACATAATTCTTGACCTCCTGGGCTCTCAAACTCCGTGGATAGGGCAATGGCTTCAGCACACTTTTCATCCTCGCTAATAGCCTGGTATAATCGCCCAATTACACTGCTGTTTCTTTTTACAGACGCTGCCCAACCTCCGAGAATTTCGGCATGCAACACATCCATTGGTATGGTATTCTGTCGATCTCGCGATTGCATTTCCAGCTTTTTCAAATTGACACCAAACCGATTCCGTCTAACGCCCTGCAGCGTTTGCACGAGCATACCCTTCACATAAATTCTTCCACAATACGCTTCGTCCTCGAGAATGTCAATCGGACTCGGTGCCGATATCGATCCCGAACTCGTCGCTATTTCTCCAACTGGCCCATCACTTTTTGGCGAGATTATGTTGTCAACATCATCAAGAGTGCGCTTTTCTTTAGCTGGAAGCAAGAACAAATACCGTGTGCGGTCGAAATCGAAATCGCCTCTCCGTAAGCTCAGACTGCATGTGCTTTTCGTGGAAAGGATGATAGCGGTATCCTTACTGTCGTCGAACTTATCGCTGAACAACGTCGTGTCTGTGTCTAGTCCGTGTGTCCACGAATTATCTTCATGTGCGTGGTAATGGCGACCAGTTCGCGTAATATCCAAAGCGAGGCAAGGCACATTGTCTTCATTAGGCTGCATCGAAAAGTTGTACTTTTTACCCAGAGTGAAAATTTCAACCGTCGCATTTTCATCTCGTGTCAAAACCAATGTTGACGAAGGCAAGCCATCGCCAAACTTTCCACGGCTACCTCCTTGCTGATCGCTCCCGCGCTGCTTTTCAGCTCCGGAAAAGCCGAGAAGAAAACACTTTGGCGGAAGTTGCGTGGAGTAGTTAACCATCAATGTCTCTTAGATCATGAAGTACTTCGACGCTTCACTTCTTCCACCCACTCACATAGTCGTCACTTACTTACTTAATCATAGTAATAACCTGAGAAAGGGAAAGCTCAAAGAATATTCAGAGAAAATGAACCTTAAATCTTGTCATGCTTCCAATGGATCATCCTCCAGTTTCGGCCGTTGCGCTCTTGACCTACTTTATGCTGAAAATAGCCCACCCGATGCTTGGTGCCGAGTCTGGAATTTTCAACGTAGAAGTATGAGGTATGAGTTTTTCCGTGAAACTCCCAGGGCCAGGAGTAGTTGTCCCGATCGTCTGTCGTTTCTGACACCGATTCATGGACTTTAATATCCGTCTCGGCGTCGTAACCGTGTGCGCGAACAAGGTGTTCAATCTGATCATACCAATTCTGGACATACTCGTCGATTGCCTGCGAGCGAGACCAGTGCTTCACGTAGTCACTCGTCAAATTTGTGATACGGCGTGTTTCTTTCACTTCGTCACAAGGATCCTGCGTGCCACATAATGACGGTTGGATGACGGCACTCAACTTTGGAAGCCGAGACCACGTTGTTTCGAAGCTTTCTTCAGTGTGGATCTGGAAGGCAGATACTTTATCCAGTGGTGGGGGTGGCGTGTGCGCGTTTGTTGATGGAGTGGACGGCTCCCCTCCTCCACATGCTTCATCGTGTAGCCGCAGTGTTGGCGACATGTTCATATTTTTGATTTGTACAGATGACTATCAGGTTGAAGGACTTGTTGTTCTACCTCGAGCAACATGAGTCGGCTTTCGTTGTAATATGTTCTTACAATACTACTTTTTCAAAGACAATGACAAAGAACATTATCGAAAATGAAAAGGACAAGAAAAAAGATGACCCAACTCAAAAAAAATCTAATTCAAAGCTGTATATTATGAGAAACTTTTTCACTCTTCAATCTTCTCTGATTGTTCTGTAGTTTTGTTTACTTCATTGTCATCCATTTTTCCAAATAACAAATCACGGTTGGAGGACAAAACCCGGGCAGTCATATAGGAGCGAGATTTTTATCCGAGTGCACCTGCATTCTTATCCTTACCCGCCTTAGTTTTTTCAGAAAACGCAGTCGTTTCATTCTTAGTGCAAGTTCAAAGCTACAGCAATATACACTTACAAGCCTCTTTCTGTTTGCGCTTGCGCGAAAGAACGGTTGCTACGATCTCGATCAATAAGAACGAGGGGAGAGCTAGAGCAGAAGTCGGAGACTATTGGCGGCGATCATCATTATCATCATCGTCATCATCATCAGATCTACAGGACGTCTAGTAGAATCCTTTTATTGACCCAGCAACCAGAAGGTGAAAGTCTGCTGCAGAAAACACAGAACACCGGAGACACTATCGTACTCCGTGTGAAAGTCGCGTTGGCTTCCGAGCTGAGAAAGGCAGCATCAGTGTCATCTCTCCATCTCCTACGTTTTTAAACTGGTCTTAAATAACTGTCTATGTTGAAAGCAAGCTCACAAGAATCTGAGTATCTCTTATTTTTCATCCTTGTTCACGACAGACATCAGAGGCGGTCGTGCTTAAAGTCAGACTTTTTATTCACGACGGGAATGCTTCTTCACTGGAACTGGCGCGAGTACATCTTCACTTGTAAGATCGTGATCGAGTGGCTACAGCGGCTTTCTCCTCTTCTTGCTTGATTTTGTCGTAGTACCACCTCCCATACCCATGTCAGCTTCAGTACACGATGTCGCTGGTTCACTAGTTGGATTTCCTTTTTCTCCTACTTGTAGCTGTTGTTTGAGTTCTGCTAGCTCCTTCTCCAGACGAGCGCTCTTTTCCTTCTCTGCTTGTAGTTGGAGTCTCTTTTTTTCTAGTGATGTCGCGAGCATCTTGGCATCGTCACATTTCTTGTAAAACTTGGCTTCCCAATCATCCCGTTCAGTTTCTACTAAGGCTTTCTCTTCTTGCTCTTCCTCGAGATCGTTCTCCAAATCATTCACTTTCTTCTGAAAGTTTCGACATTCCTGCTGTAGTGTAGTCTCCCTTTTCTGACCTGCGTCACGCTGCGCTGCAGTGGATTTGAGGAGACTCGAAGTCGCCGCGATACGTTGCTTAATGAGACTGCCTACTGCCAAGGAGGTTTTGACTTGGTGCTGCTCGCGAGGTTGTTTATTGTCGCTCTCCCACGAGTAGAGGTAATCCGGGTCCCTCTCAGAAGTCGAGTTTACCAGCATGTTGAAACTCTCCATCATTGTAGGTTCGGACGAGAGAACGCGATCGAAACGGGGCACATCTTGATCGCGGATCTGCACTTGCTGCCCGTTGCGCGCTGGTACACGGCTCCACACGTCACAGAACGCGGCATCGACAACAAAGAGAGAGCTGGTAAACGACAACGCATCTCCTGGCTCAACTCCGGAGCCAAGTATTATGATAAACCATGAAAAATGCAGGCATTCCTCTTGGTTAATAATAGATAAGCCAGATGCAGACCTGGGAGAGACGAAGCGGAAACATGATCACGCATGCGAACGCGAAGCCGCTAAAAAAGAAATCCTCAATGGCGAAGCGATTTTAGGGCTATTGAAGCACCTATCATGAGACTAAATAAGCTTGTTAAGCACTTCCTTCCACACACTAATTAATAAAGAATAGGCCCCTGTGGCTGTGCAGCTGTGGTCGATTCGAATATAATATTTGAAGGAGGATGAGAATTAATATTACCGAAGAATGACAAGAAAGTTGAAAAGTAGCTGCAAAGCAGTGGAACCTCTTGCGCGGTCCAGCCCGGCGATCGGAAACGAAAAGCACGCGGTCGCCCAGTCTCTGGAAGACCTCGAGTGCGTGCGCTGAGATCGTGTCGGATGCCAAGACAAGAAACCGATGTGATGCAGTCTTTTCGTCCTGATGAAACGTTTCATCAAAGTAGCATCCAGAGGCTATTTCAGATATCAGCTCCTCGCGGCTCGCTGGTGGGAGCTGTTCCTTCATCTCCTTCGAGAGGCCACTGCTCGCTTCGGGAGCCTTGTAGTATTTGCGGCACCAGGCTCCATCAAGATGCGGCCACTCTGCGAGGGAGACAAAGCGTGGATGCCGTCTCGCCTCGTACTCTGCGTTGAGTCGCCGCCCGGGATGAAAGCTGCAGGCGTATTCGGTGTACCCTAATTCATTTCTGGTGTCGTCTCTGGGATCAGGCCGGGGAAGACGTCGAACAGGCCCTCCAGCCCACACATGACTCATGACGACGGAGTTATGAGTTCGTCGATAGATAAGGGCTTGTCAACGCAAAGCGAGAAACGAAAGACGGATAAGCTTAAGCGGCTATTCTTTTACGTCACCGGTCGTGTCTTTTTGTTCGCGTTCGCGGAGCACTGGTTCGCGAAGCCGCTATGTACGCTTTCCCTTACGTGGAAGAAACGATGTGCATATTTTTGTTTACAGATAAATATGTAGTCAAGTTCAAGCGGTCATATCTGAGCTTTCGCAAACGGATAAATTATGCGTACACAAACGGAAGGAAAAGGTAGTGAGTCAATATTACGTAGTCAACTCTGATGTGTTGGTGGTCTTCTCTACGACTACGTGTTTCGAAAGGATCTATTAATCAAGCGGAGCTGACTTTTGCAACTCGTGACACGACATATTGAATCAATCAGAATGTAGGTTATGGCTGATCATTAACGAAGGAATAAGATAATTCAGATAATTGGAGATATGAGTTGTAAGCGTGGTGGTAAATTGATATTGAATTTGAAACTCTATTCCTATTCGTATTCATCAAGCTGAGGAGGAAAAGAGGAATTACAAATGTGACAGACAACTTCTAAATGATGGTGCTTTGGCGTCAGAGGCGAGATGGGTTGCAATAGGAAACAGTCGGAGGTTGTAAGGAATAAGCAAATGTGGACGTTCAAATGGACACTCCTCATTGAGTCCTCAGATGGTAGTCTCTCTTTCACTGGTCACTCCGTCTACCTCTACCGAGAAGTACCGATTTCGGATCATCACTCTCCTGCCGCTGCCTGTCTTTGTCTTTCTGTATGCACTGTTCCTTCTTGCTCATGCTCGGCATTTCCCCATCAAAAATTACAACGAGTTCACAAAGACAGAAAGAACGCGACCGATCCATCACAACAAGTCGAGTTGACGATTGACTGCAGAAAGTTTACGCTTTGACATTCGTGGCCGTTCCACCGACGTGGACGTGTTATCGTGTACTATGTATAGGAAAAGTCTTTCAATCACCAATCCTGTCTGTAGTGCCGTATGATTCATTGACTTCCTTCACCCAGGAGCACACGTTTTTCGCGCATTCGCGTGGTCTCTGAGTGACAGAAACCTCTGTCCATAAAAAATCACATGATGCATATGACCATGGTGAAAGCGTTACAAAAAGTTTAAGTTACTCAGTCTTCGAATCCGCAGTAATTGATGTCATGAGCAGTTCAGACTTGTGGCCTTCGCCTTTCCCCACCCCTATTTTCCCGAGCAGCATTTCCAGCCCACACTTGTTTCGCACCTAATGATTGCTCGTGGTGGTTACGCCGCAATGATTGCTCGCTGTAGTTACGCCGCACAATGCCTCCGCAGAAGCTTGTTGCATCGATACATGAGCCATGCTGCCGACTCTGCGTTCTTATTATACGCGTTTGCACCTGTCACCACACTCCGTTGGTCTAGATTTTCTGGCGTCGCTTTCCATCTCGGCCACATGTAGGCGAAAACCGTTGTACAATGTTCGACTAGTGCTAGTTCGTAGTCCTTCAAAAACTCGTCAAAAGGATACCTCGCCATGCGTTGTAAACTCGGGTCTAGAGAGTCTATTGTCATACTGGGAGTTTTTGCACCGGCGCCTTTCGAGTTGTGGGCGAAAACGAGCAATCTTTTCGAGAGTGAATTTTGCAACTCCTGGTGATAGACGTGCAGCAAACTGCGTTCTTTGCTTCCGTCAAGACTGAGCAACTCTGGACTACTCGCTGCTGCGATCAAATAGGCGACATCCACAGCCGGTGCGCCCCAACCAGTCCATTGGAAATCGATGAAACCGAAATCGTAGGATGAGGAGGGTGAAGATGAAGAACCACTACTGGCACTACTTTTCCGCAAGAACATGTTGGCAGCTTTCGGGTCTCCATGAATCAAGGTGCGTCTCTTGCTCATCGAGTGAACCTGATCTGCCAAGGAAATCGCATACTTCTCTAAGGCACGTCCAAGGGTCTGGAGTTCGGAACGGAGGGTTGCTTCTACTTTAGACGATTCGGGGACATCTTCAAATGAGTGAACTCGCAAACTGAAAAAAGCTCAAGCTAGACATCTTCGCCATAACATCTCCTCCTCCACCTTCCTTTTCCAACATCTTTCGGACAACCGGGAAGAAGCTGTCCGCAAAACCGTGGCTTTCCCACAGACTCGCAACTTTGCTGTACATTACTGCGCTCTGTCGAGGCGGCGCCCAGAAAGAACCGATATCCAAAGATTAGAAAGAGAACTACTTATCATGTCGATCTAGTATAAGTAAATCGAGTAGGCTGAGATTGTTGTATGAGGAACGAAAACTACACTTTGCATTTAATTAAAGATACAGTAGTTGCACTGAAAAAGGTCAACTTGACTCATTTGCAATTGCGTGTTCAACATAACAAACTGCATCTTTCAATTCGTTCTTTCCTGGCTCACCGCGGTTTTTCTCTTCTAGAATCCAGAAAAACGCATGCCACCTCGCTAGACCGCGTAATGCCGCTGATAGCTCATGCCAGTCAGATATCATTGCTGGCTGGTACCAACCATCTCGGGGTCCGAAGTCCTCCAACAGTGTAAAAAACGACGAGTCCAATAAGGTTGGAGCCAAGGCTCGAGCTGCTTTTTCCGATAGAGGTGGAGTCTGATTCTTGACAACAGTCCCATCTTCCTGCTTTTGATTCTTGAATTGCGCAAGCTGCAAGTGCGGCAACGTCCGGTCCGCATTGAGACAATTCGCGATCTTGACTCTCGCGTCGGACCAAAGGTTGTTTGCAAGATTCGGAGTTCCCAGAAACGCAGTCTCCACTTGATAAGACTCCACATCGCGCAACAGCTTTTCTGGTTGGTTACGGGCCTTGATTTGTGCGTGTTCGAGATCACGCATGACTGAGCGTTTGAGAAAGGCAGAATGGAGTGTCAATGATGTTGAAGAGGATGAGTTTGCTGTGTACTTGTCGTTGCCACTACCAACATGATCTAGAAGATCTGGTGTTCCCTGTTCTGAATCTGGTGCTGCTCGTTTCAACGATGTACTAGACTTTGAAGTCACCCCCTCACACAACATGTAAATCCTCACTGTGTCGGACATCAAATACCGCATAGACGTTGTTTCTGGCGCACAGAACGCTACAACGGACTTCCCAAGCGCTCGAGAGAGCATTTGTGTCGTTATCATCCTTCCTCGTAAGTCGCGAGTGATATCAGCAGCTTGTGCGACTGTCGTGAGTTCGGAACGCAGTTTTTCGACCAACGATGATCCAGCACCTTCACCATTTTGACCATCTTCTGCTGTCTTCATCTGGCCAAGTACTCTATCCACTTCTTCTGTTGTAAAAGCTCTTGGTCCTCCTCTACAATCCTTGAAAACGCTGAAGAGCTCTTCTCCACCCAGAGCGCGCAATCTCTGACCAAAAGATGTGTGCTTCTTCTTGTCCTCCGGCTTCTGAGATGCTGCTAGCCATTTCCGCGCTCGCGGTGTCGTCGACAGCACTCCTAAGTAATTCGTGTAGAATGTTGTTGGATCGGAGTCGGAAGGTGCTGTGCCTGTGGTCATAGTCGTGTGTCCTGCAACTTCATCCTGAGAAAAATGCAATATCGGACTGCCGAATAAATCTGTCATCTGCCCTCCAGCCGCAGCCAGAAGAGCACCAGGAGCACAGCTGTCCCAGCGACTTGTCTTCAGGTTGAACAACGCCGCATCAGCCTTTCCTAGCAGAAGTTGAAATACTTTGTTGCCTGCGCCAGAAACTGAAAAATTCTTGAAACCTCCACCAGCACTTTGTGGGTCACAAAGTGAATTTCGTACGGCCTTGAGGGGTGCAACGGAGTCGTTGGAGGCGGCAAGGATAAAAGTAGATTCAGATTGGTCTCCTGCAATAGTTGTAGTACTTGTTGTGTCAGCCGCCTGCCGTTTCTGAAACCGTTCTTTGTCAATAGTCCCAAGTCCCGCAACGCCTACACCGACTAGACCGCACACAAGGGGAGGCGGGACCTCCTCCTTGTGGTTAAGTGATGTATGACCATTTGATGTACCTTGAGAAAGACCAACATTTCCTCCTTCTCGTGCCAAAATCTCCTGCTCTGGAGTGAGAACGGTGGCTCTACTTCTACCTGAAGTGCTTTCTTCTCCTACAGCTGTTCCACCGTCCACAAGCTCGATGCTTTCTTTCTTCCAAAACGGCAAGCCTATCACTCCTGCTACAGGCCGCCCATTCAGTGCGATCCCTATCAATGTCTCCACGTTTTGCAACCTGTTGTCGACAAATTCTCGAGTCCCATCTAGAGGGTCCACGAAGATCGTAACAGCTTTTAGTGGGACTGGACGCGCAAGAAGTTGTTGATGATCCGGATTTGTAGTGGTAGGTTCTGTTGCGTTGCCCTCAAATCCCATAATCAGTTCTTCACACGCAGGATGCGGCGCTGAGACGAACTCAACTTTCTTTAGAGTTTGAAGTAATTCATCTTGGAGACCATCTTTGTTGACACCTTTCGTCCCCATTGAAAACAGGGTCAAAGAGGCTTCTCAGGATGAATTATGGCACGTGCTAAGCCTTAATTTCTGTTCAACTGAAGAGTCGGCCTTGCCTTGTTGTGGTTTCAAAATCGCTTCGCCTATGCTTTCTTCTTCTTCGCCGACTAGGTTTAGCTTATTGCCAATACTGGGTATGCTTCTCAAGTAGGAGAAGATCGCGGCCTGACCGGCGTGGTCTGCGCGCGTTACGACGAGGTGTTAGAGAAGAACTTCATGAACCTAATCGACGAGAACGAAAGGTTGACTAAGTAGGTGAAAATCGGGAATCAGAATCTTCAAGTGTTTCATAAACGTAGTAAGTAAAAAATTGAGGCATACTAGAGGGCTCACCATAACTCTTATCATCTCCTTCACTCTTCGTCTGCAAGACTTCGAACTTCGTCTTCTCCCTGCTCTTATTTTCCCTTCGAATAGCAAGCATACCTCGTTCTGCAGCATAACAACACGAGGACAGCAGATGAAGCATGTTGACGACTTCTGCTCCACCTGCACCATTCGTGGAAGCCCCATCTTGACGATGCTGTGCTGGAGGTGATCCCGACATTCTGATTGTTCTGCTGGAATAAGGAGTTCTTGCAGTCGTGCGTGCTCTCGTTTGTAGCAGTGTAGAATTGTGTTTAGCAGCACCAACTGCAGGAGAATGAGTCACTGATGCAACTGCAGGTCCAACTTGCTTTGTGTACGTTATAAGGCCACGATTTCTCGTATCAACACTTGCTGCTCGTTGCGTAATAGAAGAACGGTACCAAGTCCAAGTAATACCTCGACCTGCTGCTCCACCGTTTTTGTAGTTGAATGTGATTGAGTACCTGCAGGATAAAGAGGACGCGACACGTAAGGAACACGACATCCAAGCCTGCACGACGAACTTAGGTCATTCTTTTGTGTCTGTCTGTGATACAGAAAAACGCCATGGTGTAAAGCTGTAAAGACGACTCAAAAAAATGCGGAGGATATTAAAGAACGGGATCAGATCTACTTAAATGTGATCGACGCCGTCAATAGACACTTCCGAGGTGCTAGGGGAATCGAACTTGAAACCTGTTGTCTTGTTGAGTAGAATTTTACTCATGTAAGCGTAAGAAGACTCCTGGCCAACAACTCTTCTTTCTTTAGGCTCTTTCTTTTTCCGGCTCGTGCTCATGAGCAGAAGCTTGATAAGGCAATGGTAAATTTCTGTCAGCACTGACGGCAATCGCCCGTAAATATTCATCAGTGATTTTTATCACAATCGTACATTCTCCACAACGCTTGCGAGATGACAATTGACACAACTGGATCGTATTAACAAACGAAGTGAAAATTCAGAACTCAGTTTTTACAAGTTTGTGATTTAGATAAACGAGACAGAGATGCCATGACACACTACCTGCACGTGCACTACCTCTTCGACATCTTCATCCTTCCCATAAATTTAAGAAAAGACTGATGATTTCTAAGCTAGAACTACAAATCATGCATTGAATTGCATGTACAGGTGCTTCTACATTATGCATAGCCATTTTAGATTATACAATGAAGAGCCAAGAAGTTCGAGCTTTCGTCGTTTCTTGCAGAGGAAAAACTGCTACGGTGCAGAGAGAGGACAAAACGTTAAGTATTTACTCGACACAGACACAGAGGAACAAGAACTCAACAAAAAGTAGGCTGTATTCTCAAAAGTCAAAACAAAAGTAACAACTTAAAGGTAACACTGGATAAGAATGCAGTGTCCACATTCGGTGAAAGCCTGTAAATGAATTATCAGAAAAATAACTACAAGTAGACACACATATGCACGTTTACAAAGACGCTTCAGAAACATCGATTAGGATTATTCTCAAAAGTTGCAGCTGCTTGTTATTGTTACGCTCCTGCCAGTAACAGTTCGTGTTCCCGATTACACTTCCCAATCTCTGCACCAGAAGACAGCCTTTGTTCCACGTCCGCCAATTCGCTTGTTTCATAAACGTAATCCCTGTAAATGTCAAGAATAGCATTGTGCCGTTCGACGCTTCTGTCAGCAAGACAGTCTTCTAAAAGCATGACGCGGTATCCACGGGGAATTAGAGTTTGACTATTTACAAGTACTGCTGCAACAGCAACTCCGACATCATCATCATCATCATCATCATCATCATCATCATCATCATCGCATCTGAAATGGTCTTCACTAACCATCGGCAAGATTAAACAGTTCCTGTCAAGGAAAGGGCGCAATCGCGGGAACGAACTGAATCGCAGCAATCTTACAACGACTGCAACAGCAACTCCGACATCAGTCAGACAGAGGAGAGAGATAGGACCACTGCCGTAACATAAAAGCTCCCAAGGCTGATGCTTGGACGCACGCGGACGTCACCATGCCTGCGATAACTACTTGTTCGATGCCATGCCGTTTCAAAATACCATCTAAAGCCGTGTCGAGGAAGGCGTCGAAATTTGGCTTATGCAAGATAATCTCAGCTGGCGCAGATGGGATACCTTTAACATCTCCTTGTACTCGTCGTTGGATTATATTGTCCTCTGTCTGTTCTTGAAGTAGTAATCGTTGCTGTGGCTTACTGGAGGAAGAAGTGCCGTTCGTCCTTGCTCCTGTTTGAGCGTCTCGACCATCTTGATCTTGATTTCGAAGAACGGCAGCATTGGGAGATTCCTCTTGCTCTCCATAGCCTGCATCCTCATCTGCCTCATCAAGATTGTAAAGAGAATTGAGACTGTCGAACGGATTCCGAATCCGACCGCGGTTTCGCAATGCGCTACTTGGCGACGCAGGACCGTTTTCTTGCATGTAAATGCATTAGAGAGGCAAGACCATTACAGCTATCTCGACGGTGTAATCTGTATCTGAATCCGAGTCCACTATTTGCACTACAAAATCGAGATAGTCGCCTCTCTAAGATATCTACAGATAACTTCAGGATGCAAGAACAGCATTTGCCATAATTATCCCAGCAATAGTTTCGCCCTGGTGTCGTGATTCTGTCAGACGAAATTTCTAGAGTAGCGGTCGACGTCCCATAGGACGCCAGCAATCGCTCAGAACTGCCAGCCGAGGGGTCTCCTAAGGAGGAAGACGAGACCTGCGGACCTCCTAGAGAAGATGACGAGGCCTGTGGACTACATGGCTCTACAGTTGGCACCAGGGACAAACCAGAAGATGAAAGAGTGCTGCACGTGCTCGAAGTACCTTTCGGAGTTACTACGGTTGCACCAAAAGTAGTCACAACACCGGTTGTACCGGATGAAGTAGAGATGCCAGTGTCTCTATTAGAATTACAGTCACTGTTTCTTCGTCGTCGCACTACGCTGTTCGCTAGCGTCGGGTCCTTCGTAGAATGCATCAGCTGGTGGATTTCGTCTCTTGAAAGGGCGAATTCTTCAGGATCGTCAGAAACGCCCTCGCACTTCTTTTTCCCCTCATTGATCTCCGTAAAGAACGGACACCACTTAGAGCCGTGGTCTTGGCCGTAGACTGCTCGGACGTGGACGATCAAGTCGGAGATTAGAAAGAGGAGGAGGAGAAAATGCATGCTGCTCGAAATTGTTTTGCGATAAGGATATTTTTCGATAAGTGTATCCTTGTAAATGTAACAAGTTAGTAGGCGAAAAAATATTGTTCCTGGCTAGAGTGGAGTGATTATTCCTAATACAAAAGAAGATGAGAAGTTTCATGTACACCAGATCCAAGCCATACCAACAACTGCGCCAGAAATCCACGTCTCGCTTTGCCCAAGAGCGTGCCGATTTTGATAGGGAAATCAGGGAAGGCGTCTCTAATGTTCTTATTCGCAGTCCAGAAGTCCTTCTGGACATCGATGACCAAAAGGGCAGTCTTCTTGTGTTTACCGGAATCGGAGTTACCTGTAGTTCTTCCAGTATCAGCGGCCGACGTAGAACTATTAGGCGTTCCTGAGGTGCTGGGAATATTTGTTCTCCTTCTGCCTGTGCTGTTTCCTCCCGTGCCTCTAGTGCTATTGCTTGAAGCCAGTGCTCCAGAAAGCGAAGGCCCGTCCAATATACCCTCAATCGGATCACCCTCGCGCCATTCCCAATCTGAACTCACGAGTCCGTGCTCTTGCATAACCCTCACTGCATTGCGGAGCTCCTGTTCTTGAACTTAGAGCTTCTCCACTTCTATTCAACATGCAACAATATTATACATGAAGCGGTGGGTCGGATAGAAACACTCTACGAAGATTCTTTACTTCGGGTGTATGTCGCAGCACATCGTGGCGTCTGTCGCTATCTCTAAGATGTAAATAAAGAGTTAATACTCTATTTAAATACTATTAAAAATCCCCGAACACTCTTCGCCTTTAATGTGAACACTAAAGGACCTTTAAGACGCCTTTAATGTGAATGCTAAAGGATTCCCCTCCCCTTTAATGTGAACACTAAAGGACCCTAAGGCGCCTTTAATGTAAACACTAAAGGACTCTTAAGGCGCCTTTAATGTAAACACTAAAGGACTCTTAAGGCGCCTTTAATGTAAACACTAAAGGACCCGCGCGGCGCCTTTAATGTAAACACTAAAGGACCCTTAAGGCGCCTTTAATGTAAACACTGAAAGCCTTCCACGTGGGCAGCAGATGGCCTCGAGGGAAACAAGAGCAGCAACACCAACAGCAAAAACAACAAGAACAACAACAGCAAGAACAACAACAAGAAGAACAACAACAGCAAAAACAACAACAGCAAAAACAACAACAGCAAGAACAACAACGGCAAGAACAACAACGGCAAGAACAACAACACCGACAAAGACAACAACAGCAAGAACAACGACAGCAACAACAACGGCAACAACAGTAACCACAGCAACAACAGTAGCCACAACCACAGCAACAACGACAGCAACAGCGACAGTAACAACGACAGCAACAGCGAGAAAACAACAGCAGCAACAGAGCAGCAACAACAAAGCAACAGCAACAAAGCAACGGCGACAAAGCAGCAGCAACAGAGCAACAATAACAAAACAGCAACAACAAAACAGCAGCGACAAAGCAGCAGCAACAAAACAGCAGCAGCAAAATAGCAGCAACAAAACGGCAACACCAGCAACGACAGCAACAACAACAGCAACAACAAGGACAACAGCAACAACAACAACAGCGGCCGCAACATCAGCAACAACAGCAACAGCAGCAACAACGGCAACAACGGCAACAACGGCAACGACAGCAACCACAACAATAGACAGCACCCACAACAATAGCAACCACGACAGTAACAACCACAGCAACAACGACAGCAACAGCAAGAAGACAACAGCAGCAACAGAGCAGCAACCACAAAGCAACAACAACAAAGCAACAACGACAAAGCAGCAGCAACAAAGCAGCAACCACAAAGCAACAACAACAAAGCAACAACGACAAAGCAGCA